ATCGTCATGTTGTACACTACCACACACATCGTCATGTTGTACACTACCTCCCACATCGTCATGTTGTACACTATGACACACATCGTCATGTTGTATACTATCACACACATCGTCATGTTGTACACTACCATGCACATCGCCATGTTGTACACTACCACGCACATCGTCATGTTGTATACTACCACACACATCGTCATGTTGTACACTACCACACACATCGTCATGTTGTACAGTACCACACAAATCGCCATGTTGTACACTACCACACACATCGCCATGTTGTACACTACCACACACATCGCCATGTTGCACACTACCACACACATCGTCATGTTGTACACTACCACACACATCGTCATGTTGTACACTACCACACACATCGTCATGTTGTATACTACCACACACATCGTCATGTTGTACACTACCACACACATCGTCATGTTGTATACTACCACACACATCGTCATGTTGTACACTACCACACACATCGTCATGTTGTACACTACTACACACATTGTCAAGTTGTACACTACCACACACATGGATATATATATCCGCGCGTCAGGTGTAGGCGATTGTACTAGCTGACACACATATGGTGAATGTCCTCCCGTCTGTTGTAGACGATAGTACTAACTGAACAACATGTGGGTGGATGTCCTCCCGTCAGTAGTAGACGATAGTACTAGCTGACACACATGTGGGTGATGTCGTTCCGTCTGTTGTAGACGATAGTACTAGCTGACACATATGTGGGTGATATCGTCCCGTCTCTTGTAGACGATAGTACTAGCTGACACACATGTGGTGAATGTCCTCCCGTCTGTTGTAGATGATAGATATTACTAGCTGACCCACGTGTGGTGAATGTCCTCCCGTCTGTTGTAGATGATAGATATTACTAGCTGACACACGTGTGGCGAATGTCCTCCCGTCAAGTGTAGACGATAGCACTAGCTGACACACATGTGGTGAATGTCCTCCCGTCTGTTGTAGACGATATATATTACTAGCTGACACACATGTGGTGAATGTCCTCCCGTCTGTTGTAGACGATAGCACTAGCTGACCCACGTGTGGTGAATGTCCTCCCGTCTGTTGTAGACGATAGCACTAGCTGACACACATGTGGTGAATGTCCTCCCGTCTGTTGTAGACGATAGATATTACTAGCTGACACACATGTGGTGAATGGCCTCCCGTTAGGTGTAGACGATAGTACTAGCTGACACACATGTGGGTGGATGTCCTCCAGTCAAGTGTAGACGATAGCACTAGCTGACACACATGTGGTAAATGTCCTCCCGTCTGTTGTAGACGATAGCACTAGCTGACACACATGTGGTTTATGTCCTCCCGTCTGTTGTAGACGATAGATATTACTAGCTGACACACATGTGGTGAATGTCCTCCCGTCTGTTGTAGACGATAGTACTAGCTGACACACATATGGTGAATGTCCTCCCGTCTGTTGTAGACAGTAGTACCAGCTGACACACATGTGGTTAATGTCCTCCCGTCTGTTGTAGACGATAGATAGTACTAGCTGACACACATGTGGTGAATGTTCTCCCGTCTTTTGTAGACGATAGTACTAGCTGACACACATGTGGTGAATGTCCTCCCGTCTGTTGTAGACGATAGATAGTACTAGCTGACACACATGTGGTGAATGTCCTCCCGTCTGTTGTAGACGGTAGTACCAGCTGACACACATGTGGTGAATGTCCTCCCGTCTGTTGTAGACGATAGATAGTACTAGCTGACACACATGTGGTGAATGTCCTCCCGTCTGTTGTAGACGGTAGTACCAGCTGACACACATGTGGTGAATGTCCTCCCGTCTATTGTAGACGATAGCACTAGCTGACACACATGTGGTGAATGTCCTCCCGTCTGTTGTAGACGGTAGTACCAGCTGACACACATGTGGTGAATGTCCTCCCGTCTGTTGTAGACGATATATAGTACTAGCTGACACACATGTGGTGAATGTCCTCCCGTCTGTTGTAGACGGTAGTACCAGCTGACACACATGTGGTGAATGTCCTCCCATCTGTTGTAGACGATAGCACTAGCTGACACACATGTGGTGAATGTCCTCCCGTCTGTTGTAGACGATAGATATTACTAGCTGACACACATGTGGTGAATGGCCTCCCGTTAGGTGTAGACGATAGTACTAGCTGACACACATGTGGGTGGATGTCCTCCAGTCAAGTGTAGACGATAGCACTAGCTGACACACATGTGGTAAATGTCCTCCCGTCTGTTGTAGACGATAGCACTAGCTGACACACATGTGGTTAATGTCCTCCCGTCTGTTGTAGACGATAGATATTACTAGCTGACACACATGTGGTGAATGTCCTCCCGTCTGTTGTAGACGATAGTACTAGCTGACACACATATGGTGAATGTCCTCCCGTCTGTTGTAGACGGTAGTACCAGCTGACACACATGTGGTTAATGTCCTCCCGTCTGTTGTAGACGATAGATAGTACTAGCTGACACACATGTGGGGAATGTTCTCCCGTCTGTTGTAGACGATAGTACTAGCTGACACACATGTGGTGAATGTCCTCCCGTCTGTTGTAGACGATAGATAGTACTAGCTGACACACATGTGGTGAATGTCCTCCCGTCTGTTGTAGACGGTAGTACCAGCTGACACACATGTGGTGAATGTCCTCCCGTCTGTTGTAGACGATAGCACTAGCTGACACACATGTGGTGAATGTCCTCCCGTCTGTTGTAGACGATAGATAGTACTAGCTGACACACATGTGGTGAATGTCCTCCCGTCTGTTGTAGACGGTAGTACCAGCTGACACACATGTGGTGAATGTCCTCCCGTCTGTTGTAGACGATAGCACTAGCTGACACACATGTGGTGAATGTCCTCCCGTCTGTTGTAGACGATAGTAGTAGCTGACACACATGTGGTGAATGTCCTCCCGTCTGTTGTAGACGATAGTAGTAGCTGACACACATGTGGTGAATGTCCTCCCGTCTGTTGTAGACGATAGCACTAGCTGACACACATGTGGTGAATGTCCTCCCGTCTGTTGTAGACGATAGCACTAGCTGACACACATGTGGTGAATGTCCTCCCGTCTGTTGTAGACGATAGTAGTAGCTGACACACATGTGGTGAATGTCCTCCCGTCTGTTGTAGACGATAGCACTAGCTGACACACATGTGGTTAATGTCCTCCCGTCTGTTGTAGACGATAGTACTAGCTGACACACATGTGGTTGATGTCCTCTCGTCTGTTGTAGACGATAGCACTAGCTGACACACATGTGGTGAATGTCCTCCCGTCTGTTGTAGACGATAGCACTAGCTGACACACATGTGGTGAATGTCCTCCCGTCTGTTGTAGACGATAGCACTAGCTGACACACATGTGGTGAATGTCCTCCCGTCTGTTGTAGACGATAGTACTAGCTGACACACATGTGGTTGATGTCCTCTCGTCTGTTGTAGATGATAGATAGTACTAGCTGACACACATGTGGGCGATGTCCTCCCGTCTGTTGTAGATGATATATATTACTAGCTGACACACATGTGGTGAATGTCCTCCCGTCTGTTGTAGATGATAGATATTACTAGCTGACACACATGTGGTGAATGTCCTCCCGTCTGTTGTAGACGGTAGTACTAGCTGACACACATGGGGGTGGATGTCCTCCCGTCTGTTGTAGACGACAGCACTAGCTGACCCACGTGTGGTGAATGTCCTCCCGTCTGTTGTAGATGATAGATATTACTAGCTGACACACATGTGGTGAATGTCCCCCCGTCTGTTGTAGACGATAGCACTAGCTGACACACATGTGGTGAATGTCCTCCCGTCTGTTGTAGACGATAGTAGTAGCTGACACACATGTGGTGAATGTCCTCCCGTCTGTTGTAGACGATAGTACTAGCTGACACACATGTGGTGAATGTCCTCCCGTCTGTTGTAGACGATAGCACTAGCTGACACACATGTGGTTAATGTCCCCCCGTCTGTTGTAGACGATAGTACTAGCTGACACACATGTGGTTGATGTCCTCTCGTCTGTTGTAGACGATAGATAGTACTAGCTGACACACATGTGGTGAATGTCCTCCCGTCTGTTGTAGACGGTAGATATTACTAGCTGACACACATGTGGGTGGATGTCCTCCCGTCAGGTGTAGACGATAATACTAGCTGACACACATGTGGGTGGATGTCCTCCCGTCTATTGTAGACGATAGCACTAGCTGACACACATGTGGGTGATGTCATCCCGTCTGTTGTAGACGATAGTACTAGCTGACACACATGTGGGTGATGTCCTCCCGTCTGTTGTAGACGATAGCACTAGCTGACCCACGTGTGGGGAATGTCCTCCCGTCTGTTGTAGATGATAGATAGTACTAGCTGACACACATGTGGGCGATGTCCTCCCGTCTGTTGTAGATGATATATATTACTAGCTGACACACATGTGGTGAATGTCCTCCCGTCTGTTGTAGATGGTAGATATTACTAGCTGACACACATGTGGTCAATGTCCTCCCGTCTGTTGTAGACGGTAGTACTAGCTGACACACATGTGGGTGGATGTCCTCCCGTCAGGTGTAGACTATAGTACTAGCTGACACACATGTGGGTGGATGTCCTCCCGTCTGTTGTAGACGACAGTACTAGCTGACACACATGTGGTGAATGTCCTCCCGTTAGGTGTAGACGATAGATAGTACTAGCTGACACACATGTGGTGAATGTCCTCCCGTCTGTTGTAGATGATAGATAGTACTAGCTGACACACATCTGGTTAATGTCGTCCCGTCTGTTGTAGACGATAGTACCAGCTGACACACATGGGGGTGGATGTCCTCCCGTCTGTTGTAGACGATAGTACCAGCTGACACACATGTGGTTAATGTCGTCCCGTCTGTTGTAGATGATAGATAGTACTAGCTGACACACATGTGGTGAATGTCCTCCCGTTTGTTGTAGATGACACGGAGATCACAAAGTTGGAATTCGAGGATGATTGGGTTACCAAGTATAAGCTGGGAGCAACGGCAGAGGCGATCGCCCTCTTCGATGCAGCTGATGCAAATGACGATGGCAAAATTACCAAGGCTGATTTACCTTTCATCTTCCAGTATTTCGACATGGACAGTGAGTTTTGGTTTTTTAGTGTTGTTCAGTTCATACATGTATATGTGAACATACAGTGACGATCCTGAAACACGTGCAATAGATGCACACGCGTAGAATGTTTCCGATTTGATTTAGTCCCTATACCTTTGACTTTGGTTTTTTTCGGTGACCAAGTGTCTATGTTGAGGTCCCTGCACCTTATGTGTGTCTGACTATGTTGAGACAGCTGTACCTCATGTGTGTTTGTTGAGATTCCTGCACCTTATGTGTGTCTGTGTCTGTTGAGGTCCCTGTACCTTATGTGTGTCTGACTATGTTGAGACAGCTGTACCTCATGTGTGTTTGTTGAGATTCCTGTACCTTATGTGTGACTGCGTAGGTTGAGGTCCCTGTACCTTATGTGTGTTTGTGTAGGTTGTGGTCCCTGTACCTTATGTGTGTCTGTGTCTGTTGAGGTCCCTGTACCGTATGTGTGTCTGTGTCTTTTGAGATTCCTGCACCTTATGTGTGTCTGTGTTTGTTGAGGTTCCTGTACCTTGTGTGTGTCTGTGTAGGTTGAGTTCCTGTACCTTATGTATGTCTGCGTAGGTTGAGGTCCCTGTACCTTGAGTGAGTGAGTGAGTGAGTGAGTGAGTGGGTGAGTGAGTGAGTGAGTGGGTGAGTGGGTGAGTGAGTGAGTGAGTGAGTGAGTGAGTGAGAGAGTGAGTGAGTGAGTGAGTGAGTGAGTGAGTGAGTGAGTGAGTGACCCAATGTTGTAGCCAAGGTCCCTGTACCTTATGTGTGTCTGTGTCTGTTGAGGTCCCTGTACCTTATGTGTGTCTGCGTAGGTTGAGGTCCCTGTACCTTATGTGTGTCTGTGTCTGTTGTGGTCCCTGTACCTTATGTGTGTCTGTGTCTGTTGAGATTCCTGCACCTTATGTGTGTCTGTGTAGGTTGAGGTTCCTGTACCTTATGTGTGTCTGTGTCTGTTGAGATTCCTGCACCTTATGTGTGTCTGTGTTTGTTGAGATTCCTGTACCTTATGTGTGTCTGTGTCTGTTGAGGTCCCTGTACCTTATGTGTGTCTGTGTCTGTTGAGATTCCTGTACCTTATGTGTGTCTGCGTAGGTTGAGGTTCCTATACCTTATGTGTGCCTGTGTCTGTTGAGATTCCTGCATTTTATGTGTGTCTGTGTTTGTTGAGATTCCTGTACCTTATGTGTGTCTTTGTCTGTTGAGGTCCCTGTACCTAATGTGTGTCTGTGTCTGTTGAGGTCCCTGTACCTTATGTGTGTCTGTGTCTGTTGAGATTCCTGTACCTTATGTGTGTCTGCGTAGGTTGAGGTTCCTGTACCTTGTGTGTGTCTGTGTAGGTTGAGGTCCCTGTACCTTATGTGTGTCTGTGTCTGTTGAGATTCCTGTACCTTATGTGTGTCTGTGTTTGTTGAGATTCCTGTACCTTATGTGTGTCTGTGTTTGTTGAGATTCCTGTACCTTATATGTGTCTGTGTTTATTGAGATCCCTGCACCTTGTGTGTGTCTGTGTAGGTTGTGGTCCCTGTACCTTATGTGTGTCTGACTATGTTGAGGCCCCTGTACCTTATGTGTGTCTGTGTCTGTTGAGATTCCCGTACCTTATGTGTGTCTGTGTCTGTTGAGATTTCTGTACCTTATGTGTGTCTGTGTCTGTTGAGGTCCCTGTACCTTATGTGTGTCTGTGTAGGTTGAGATCCCTGTACCTTATGTGTGTCTGTGTCTGTTGTGGTCCCTGTACCTTATGTGTGTCTGTGTCTGTTGGGGTCCCTGTACCTTATGTGTGTCTGTGTCTGTTGAGGTCCCTGTACCTTATGTGTGTCTGTGTAGGTTGAGATTCCTGTACCTTATGTGTTTCTGTGTCTGTTGAGGTCCCTGTACCTTATGTGTGTCTGTGTCTGTTGAGGTCCCTGTACCTTATGTGTGTCTGTGTCTGTTGAGGTCCCTGTACCTTATGTGTGTCTGTGTCTGTTGAGGTCCCTGTACCTTATGTGTGTCTGTGTCTGTTGAGATTCCTGTACCTTATGTGTTTCTGTGTCTGTTGAGGTCCCTGTACCTTATGTGTGTCTGTGTCTGTTGAGGTCCCTGTACCTTATGTGTGTCTGTGTCTGTTGAGGTCCCTGTACCTTATGTGTGTCTGTGTCTGTTGAGGTCCCTGTACCTTATGTGTGTCTGCGTAAGTTGAGGTCCCTGTACCTTATGTGTGTTTGTGTCTGTTGAGATTCCTGCACCCTGTGTGTGTCTGCGTAGGTTGAGGTTCCTGTACCTTGTGTGTGTCTGTGTCTGTGTCTGTTGAGATTCCTGTACCTTATGTGTGTCTGTGTCTGTTGAGATTCCTGCACCTTATGTGTGTCTGCGTAGGTTGAGGTTCCTGTACCTTATGTATATCTGCGTAGGTTGAGGTCCCTGTACCTTGAGTGAGTGAGTGAGTGAGTGATTGGGTGAGTGAGTGGGTGAGTGGGTGAGTGAGTGAGTGATTGAGTGAGTGATTGAGTGAGTGAGTGAGTGAGTGAGTGAGTGAGTGAGTGAGTGAGTGAGTGAGTGAGTGAATGGATGAGTGACCCAATGTTGTAGCCATGTTGTAGTGTCTCACAATCAAACTGTGTCTGTTTCAGGTGACGGCTCCGTTGACATGAATGAGTTCCTGACACAGTGGGGAGACCTCTCTCTGGTCCCAGTCCAAATAGGAAAGTAGGAGTTATGTCCCCTGATAACACACACCATTTGAATTGTACATTTAATAAACGTCTTTTGTCTCTAAATGCCTTTTTTCATTATTTGTTTAATCGATGCGAACGATCCTATATCAATAGAACGACTCAGTATTTAGTCATGTAGTGGTATACCAGTATTGAATATCGGGACTGGCCCTTGAGTTGATGAGTGAGTGAGTGAGAAGGTGACGGGGTTGGACATATGAATCGGTAGTATCTCTTCTATATTACAAGCCCCTGCGAAGGCATACCAGAGATATATTCAGTCATCTGGGTCGGGAGACATCGTTGTCTAGTGTGAACTCTACCCATGCCATTAGGCGGGGAGACATTATTGTCTAGTGTGAGCTCTACCCATGTGAGGGGGAAAGGGAGACATCATTGTCTAGTGTGAGCGCTACCCATGCCATTAGCCAGGGAGACATTATTGTCTAGTGTGAGCTCCACCAATGTGACGGGGAAAGGGAGACATCATTGTCTAGTGTGAGCGCTACCCATGCCATTAATTTAGGTAGGGATACATTATTGTCTAGTTGGAGACTGTACTTATGTCACGAGGGCAGGGAGACATCATTGTCTAGTGTGAACTCTACCCATGCCATTATGCGGGGAGACATTATTGTCTAGTGTGAGCTCTACCCATGTGACGGGGAAAGGGAGACATCATTGTCTAGTGTGAGCGCTACCCATGCCATTAGCCAGGGAGACATTATTGTCTAGTGTGAGCTCCACCAATGTGACGGGGAAAGGGAGACATCATTGTCTAGTGTTAGCGCTACCCATGCCATTAGCCAGGGAGACATTATTGTCTAGTGTGAGCTCCACCAATGTGACGGGGAAAGGGAGACATCATTGTCTAGTGTGAGCGCTACCCATGCCATTAATTTAGGTAGGGATACATTATTGTCTAGTGGGAGACTGTACTTATGTCACGAGGGCAGGGAGACATTATTGTCTCGTGTGAGCTCCACCCATGTCACGAGGGAAGGGAGGCATCATTGTCTAGTGTGAGCTCCACCTATGTCACGAGGGAAGGGAGGCATCATTGTCTAGTGTGAGCGCTACCCATGTGACGGGGAAAGGGAGACATCATTGTCTAGTGTGAGCGCTACCAATGTGACGGGGAAAGGGAGACATCATTGTCTAGTGTGAGCGCTACCCATGCCATTAATTTAGGTAGGGATACATTATTGTCTAGTGGGAGACTGTACTTATGTCACGAGGGCAGGGAGACATTATTGTCTCGTGTGAGCTCCACCCATGTCACGAGGGAAGGGAGGCATCATTGTCTAGTGTGAGCTCCACCCATGTCACGAGGGAATGGAGGCATCATTGTCTAGTGTGAGCGCTACCCATGTGACGGGGAAAGGGAGACATCATTGTCTAGTGTGAGCGCTACCCATGTGATGGGGAAAGGGAGACATCATTGTCTAGTGTGAGCGCTACCCATGCCATTAATTTAGGTAGGGAGACATTATTGTCTAGTGGGAGACTGTACTTATGTCACGAGGGCAGGGAGACATTATTGTCTAGTGTGAGCTCCACCCATGTCACGAGGGCAGGGAGACATTATTGTCTCGTGTGAGCTCCACCCATGTCACGAGGGAAGGGAGGCATCATTGTCTAGTGTGAGCTCCGACCATGTCACGAGGGCAGGGAGACATTATTGTCTAGTGTGAGCTCCACCCATGTCACGAGGGAAGGGAGGCATCATTGTCTAGTGTGAGCGCTACCCATGTGACGGGGAAAGGGAGACGTCATTGTCTAGTGTGAGCGCTACCCATGTGACGGGGAAAGGGAGACATCATTGTCTAGTGTGAGCTCCACCCATGTCACGAGGGAAGGGAGACATCATTGTCTAGTGTGAGCGCTACCCATGTGACGGGGAAAGGGAGACATCATTGTCAAGTGGGAGACTGTACTTATGTCACGAGGGCAGGGAGACATTATTGTCTCGTGTGAGCTCCACCCATGTCACGAGGGAAGGGAGACATCATTGTCTAGTGTGAGCTCCACCCATGTCACGAGGGAAGGGAGGCATCATTGTCTAGTGTGAGCGCTACCCATGTGACGGGGAAAGGGAGACATCATTGTCTAGTGTGAGCGCTACCCATGTGATGGGGAAAGGGAGACATCATTGTCTAGTGTGAGCGCTACCCATGCCATTAATTTAGGTAGGGAGACATTATTGTCTAGTGGGAGACTGTACTTATGTCACGAGGGCAGGGAGACATTATTGTCTAGTGTGAGCTCCACCCATGTCACGAGGGCAGGGAGACATTATTGTCTCGTGTGAGCTCCACCCATGTCACGAGGGAAGGGAGGCATCATTGTCTAGTGTGAGCTCCACCCATGTCACGAGGGCAGGGAGACATTATTGTCTAGTGTGAGCTCCACCCATGTCACGAGGGAAGGGAGGCATCATTGTCTAGTGTGAGCGCTACCCATGTGACGGGGAAAGGGAGACATCATTGTCTAGTGTGAGCGCTACCCATGTGACGGGGAAAGGGAGACATCATTGTCAAGTGGGAGACTGTACTTATGTCACGAGGGCAGGGAGACATTATTGTCTCGTGTGAGCTCCACCCATGTCACGAGGGAAGGGAGGCATCATTGTGGGGGTGGGGTGGGGGGGGGGGGGTGGGGGGGGGGGGGGGGGGGTGGTGGTGGTGATTATGGGTTTCGGGGGTCATGAACAAATAACAGCGAAAGAAGGGGGTCGACAAAATGACACAGTTCTATGTTTTCTCAAATGAAAAAGTTATAAATTTCATAAAAACATTATGTACGGACTGGTCATATGTTATGGGTGAAGGGCATGAAAAAATATTACAGATATTTGGGTGAAATAAAATATTGGGGGGGGGGGGGGGGGGGGGGGGATAAGCAGGTTATGATACAGTCCAATCCAACTGCCCACCCCCCTTATAATAAACGACCAGTCCCTATGTTATACCTGTATGTTTATACACCTCACTCCAAGCAGGAAAGGATGAGTGAATGTGTTATTTCGACTGAGACTTTCAAACTTTTAAAGTCTTACAGAACCGAAAACAGTATGCTCTTAGAAGAAACATAAACCCAGCATGCATTACGAAACTCTCATTACTATATCTCTATGTTCGTTGTTTAACGCCACACTCAGCACTATTCCAGCCATATGACGTAGGCCTGTAAATTATCGAATTTGGACCAGACAATCCAATGATCGATATTGTGAGCAACATACTGAGGTATATGGATTCGAAACTAGGCAATTGCAGGAGATTCGTGTTTTTTCGTCAAGGAATGGCTGAAGGTTCTACTACACCAAATCAGAACCAGTTTGGACAGTGCGGTTTTCAGTGCAGATCGAGAGATATCTACAGGCTGTGATTGGAGGATATTCTGTAAGATTTTTATGTCTTTCAAATGAAATCCATCCAGTAATTAAAACTGACCATGTTTTTCTATATTTAGTGCTGTCTTTTTCAACATGATGACTGATGCTGAATGTGACCACAGCTATTTTCAAGTAGGTGACATTTGGTGCAAAACTGGGGATGGTGTGTTTAGCTTCCTGTACTCGGAAAAGGAGCTTGCTAAGCTAGTCATTTTTTATGTTTTTATTGCTGCTCTAAGGCCAAACTGTGCACACACGTACAGGTAATAGCTGTTGAATGCTTAAAAAAATATAACGTTACTATAGAAGTCTATGGGAAAACATTTGGTTGTGTGTAACCTGAACATGGCATTGCGTTGTTCGGGATATTCTAGTAAGCATGAATACATCTACAGATCTGAAGGAGCCGCGACCCTGCTATTTGTGTCACATTCAGCCATCAAATACATTAAACGTCAACTGAAGAAATAAGCACAATCACTAACTTCACAGATTGGACAGGTTCATTCCAGTACTTTGGTTTGCAAGGTTCTTGAGATCTTACACAGGGGAAGACAGCACACTGCTTCATCGCACAAAGGATGAAGTGCTAAATTAAAATAATAAGTCAAGTTTGTTTCGCACACATACACGGACGCGCGCGCACGCACGCACACACACACGTACACATACACGCGCGCACACATGTACGCATACACGCGTACACACACACATAAACACACGCACAAATACACTCACACACTCACGCACGCATACTTACATATACACACATAGATTTTTTTATCATATAATGGGTAGGTTTCTCGGCAGGATAAAGCCAACGGATAAAAACGATATCCGTTGGGGTCATATGCGGATAGAGATGCAAATATCAAAGGTCACGTAGGGACTACTTTCACTGTTTATAAACAAACACGGCGTCGCACTCGTCATTCGGCGATCGAGTCAGAATTAACCATCGGGAATCTGGATAAACTACAGGCATAATTGCTATCATTATCAAAAGAACAGTCTAATATACTGAAAATCTGTGTCTAACTGTGACGTAGCTAAGGCATTTTATAAGTTTTGGCAACTTTGGAGATATACATTTCGAAACAATTTGGCGAGGGCACGAGACCTAGCCAAGCGGGATCAGTAGCCATATCTGTGCTTGTAGACCTCTGCGGCTTGAAACCTCCTCCACAAATTAAAATAGTTGGATTTGGCGGAAATATGTTTGAATTGTTACCTTGTTTCGTTTTTTCGCTGTGTGTACATCTGACAACACTTCTTATCGTTATGACATGACAGACCGACTGTCAACAACATCTGACCGTGGCCGTGACGTCTCATAGACTAGGGTTAGAGTAGTTTCCCTTTGACAAAGGGCAGTTACTCTAGCGGACAGACCGATGGATTGCCGCGAAAGACAATTAAAAACAATTGTTGTTTTGCGTATATGTTGCTTGGCCACTGTATAAGAAACATATTTCAGTTGGAACTATATTGGCTACTGTCACTGTCCGACTGACACATCACTTACCCTGTGACGTAATAAATATTAATGCGCGCATTCCAGGAAAACTCTCAATGTTTCGGTAATGTTTGTGAGTGAGGGTAAAGCGATTTTGAAGCACAGAATTAAAGAATGACATTATATGATAAAGAGGTTATCACGCTTGTGTGTTTGGGGATGGTAAATATCCTGTATTAGGAATAAACACTATGTATTTAGCTCGCCAAGGCTCCCTTAATACAATGTTTATTCCTAATGCAGGATATTTACCATCCCCAAACACACTCGCGTGATAACCTCTATATATTCCGCATTCGAATACTTACACACACTCACACACATACACACACAGACACAGAGACACACATATGGATTCGTGTTTTATTGTCAACGAATGGCTGAACATGGCATTGCGTTATTCGTGATATTCTAGTGGGTATGAATACATCGACAGATCTAAAGGAGCAGCGACCCTGCTATTTGTGGAAGTGGTCACGTGACACTGATAACAGATTAACATCTCCGACAGCATGGTAAGTGGACTTTTTCTTTATAGAATTTATAACCTCAGTTGGAATAAAACAGTTTACTTATACATCTGTAAGTACAAATACATTCACCAAGAGATGTGTGATGTGTGTTACAATAAAGCTGAAAACAATTTGCTATTTGTTTAGAAATTAGAAAATCATTCCGTATGAAGTTTATTTGTACACAAGAAATAAAGTCAGTATCTTTTTGTCAAGTGTAAACTATTATATACCCAGCAGGGCCGTACCCAGGTCAGTACACCTTACAAGGCACACAAGGATGCCAGTCTGTAAGGGTTTGTCAACAAATATACTCACCGCCAAAAGAAACGCGGACCACGGAAACATGTAGAGAAATATGTGCGTTATGAAGAGATGTTTCCAATGTGTACCAATTAATGATAAAACTAACAATAAGTCAAGTGTTGCCACAGTGTGACTTTATTCTTATCGCGATATGCTGTACGTGATTTCCAAACCAAATCTAATCCTGCAAGAGACAAATGGTGATCTCGTGTCATGGATCTATGACGTCACATGTGATACGTTCATCAGCGTCGAACCAATGTACATGTAACATCTCTTCAATGTGAGTAAGTCTTCACATGTTAACCAACATTTATGGTATTCACGTTTCTTTTGGCGGTGAGTATATACCTCACGAATAAAAAGATAAGCCATTTCGTTCGAATATCTAGAAGTCAACCAAATAATACAAAACTATTGAATCGAATAGTTGTGACATACAACGAAACCCCGCTAATTCGGATTAATGGGGTCCGGATAGACGAGATGTTGGTGTATTCCACGTGTGGAATGACTATCTCAGTTTGTAGATTCCACGTTATCAGAAGTTCTAGTAGGCATGTGAAACTGACAGGTGCGCTGGTCATATTCAGCCATCAAATACAGTAAACGTCCACTAAAGAAATAAGCATAAGCACTAACTTTACAGATTGGACAGGTTGATTCCAGTACTTTGGTTTTCAAGGTTCTTGAGATCTTACACAGGAGGAGACAGCACACTGCTCCATCGCATGGGGGATGAAGTGCTAAATTAAAATAATAACAGTCACGTTTGTTTCGCACACATACACGCACGCACACAATCATAAACAAACACGCACACATACACTCACACACACACACGCACGCACACTTACACATACACACATAGATTTATATATTCCGCATACGAAAACTTACACTCACACACATACAGACAGACACAGATACATTCAAAGACACACAGACAGACACACACAAAGAGATTAGACAGACAGACAGACACAGACGCAGACAGACACGCAGAGACACGGACACACACACATACACACACACACTCACACACAGACACACACACATATATACATACAGACAGACAGACACACAGACAGACACACCCACACACACAGACACATACACATACACACATACAGACAGACACAGACAGACAGACACACACACACACTTACAGTACAATGTAAATATGAGAGATGTGTATCTCTCATGTTTACGGGACCGCCTCCGTGGTCTAGTGGGTAGAGCATCTACCAGGAGAGCGCAAGTTCGGTGGTTCGATCCCCGGCAGGTCATACCAAAACACATTAAAAGATGGTACTTGTTGTACCCTGTCTGGCGCTCGGCATAGAGGGGCTAAATCAAGGATTGGTCGGCATGGAGTCAGTATACCGTGTCTCTCTTGGGTATCCTTAAATTGATATCTGTGGCATGGTATCTCAGTGGGCTAGCACACACGTACATGCATGTCGCTATATAGGAGGAATAATCTTGAGTTTCATGTTGTTCAACGCCGCACTCGGCAATATTCCAGCTATATGACGGCGGTCTGTAAATAATAGAGCCTGGAACAGACAATCCAGTGATTGACATCATGAACAATTGGGATACGATGATATGTATCAACCGAGTCAGTGAGCCTGACAACCCGATCCCGTCAGTCGCCTCTTACGACAAGCATAGTTGCCTTTTACGGCATGCCTGGGTTGCTGAAGACCTACTCTATCCCACGGGTCGAATAATCTTGAACTTCATTTCCCCTCACCCACATCTCATATTTATGACCTTAATTGATGACATTCTACTTTCAGATTAGTCTATCCGGGATATTGAGTATAGTTGTCATCGCAGCTTTGACGTTGGGGTGAGCAGACTTCCTGTATGGCCTTATATTGTTATATTAACCAGGAGTGCGACAGGTCGGTGGTTCGATACCCGGGCACGTCATATCAAAGAGACGTTACAAGATGGCGCTCGGCATTAAGCAGATAAAACAAGAGTTGGTCAGCTCGGAATCAGTGTACTTAGAAATCCATGCAAAGTTAAAACCCATTTCTCTAAGTCAACTTCACTATGCTTCTTTGTACGACCATTTCTGGTGTCCCCCGCCGTGATATTGCTGGAATATTCCTAAAAGCGGCGTAAAACCATACTCACTCACTCACTCTTTGTACGAACCCTACCATTGCCTGAAATTAATGCAATATGTCGTTGGTGTTTGTCGCACTCAGCAATATTCCAGCTGCATGACGGCGGTCTGTACATAACCGAGTCTGGACCAGACAATCCAGTGATTAACATCATGAGCATCGATCAACACATTTAGGGAAGCAATGTGTAGAACAAGCAGCCACAAGACGAACCCCATGAGACCATTGTCGTTTGCACAAAGTAAACGCGGCAATCATTGGTCTAAGACGTCGATGACGTCACTCTTGCTGCAACCAAGCCTTTCCTTGATTCGTTGCTTAAAAATTAGTGATAGTGGGTGAGCGTTGTGGATAAAATCCGTGATGTATTTCATGTAAACACGTTCTGTAAAGGCATTTAAAAGTTTTAGTTGCTATTTCTATTATGTTAGGTATGAATTGGACACTATTTGCCAAATGCTAGTGTTTATGTTGTAATGAGCCTGTGGGTGTTGTTGTCCCCAGGGTGATGGGCCACCCCGAGCGTCCCCCCCTCGTCGACCCTACTCAGGCCAGGCAGTTGTTTCATCTTGCCGAGATGAACAGGACAGCAGATGGGTTTCTCACAAAGCTGGAAGTCGCTGACATATTTACTGCATTTGATGGGAACGGTGAGCACTGGAGACATAAAACATTATCTTACTCCCATGTCAGAATGGTGGGATCTGATGGGTTCACGTGATCTTGATAAAATACTGTGTTAATGCCAGATGAAAGGTACTATATTTCTTGTTGATAACCAAGCGTTTTTCCGGTTGGCTCTGTATTATCAAGTCTAGTTCCGGGGAGACAAGTGGTATTAAGTCTAGGTTCGGGGAGACAAGTAATATCAAGTCTAGTTCCGGGGAGACAAGTAATATCAAGTCTAGTTCCGGGGAGACAAGTGATATCAAGTCTAGTTCCGGGGAGACAAGTAATATCAAGTCTAGTTCCGGGGAGACAAGTGATATCAAGTCTAGTTCCGGGGAGACAAGTAATATCAAGTCTAGTTCCGGGGAGACAAGTAATATCAAGTCTAGTTCCGGGGAGACAAGTAATATCAAGTCTAGTTCCGGGGAGACAAGTGATATCAAGTCCAGTTCCGGGGAGACAAGTGATATCAAGTCTAGTTCCGGGAAGACAAGTAATATCAAGTCTAGTTCCGGGGAGACAAGTGATATCAAGTCTAGTTCCGGGGAGACAAGTAATATCAAGTCTAGTTCCGGGGAGACAAGTGATATCAAGTCTAGTTCAGGGGAGGCAAGTAATATCAAGTCTAGTTCCGGGGAGACAAGTAATATCAAGTCTAGTTCCGGGGAGGCAAGTAATATCAAGTCTAGGTTCGGGGAGGCAAGTAATATCAAACCTACAACATCCTTCTAACTCAGTGACACAAATCTACATCCAGATCAGGAATATATCGTCCATATCCGGGTGGATCAAGTGCATGAAGTTTTGTGGCTCATTGATATTCGATGTGCAGTTGCTTCCCATAGCCGTGCATAGATCTGCTTGTCGGGTGCTTGAATCCAGTAATGAACCTCGGTATGCTAGCCTAATACCTGGGATCGCTGGTCCAAAGTGCACGTTCATCCCATGTCAAGCTCACCGCCGGGATATAACTTAATTCTGTTTAAAGCGGCGTTAAATCCAACTCACTCACTCACTGCACCTATATTATAACCGGGGGCCGCGATTCGCTGTGCAGAGTTGCGCCCCTTGGGCACGCCAGAAACCTATGATTGTGGGTTCGAATCCCGGTTCTAGGTTTGTCAGCACCATACCCGTGCTCGTGGGTTTCACCGAAGTGGTAAACGTCTGAGACCTGCATCACTTCGGGCTTTCCTCCCACATTAAGCCGACACACCGTGATATAACTGGAATACTGTTAAAAGCGGCGTTAAACAAAACTCACTTACTCACTTATATTATAACCTGTACTCATATGATACGTTACTGTTATGTTACTGTTATCCCCAGGTGACGGGACGATCGCGGAGGCGGAGTTCACTGCCCACTGGCAGAGTCGGAATCTCGGCAGCGTCCTGGCCGCCGTCTACCTCTTCCACCGCGCCGACACCGACCAGAACGGCATCATCACCCGAACACCCGACATGGACAGGGTCTTCAGCTACTTCGACCTCGACGGTAGATATTATGATAAACTGTTATTGAGGCACACAACGAACACTCCCCAAGCTACCATGAATTAAGTACACTTAAGTACACTCTGTCTGCCTCTACCCGTGAAGATCCGGGTAATGAAAGGTCTTCAGCAACCCATGCTTGGCGTAAGAGGCGACTAACGGGATCAAATGGTCAGGCTCGCTGACTTGGTTGATTCATGTCATCGTATCACAATTGCGTAGGTCAATGCTCATGATGTCAAACACTGGGTTGTCTTGTCTTGACTCGATTATTTACAGACCGCCGTCATATAGCTGTCCTACTGCTGAGTGCGGCGTCAAACAACAAACACACAGACAAAGAAACACACAAACAAACAAACAAACAAAGAAAGTTAAATGGGGTGGGGTAGTTACAATGGCTCATTGCGTGTCCGGTTGGTGTGATTCTGACACTATTTACACTGACTGACTGAGTTTTGTTTTAACGCCGCTTTTAGCAATATTCCAGCAATATCACGGCGGGGGACACCAGAAATGGGCTTCACACATTGTACCCATGTCGGGAATCGAACCCGGGTCTTCGGCGTGACGAGCGAACGCTTTAACCACTGGGCTACCCGACCGCCCCTGTTATTTCCAATCAGCAACATGAGCTGTGCTATTGCTCGCTCACAGGGACATGGAATGCCTTCCATCTCATGCGCCGCAGTTCGTTCTGCAGTTAGTGCTTCACGAAGGCGTGTCATGATCCTATGATTTTGGTTAGAATCCCAAATTCGCCTGATTGGGATTCTAAATTCTAGGATTGTCAGCACCATATCCGTGATCGTGTGTTTTACCAAAGTATAAACGTCTATGGTCCGCGTATATTCGGGCTCTCTTCCAACATCAAGATTACACCCCATGATATTGCTGAAATACAGTTCAAAGCGGCGTTAATCTCAAACTTTGTCACTCAAACCCTCACATTCAGCCAATGCTGACTATGTGAGTGAGTGAGTGAGTTTTGTTTTAAGCCGCTTTTAGAAATATCCCACTCGGGGTATAACAGAAATGGGTTTCACACATTGTACCCATGTCGGGAATCGAACCTGGGTCTTCGACGTGACGAGCGGAAGCTATAACCACTGGGCTACCCAATCGCCCCTCTGATATATGACACCATTTAGTCAGCAAATATTACACGTAATGCTCACAATGTTCCCGATACACTGAGATACCCCCTTGTATTAAGGGCATGAGTAGATCTAGTCGGATGTTTTGAAAGCTTAGTGTGAACGTTGTCTTAGGAACAACACCGTGCCTGCGTCTCCATGTTCAGCGGCCTGACAGGAATACGTGATGCGTCATAAAATATCCCCCAATCACTCAAACCGAGTGAAATGGGCGATCTTTTTCAATTTATGTTCCCTTCACTAACCCGCTAGGAGCGCTGACCCGGACGGTCCAACCTCAAACTGGCGGCGCATGTGGAATGCGCGATACGAGCAGTACATGTTATTATCACACCTATAGACAGTTAACCAGTTAACCTTCACCTACATCGGCAACGTGTGCTTTTGTGAGTGAATTTTAGTTATGAGTGTGTGAGCGAGCGGCATCGCATGAGACCATCCCTTTATCTCAGAACAGCTTGGGTTTCCTGCATTCGGGATCAATAATCACAGCAGCATCACACCATTTTTCGTGGACGATTAGCACTTTGTGATCGGTTACAGTTCTTCTACAGTATTGCTGTCTATTTCCAGATAACGGAAAAGTTAGCGAACCCGAGTTTGTCGTCGTTTGGGCCAGTCTGACGTCATAACTGGAGCATATGCTGAAGATATGGCCACCATCCTTGAAAGATAGAAATTATGAGAATAAAAAGTAAAGTATTTTCAAAAACTGATTTATTCTGTTTTCTGTGATATGAAAATATTCATTTCTGAAAAAATGAAAGAAATGGCCATCACGCAAAGTAAACAAAGAAACCACAAAAATAACAAAATGTACATTTGCAACACATTTCATGAACTATAATTTGTTCTATAATTGAAATTGTTTGCTTGAAATATTCAAACCAAAGTGATCAATTAACGGTATAGATAAAGCTTGGTAAATGTCCAAAACAAATGAAATATTGTCTGGTATATAAGAATTGTCATAGTTGAAATAGCATTTTTATCTTTTAATTAAATACGAAGAGAAAGGGTGTTCCCATTTTTTGCATCCTCTTGCCTATATCAAGGCCTAGTTTCTACAATACTTTGATAAAAAGGCTAGTGGACGCTCTTGCATCGGGAAGATTATTTTTTGGGTACTTACGGTACATTGCGTCTCCAGGAAAGAAGGAACTTAAAAAACTTTTCTAGTGGCAATATTATAAGTTCTGTATTTATCAAACTCTTTCTATTTCGACAAACTAAACATCGATGGCACATTTTCACTGTATATAAACCGTTACAGCAACGGTGGTCAAAGTTGTGATCAGCTCAATTTGAAAGGTCATTGACATGCACAGACAAGCTGACGAACTGGTTCAGGTAAGTACGGATAAGATATATATATGGATGAACCACTTCTTTATTACAATTAAGAGCGACGTTTCGGTGTAGGTTCTAACACCGTTATCAAGCAAGTGATGTTTCTATGTTGGAACCTACAGCGAAACGTAATAAATTGTAATAAAGAAGTTGTTCATCCATATGTCTTATCCTTACTTAGGACCCCAACTCCTCAATAGCTCTCAAAGAAGTTAGTTTTCGGTAATCAGAACATTTATCGATCCGTTATTTTCAAAGTATGAACAATTTTTGGAACAGGATTGATGATGCTGTTCTTCTGTCACTTGGCTATTTCATGCATAATCCCAGTTTGAAGAGTGAGTGAGTGAGTGAGTATGGTTTTACGCCGCTTTTAGCAATATCACGGCGGGGGACACCAGAAATGGGCTTCACACATTGTACCCATGTCGGGAATCGAACCCGGGTTTTCGGCGTGACGAGCGAACGCTTTAATCACAAGGCTACCCGACCGCCCCCAGTTTGAAGAGACTTAGAAAGGGCGGATCGAGCATTTTTACAAGACAGGGGTCCAAAATATAATTGAGACAAAACTTTCTCTCAGATAATTTAACTGCCAACACAACATACTACATGGGGGTTTCCAAAGGGTGGGGATGGATGGGGTCGAGGGGGGAGGGTTCCGGACCCTCTGGACACCACCAACCCTCCCTCCCACAACACACAGACGCACTGCCCCCCCCCCCCCCCCCCCCCCCTCTGGATCCGCGTCCTGGGAGCCTCCCCACCGTGACACACAACCGATACAGACATGCTTGTAGTGATGCACATTGCCGCGGGAACAAGAGACAACACCACATAAGTGAAGAACAGCGGTGAATAAATAACTCCATTATTAAAAACATGATTAACATGATTAAATGCGCCAGGTGCATACTAGTTTTTGAAAAGACAACCTCTAACGTGTCACTGCTTAAAGAGAGAGGTTACTTAACCAGCTGCTGCTGACGCCACCAACGTTGGGATGCTTGGGTTACCCTGAGACTTCCATACAGATGAGGTAGTCGAGTGTAACATTCAACTACTGGTGAGAATAAATCTAGCCCATTATCTTTGAAAATAACACATTGGATCTCTTGTATTATGTCATTTACCGGGTTCATACACCATTGTGGGTCATGATGGATCATGTTTTTTGTAAGTGTTAGGGGCAAGAAATTGATTTGTGTGTTTGTGTGTTGGGCGGGATGAAGCAGGAGAGTTGAATGCATACCTCTTGCCTTAAAGTCTTGTGGGGAGTCTGGTCGGTCATTGTGTATCTTTAGATAGGATGAGGCGGTCACTGGTCTCTCCCATTTTAGATCAGTTTGTAAATCAGAGTAAGGGAATTGGCTATTTGATGGTTATTGTACGATATCAGATCATCTGTATACCTGAAGCTTAAGTTACATTTCTTGGCCTATCTCCCTTGTTTTGATTTTGCAATAAGAGCAGAAATCCTATAAAGAAAACAGATCGACCAGAAGGGCAGAACAGTTAGTGCCCGTGGGGATGCCTACTTCTTACCTTATCCCTAGATTAAATAGATGTTATCAACGAGGAAGTCCAGCATTTAATATATAGTAAACTACGGTTACAACGAACTCAAAGTGACCACTATTTTTAATTCGTTATAACCGTAGTTTATTATAAGCATATATACAGCACATAAACAGCAAACTGGCCCTAAAACAGTACGTTATATCCGTCAGTTCGTTATAAGGATGGTCGTTATGAACGTAGTTTACTGTTTTGTTTTCTCAGTAAACATGAAGTGACATTATCTGTGGTCCCCACGATTGCTAACAATCAAGGAATGACGTTTTTCCTAAAGTTGGTCTTTTGACACTTGTGTACGAAGTTGGAAAATCAGCATTGAAGTTGGTTCTTTCCGGAGATTACAAAATGTCCTGCCTTTGAGGTTTCAAGAGTGAGTGAGTGAGTATGGTTTTACGCCGCATTTAGCAATATTCCAGCAATATCACGGCGGGGGACACCAGAAATGGTCGTACAGAGAAGCATAGTGTCTGGTTGTCTGGCCTTGACTCGATTATCTACAGACAGCCGTCATATAGCTGTTCTACTGCTGAGTGCGGCGTCAAACAACAAACACACAGACAAAGAAACACACAAACAAACAAACAAAGTTTAATGGGGTGGGGTAGTTACAATGGCTCATTGCATGTCCGGTTGGTGTGATTCTGACACTATTTACAATGACTGACTGAGTATTGTTTTTACGCCGCCTCCAGCAATATTCCAGCTATATCACGGCGGGGGACACCAGAAATGGGCTTCACACATTGTACCCATGTCGGGAATCGAACCCGGGTCTTCGGCGCGACGAGCGAACGCTCTAACCACTAGGCTACCCGACCGCCCCTTGAGGTTTCAAGAATCCACCTGGTCCTTCCTTGCTTGTGCTAATGATTACATTGAATCCTTTGTTACAGGGATTTAGTGGTACATTTGCTGGACCCAGCAATATATCCCTCTCTTTATACAGATATTTATGGAGCTTTGGAATCCAGTACAGAGTAGAAGAGAATGGACATGTCGATAAGAGTCAAGTCAAAAGTTAATAGTGCTGATGCAGGATTTTTGAAGAGATCTTCGTCAGTTAACATTCAGGACTCAAATATGGCATTATTTGACACGTCACATGGAAATAAGACATGTTCAAATTGGTGACATAACCGTGTCTGTTGCTTGTACCTGTACATTTGAACTTCGATCGTCTTCAATTCAACAGGAACGGCTAAAAGGAGCGCAAAGGGATGATTTTGTTGACGTAAAGGGACAACGAAATTTAACAGTACACTTGGGTTTGACCAAAAGATATAAGAGGTTAGCAAAACGTTAGTAGGCTGAAAACAGTCCCCGAAACAATGCAAACCTCAAACACAACTATGATACCTGTATCATCACAATGGAATAGCCGATTCTTGGTTGCTTCATTTTAGCCACCATCAAATACGGGTGAAAACTTTCTTAAGTCTGACCCAACATGATTATTTCACCATATGTCTAAAACATGCAAGTTTGAAACAAACAAACTCGTTCTCTTATCTGCAGAGAAAGACGTGCTCATTCCTGAAGTTATACAGGTCATGTGGGTACAACAAGACCCTCGTCATACCGCGTACTTGCGACGCCTGTCACTATTAAACTTCATCAGCTCAGGGCCCTTGCCCCCTCTACACGCAGCCCAGACAGCGAATGAGACTTCTCCCAGGAAGCGTACACAGAACTTTTCGGGTCGTACCATGGATGGACCTCTGTGTCAAAACCACAAGCATGGCGAAGACGGTAATAACATGATCGAGCCACCCCATCATGTCGTTTAAGATACTGTGTTTGTGTCAAAGCTGGGCAACCGCTGACAATGTGTTGGAGAGTCTCATTATATTCATTACATAATCTACTTTTCATATTTACATTTTGATGCAAAATCAGACATTGGCGGTTTCGAGTGGGAAGTGACTGGTCCTAAGCAGCCAACAGAAAGCCTTCTGTTTCACTTTTCAGGCCCACGACCTCATCCAAGCGAAGGACGCTGCAGGGTTGCTGGCCCTCTCAACACACTGCACATAAACTCGATGCAGTGGTCGTTCAGAAAGCCTCTCCTTGAAAAACTGAGTCTGGACCGATTTGATACGGCACTTCGCTTGGTTGATACTCATTTCTGTACCGTCCAGCAGTACAGAACCATCAACAAAATCAACACTGATATTGAGATTATGTCCCACATCCTTGGCTCGTTTTAGAAAACAGTGGAGTGCCTTGTTTTCATCATGAGTCTTGACATGCTTCACAAGATGATCATCAGACAAATGAATGTGTGCAAAGGTGCACAAAACAATTCTATCATGTAGAGCCCCAACGTTAATCAAACCACGCCCTCCCATAATGATTGGTAAATATAAGCGATTGAGGGAAGAGCGAGGGTGGTGGGATCTATTGTCTGACATGATTCTTCGTGTGAGGGTGTCACTACCCTGAATTTCTTGTTTCGTCCAATCAACAACACCAACAGAATATGAAAGGACGACACAGCATAAGTATTTGTTGCTTTGACTTTATTGCGAGCGTTCAGCTCTGAACTCCAGATTCTACATTTATACGCTGCCCGAAGTTTTTCCTTGATATGGGCATTCTGGAGTTTGTCCCTAATCTGCATCCCTAAGTACGTATAGTCCTGACCTTCCACGAGGTGGTCAATAACTCCTCCTCCATGTAAACTGACTGATCCTCCCTCTTCTACCTTGCCACGTTTCAAATGAAGAATGTTGCATTTGTCAAGTCCAAAGGACATACCGATATCATTAGAAAAGGACTCGACAAGCACAATCTGTTTTTGAGTTTAGATCCTCCATTTGCAATAAGTTCAAGGTCGTTCATGTAAAGGAGGTGAGTAAGGGGTGTTGGGGATCTGTGCTGAGCAGGTCCCGGGTGATAACCTTCCTCTTTGCTCAGCAAAAACCTTAAAGGATTCAATGACAACCAGAAAAGCAAAGGACCGAAAGAATCGCCCTTACATATTCCTCTTCTAATAGAAATGGCTTCCGAAGTCACCAACAGCCCCTGCGAATACATCTCAAGTTGAGTTGACCAGCAATTAATTAAATACTTGAGTAAAACAAGTAGTCGCTCGGGGAGGTCAATACATTCCAGTGACCTCAAAATCCATTCGTGAGGTACAGATTGAGAGGTTACGGTGGTATTTTTCTTCTTCTTCTTATTATTATTCTTCACAGAATGTATGACGGTCTGATAAACAGATGTGAAGGTAAGATGTGTAGGAGTATAGAGAAGGGAGAGGTGATGGTTTGAGGGGTTGGGTGTCAGGGCGGGAAAGGATGAACGTCTTATAGGGTGGAATGTACAGATTTTTGCGTGAGTGAGTTTGGTTTTACGCCGTTTTTTAGAAATATTCCAGCAATATCACGGCGGGGGACACCAGAAATGGGCTTCACACATTGTACCCATGTACAGATTTGGAGCATCTGTGGGTAGGGCTATAGGGGTGTAGGGGTGAGGCTGTAGAGATGATGGAGTTGACAGTCTGGAGTATAGAGATGGGATGGTGATGGTCTGACGGGTGTGATGTTGAGACGGAAGCGGTGATATTCCGAGGGTAGTAATGTTACGGTGGCCCATAAGGGACACGGAGTCTGTTTTTCAATATTTTGATATTTCACTTACTGTTATCGTAACCTTTTGCAAATTACCACGATTTGTCTTACAAATATGTGATAAATCATGTGTAAAGAAGATATTGAATCGCTGAAAAGAGAAACGAAAATGTCAAAAACTAAAATGAAAATGTCAAAAACTAAAATGAAAATACAGAAAACTATTTCCACCGCGGTGATAATATTTACATCGCGGTGGAAATAGTTTTCTGTGTATTCATTTTCTATGTTTTCGGATGTTTTTATACATGATTTATCACATATTTGTATGGCAGATTGTGTTAATTTGCAAAAGGTTAAGATAAAAGTAAGTTAAACATCAAAATATTGAAAAACAGACTCCATGTCCCTTATGGGCCACCGTAGAATGTAGAGATAGGTGATGTGATAGTGGTGGGGTAGAGATGTAGAAAGGGTTGAGGTGAATTTCTGAGGATAGAAATGAGGAGATGACTGAGATGAATAGAAAAAGATAATTACATATGCTAAGCCTTTCACCATTAAACTGATTAAAATTTTCCTCATGTTTTGTGTTTCCTGTGAAATACTCGCACAATAGCGAATAACTAAAACAGCTGCCGTGGTCTTTCAAGAACAGCGAACTTCTTATCAACATGTCATATTGTTCATTGTTAAATGTCACAGATTGCACGAGGAAAACGCCACATGCGGATCTAATAAATAAAACGCTTGATAAGACGTTCCACGTCCACAATTACAGACTGATACAGGTAAGACGGCGGAAGAACATGTCGCCATATGGTAAAAGGATATTTCGTTTAAATATTGCCAAGTTAGAAGTTTACAAAGAATAACTTACCGATCTTATAGAAGCAAAACAAGATATAATGTGTACAGTACACGGAGAAGGGGATACGTTGATAAAAAGACAATGTTATGTCATTAGAAAACAACAATTTGATTTTCGGGGTGATGGTGGTGATTTTGGTATCGGGATCAATTGTTTCTATTTAAAATATACAGGTGCTAACATATTTATTTTTGACATAAATATAATATTATTATTATTTAAATAAATGTAAATAGCGATCTATATTCCACTCAACTATCTAATCGGGGCAAATCTTGCGGTCATAATGTGATCTGCCGGTTCGACAGCGTCGATTCATATTCCATTATAGATGCTTCTGGGAGGATCGTTTTTTTAAATTGATATTTGTTTATTACAGTGATGATGTCCCTCTTCTTTCTTGGCGTGTGTCTGTTTGTGGCAGAGTAAGTTGTTAGCTGAATATGAAATTCCAAACTAGCGACAATCAGCTGAAGGAGAGCAATGATATTGGGTTTGTGCTGTGAGGGGGTTTCAGTGGGCGGTAATACGGGTGGGGGTGGGGTGGAGTGGGGGTTACAGCCTGACGGATGGATATGTGGTTTGTTGCCGCACTCAGCAATATTCCAGCTGTATGACGGCGGTCTGTAAATAATCGAGTCTGGACCAGACAATCCAGTGATTTACTTCGTGAGTATCGATCCACGCAGTTGGACACGATGACATGTATCAACCAAGTCAGCGAGCCTGACCACCCGCTCCTGTTAGTCGCCTCTTACGACAAGCATAATCGCCATTTACGACAAGCATGAGTTGCTGAAAACCTGTTCTACCCCGGGTCTTCACGGGTGGATATATGGTAGGTTGGAGAGATGGGAGGGAGGGGTGGAGATGAAAGATATGGGATATGGTAGTGGACTAAGGGTTTGGGCTGTAGTGATGGGAACGGTCTGGGAAACGGTGAACGTATGAGGGGTGAGGCTGTAGAGATGGGAGTGGTGAGGGCCTGAGGGGTGAGGCTGTAGAGATGGGGCTGGTTAGGGCCTGAGGGGTGAGGCTGTAGAGATGGGACTGGTTAGGGCCTGAGGGGTGAGGCTGTAGAGTTGGGACTGGTTAGGGTCTGAGGGGTGAGGCTGTAGATATAGGAGTGGTGAGGGCCTGAGGGGTGAGGCTGTAGAGATGGGACTGGTTAGGGCCTGAGGGGTGAGGCTGTAGAGATGGGACTGGTTAGGGCCTGAGGGGTGAGGCTGTAGAGATGGGAGTGGTGAGGGCCTGAGGGGTGAGGCTGTAGAGATGGGAGTGGTGAGGGTCTGAGGGGTGAGGCTGTAGAGATGGGAGTGGTGAGGGCCTGAGGGGTGTGGCTGTAGAGATGGGAGTGGTGAGGGTCTGAGGGGTGAGGCTGTAGAGATGGGAGTGGTGAGGGCCTGAGGGGTGTGGCTGTAGAGATGGGAGTGGTGAGGGCCTGAGGGGTGTGGCTGTAGAGATGGGAGTGGTGAGGGTCTGAGGCTGTAGAGATGGGAGTGGTGAGGGCCTGAGGGGTGAGGCTGTAGAGATGGGAGTGGTTAAGGTCTGAGGGGTGAGGCTGTATAGATGGGAGTGGTGAGGGCCTGAGGGGTGAGGCTGTAGAGATGGGAGAGGTGAGGGCCTGAGGGGTGAGGCTGTAGAGATAGGAGTGGTGAGGGCCTGGGGGATGAGGTTGTAGAGATGGGAGAGGTGAGGGCCTGGGGGATGAGGCTGTAGAGATGGGAGTGGTGAGGGCCTGGGGGATGAGGCTGTAGAGATGGGAGTGGTTAGGGCCTGAGGGGTGAGGCTGTAGAGATGGGAGTGGTGAGGGCCTGAGGGGTGTGGCTGTAGAGATAGTGATGTGGGCCTGAGGGGTGAGGCTGTAGAGATGGGAGTGGTGAGGGCCTGAGGGGTGTGGCTGTAGAGATGGGAGTGGTTAAGGTCTGAGGGGTGTGGCTGTAGAGATGGGAGTGGTGAATGTCTGAGGGGTGAGGCTGTAGAGATGGGAGTGGTGAGGGCCTGAGGGGTGTGGCTGTAGAGATGGGAGTGGTTAAGGTCTGAGGGGTGTGGCTGTAGAGATGGGAGTGGTGAATGTCTGAGGGGTGAGGCTGTAGAGATGGGAGTGGTGAGGGCCTGAGGGGTGAGGCTGTAGAGATGGGAGTGGCTAGGGCCTGAGGGGTGAGGCTGTAGAGATGGGAGTGGTGAGGGCCTGAGGGGTGAGGCTGTAGAGATGGGAGTGGTGAGGGCCTGAGGGGTGAGGCTGTAGAGATGGGAGTGGTGAGGGCCTGAGGGGTGAGGCTGTAGAGATAGTGATGTGGGCCTGAAGGGTGAGGCTGTAGAGATAGGAGTGGTGAGGGTCTGAGGGGTGAGGCTGTAGAGATGGGAGTGGTTAGGGCCTGAGGGGTGAGGCTGTAGAGATAGGAGTGATGTGGGCCTGAGGGGTGAGGCTGTAGAGATGGGAGTGGTTAGGATCTAATGATCGTCTGAGACTGGTTTAGGATGGTTAAGAATAATGAAGGTAGTGAAGATTTAAATCCAAGACCGATCGAGCTGACATTCAACGGGTGATATCTCAAAGTCAGTGCATGTCCGCGTGATCCATGATGCATGATCACACCCCTTGTTTCTTTTCAGGGTGGCCGGACACCCAGGTCGACCCCCCCTGTGGAACCTGAACGAGGCCAGAAATCTGTTCCACTTGGCCGAAGCCAGCAGCACTGTTAGAGATGGTGTTCTCACAAAGACAGAGGTGCAGCAGATCTTCACAGCATTTGATGGCAACGGTGCGCATGTGTCAGTGTTGTAGATTGCATTAAGAAAACACGAAAGATTGTAAGAACCAGTGAATGTTTTCTAACACAGAATATAAAATCAGCTTCACAGCTGAACACTTCGTATTGCCTAAATTTAGCAATTTGTATTTCCCAAGTTGAGCAACATGTTTATACCCTGTTTAGCAATACGTACATGTAGTACCCAGTTTAGAAATACTTACACGTATTACCCAGTTAGCAATACGTACATCTATTACCTATTCAGCAATACGTACATGCATCACCCAGTTAGCAATACGTACATGTATTACCCTGTTCAGCAATACGTACACGTATTACCCAGTTAGCAATACGTTCACGTATGACCCTGTTCAGCAATGCGTACACGTATTACCCAGTTAGCAATACGTACATGTATTATCCAGTTACCAATTTGTACACGTATCACCCAGTTAGCAATACGTACATGTATTACCCAGTTAGCAATACGTACATGTATTACCCTGATCAGCAAACGTACATGTATTACCCAGTTAGCAATAGGTACATGTATTACCCAGTTTAGCAATATGAACACGGATTACCCAGTTAGCAATACGTATATGTATTACCCAGTTAGCAATACGTATATGTATTACCCAGTTAGCAATACGTACATGTATAACCCAGTTTAATAATACGTAAACGTATTACCCAGTTTAGTACTACGTCCACGATTTACCTTGTTCAATAATACGTACATGTATTACCCAGTTAGCAATACGTACATGTATAACCCAGTTTAGTTATACGTCCACGTATTAACCTGTTTAGCAATACGTACATGTATTACTCAGTTAGTAATACGTACACGTATTGCCCAGTTTGGTAAATACATATTTCCTCAGTTAAGTAATAGATGTGGGTAGTTCTCCCTTTTAGTAAAGCGTATTTAATAAGTTAAACAACATGTCTTTAGGCTCACCTTTAGGCGAACACCTGGTGTCATCACTCTCTGATAGTGATGCATGAACACAGTCTGATAATGTAATCGGGGTCTGACAATGGACTCCAATTTGAGAGTGATTTCTTATGATAACGGAAAGGATTTTGTCGCTCATATTTACCAAGTTGAGCTGTACGTATTTCCTAATTTACCAAAACGATCACGTATTGAATAGTTTAGCAATAAGCACACGTATTGAAAAGTTCAGCAATACGTTCAGGTATTGAATAGTTTAGCAATACGTTCAGGTATTGAACAGTTTAGCAATACGCTCAGGTATAGAACAGTTTAGCAACACGCACACGTATTGAACTGTTTAGCAATACGCACACGTATTGAACAGTTTAGCAACACGCACACGTATTGAACAGTTTAGCAACACGCACACGTATTGAACAGTTTAGCAACACGCACACGTATTGAACAGTTTAGCAACACGTACACGTATTGAACAGTTTAGCAACACGCAGACGTATTGAACAGTTTAGCTATACGCTCGCGTATTGAACAGTTTAGCAATACGCTCGCGTATTGAACAGTTTAGCAACACGCACACGTATTGAACAGTTTAGCAACACGCACACGTATTGAACAGTTTAGCAATACGCTCGCGTATTGAACAGTTTAGCAACACGCACACGTATTGAACAGTTTAGCAACACGTATTGAACAGTTTAGCAACACGCACACGTATTGAACAGTTTAGCAACACGCACACGTATTGAACAGTTTAGCAATACACACACGTATTGAACAGTTTAGCAACACGCACACGTATTGAACAGTTTAGCAATACGCACACGTATTGAACAGTTTAGCAACACGCACACGTACTGAACAGTTTAATAACACGCGTTTCTAAGTTCAGCAGTATCCAGTTTATACCTATTTCCATGTTCACACTAGTTATTTCCCAAGTTTACCAATATGCATTTTACTCGTCCAGCTATATGTGATTAAGATGCAGTCATAAGTTTTTAGTAAATGATAAACAAGTGGTCTGTGTCCTTTAATGTAGTAAGTAAGTGAGTGAGTGAGTTGGGTTTAACGCCGCTTTTAACATCATTTCAGTTTATGTGGCAGGGCATGCAGTCTGAAGTGATGCAGGTCTAAGAATTAACTATAGGTAGTGTTGCAGTTTATCCATATGTATTTATGCAATATAGCAATGTATGAGTCAGTATGGTCTTACGCCGCCTTTAGCAATGTTCCAGCATTATCACGGCGGGGGACACCAGAAATGGGCTTCACACAGTGTACCCATGTGGGGAATCGAACCCGACGAGCAAACGCTTTAACCACTAGGCTACCCGACCGCCCCCATTGCAATGAATGTGAGTCGCCGGCGTTACAGGAGGTTGATGTCTGCAGGTGATGGGCGCGTCACAGAGACGGAGTTCACGACGTACTGGCAGACGAAGAAGCTGGGCAACCTCCAGGCTGCAGTGTACATGTTCCATCGCGCCGACACCGACAACAACGGCGTCCTGACCGTCACCCCGGACCTCGACCGGGTCTTCGGCTACTTCGATACAGATAGTACGTAATCATGTAGGCATAGCGAGTGTCTGTGATATTCAGGCTAAATCAATGTGTCCCTGTAGGAATAGCGAGTGTCTGTGATTCAGACTAAATCCATGTGTCCCTGTAGGCACACCGAGTGTCTGTGATATTCAGGCTAGATCCATGTGTCCCTGTAGGCACACCGAGTGTCTGTGATTCAGACTAAATCTATGTGTCCCTACAGGCAATGCGAGTGTCTGTGATATTCAGGCTAAATCCGTGTCCCTGTAGGCATAGCGAGTGTCTGTGATTCAGGCTAAATCCACGTGTCCCTGTAGGCATAGCGAGTGCCTGTGATATTCAGGCTAAATCCATGTATCCGTGTAGGCACACCGAGTGTTTGTGATTCAGGCTAAATCCATGTGTCCCTGTAGGCATAGCGAGTGTCTGTGATATTCAGGCTAAATCCATGTGTCCCTGTAGGCATAGCGAGTGTCTGTGATATTCAGGCTAAATCCACGTGTCCCTACAGGCATACCGAGTGTCTGTGATATTCAGGCTAAATCCACGTGTCCCTGTAGGCATAGCGAGTGTCTGTGATTCAGGCTGAATCTATGTGTCCCTGTAGGCACACCGAGTGTCTGTGATATTCAGGCTAAATCCATGTGTCCCTGTAGGCATAGCGAGTGTCTGTGATTCAGGCTAAATCCACGTGTCCCTGTAGGCATAGCGAGTGTCTGTGATATTCAGGCTAAATCCATGTGTCCCTGTAGAAATACCGAGTGTCTGTGATATTCAGGCTAAATCCATGTGTCGCTCTAGGTATAGCGAGTGTCTGTGATTCAGGCTAAATCCACGTGTCCCTGTAGGCATAGTGAGTGTCTGTGATATTCAGGCTAAATCCATGTGTCCCTGTAGGCACACCGAGTGTCTGTGATTCAGGCTAGCTCGACGTGTCCCTGTAGGCACACCGAGTGTCTGTGATTCAGACTAAATCTATGTGTTCCTGTAGGGATAGCGAGTGTCTGTGATATTCAGGCTAAGTCCATGTGTCCCTATAGGCACACCGAGTGTCTGTGATTCAGGCTAGCTCCATGTGTCCCTGTAGGCACACCGAGTGTCTGTGATTCAGGCTGAATCCATGTGTCCCTGTAGGCACACCGAGTGTCTGTGATATTCAGGCTAAATCCATGTGTCCCTGGAGAAATAGCGAGTGTTTGTGATATTCAGGCTAAATCCCCGTGTCCCTGTAGGCATAGCGAGTGTCTGTGATTCAGGCTGAATCCATGTGTCCCTGTAGGCACACCGAGTGTCTGTGATATTCAGGCTAAATCCACGTGTCCCTGTAGAAATAGCTAGTGTCTGTGATATTCAGGCTAAATCCATGTGTCCCTGTAGGCATGACGAGTGTCTGTGATTCAGGCTAAATCCACGTGTCCCTGTAGGCATAGCGAGTGTCTGTGATATTCAGGCTAAATCCACGTGTCCCTGTAGGCATAGCGAATGTCTGTGATATTCAGGCTAAATCCATGTGTCCCTGTAGAAATACCGAGTGTCTGTGATATTCAGGCTAAATCCATGTGTCCCTGTAGGTATAGCGAGTGTCTGTGATTCAGGCTAAATCCACGTGTCCCTGTAGGCATAGCGAGTGTCTGTGATATTCAGGCTAAATCCATGTGTCCCTGTAGGCATAGCGAGTGCCTGTGATATTCAGGCTAAATCCATGTGTCCCTGTAGGCACACCGAGTGTCTGTGATTCAGGCTAGCTCGACGTGTCCCTGTAGGCACACCGAGTGTCTGTGATTCAGACTAAATCTATGTGTTCCTGTAGGCATAGCGAGTGTCTGTGATATTCAGGCTAAATCCATGTGTCCCTGTAGGTATAGCGAGTGTCTGTGATTCAGGCTAAATCCACGTGTCCCTGTAGGCATAGCGAGTGTCTGTGATATTCAGGCTAAATCCACGTGTCCCTGTAGGCATAGTGAGTGTCTGTGATATTCAGGCTAAATCCATGTGTCCCTGTAGGCACACCGAGTGTCTGTGATTCAGACTAGCTCGACGTGTCCGTGTAGGCACACCGAGTGTCTGTGATTCAGACTAAATCTATGTGTTCCTGTAGGGATAGCGAGTGTCTGTGATATTCAGGCTAAGTCCATGTGTCCCTATAGGCACACCGAGCGTCTGTGATTCAGGCTAGCTCCATGTGTCCCTGTAGGCACACCGAGTGTCTGTGATTCAGGCTGAATCCATGTGTCCCTGTAGGCACACCGAGTGTCTGTGATATTCAGGCTAAATCCATGTGTCCCTGGAGAAATAGCGAGTGTTTGTGATATTCAGGCTAAATCCACGTGTCCCTGTAGGCATAGCGAGTGCCTGTGATATTCAGGCTAAATCCATGTATCCGTGTAGGCATAGCGAGTGTCTGTGATATTCAGGCTAAATCCATGTGTCCCTGTAGGCATAGCGAGTGTCTGTGATATTCAGGCTAAATCCACGTGTCCCTACAGGCATACCGAGTGTCTGTGATATTCAGGCTAAATCCACGTGTCCCTACAGGCATACCGAGTGTCTGTGATATTCAGGCTAAATCCACGTGTCCCTGTAGGCATAGCGAGTGTCTGTGATTCAGGCTGAATCTATGTGTCCCTGTAGGCACACCGAGTGTCTGTGATATTCAGGCTAAATCCATGTGTCCCTGTAGGCATAGCGAGTGTCTGTGATTCAGGCTAAATCCATGTGTCCCTGTAGGCATAGCGAGTGTCTGTGATATTCAGGCTAAATCCATGTGTCCCTGTAGAAATACCGAGTGTCTGTGATATTCAGGCTAAATCCATGTGTCGCTCTAGGTATAGCGAGTGTCTGTGATTCAGGCTAAATCCACGTGTCCCTGTAGGGATAGCGAGTGTCTGTGATATTCAGGCTAAGTCCATGTGTCCCTATAGGCACACCGAGTGTCTGTGATTCAGGCTAGCTCCATGTGTCCCTGTAGGCACACCGAGTGTCTGTGATTCAGGCTGAATCCATGCGTCCCTGTAGGCACACCGAGTGTCTGTGATATTCAGGCTAAATCCATGTGTCCCTGGAGAAATAGCGAGTGTTTGTGATATTCAGGCTAAATCCCCGTGTCCCTGTAGGCATAGCGAGTGTCTGTGATTCAGGCTGAATCCATGTGTCCCTGTAGGCACACCGAGTGTCTGTGATATTCAGGCTAAATCCACGTGTCCCTGTAGAAATAGCGAGTGTCTGTGATATTCAGGCTAAATCCATGTGTCCCTGTAGGCATGACGAGTGTCTGTGATTCAAGCTAAATCCACGTGTCCCTGTAGGCATAGCGAGTGTCTGTGATATTCAGGCTAAATCCACGTGTCCCTGTAGGCATAGCGAATGTCTGTGATATTCAGGCTAAATCCATGTGTCCCTGTAGAAATACCGAGTGTCTGTGATATTCAGGCTAAATCCATGTGTCCCTGTAGGTATAGCGAGTGTCTGTGATTCAGGCTAAATCCACGTGTCCCTGTAGGCATAGCGAGTGTCTGTGATATTCAGGCTAAATCCATGTGTCCCTGTAGGCATAGCGAGTGCCTGTGATATTCAGGCTAAATCCACGTGTCCCTGTAGGCACACCGAGTGTCTGTGATTCAGGCTAGCTCGACGTGTCCCTGTAGGCACACCGAGTGTCTGTGATTCAGACTAAATCTATGTGTTCCTGTAGGCATAGCGAGTGTCTGTGATATTCAGGCTAAATCCATGTGTCCCTGTAGGTATAGCGAGTGTCTGTGATTCAGGCTAAATCCACGTGTCCCTGTAGGCATAGCGAGTGTCTGTGATATTCAGGCTAAATCCACGTGTCCCTGTAGGCATAGTGAGTGTCTGTGATATTCAGGCTAAATCCATGTGTCCCTGTAGGCACACCGAGTGTCTGTGATTCAGACTAGCTCGACGTGTCCGTGTAGGCACACCGAGTGTCTGTGATTCAGACTAAATCTATGTGTTCCTGTAGGGATAGCGAGTGTCTGTGATATTCAGGCTAAGTCCATGTGTCCCTATAGGCACACCGAGCGTCTGTGATTCAGGCTAGCTCCATGTGTCCCTGTAGGCACACCGAGTGTCTGTGATTCAGGCTGAATCCATGTGTCCCTGTAGGCACACCGAGTGTCTGTGATATTCAGGCTAAATCCATGTGTCCCTGGAGAAATAGCGAGTGTTTGTGATATTCAGGCTAAATCCACGTGTCCCTGTAGGCATAACGAGTGTCTGTGATTCAGGCTGAATCCATGTGTCCCTGTAGGCACACCGAGTGTCTGTGATATTCAGGTTAAATCCACGTGTCCCTGTAGAAATAGCTAGTGTCTGTGATATTCAGGCTAAATCCATGTGTCCCCGTAGGCATGACGAGTGTCTGTGATTCAGGCTAAATCCACGTGTCCCTGTAGGCATAGCGAGTGTCTGTGATATTCAGGCTAAATCCACGTGTCCCTGTAGGCATAGCGAATGTCTGTGATATTCAGGCTAAATCCATGTGTCCCTGTAGAAATACCGAGTGCCTGTGATATTCAGGCTAAATCCACGTGTCCCTGTAGGCATAGCGAGTGTCTGTGTTTCAGACTAAATACATGTGTCCCTGTAGGCATAGCGAGTGTCTGTGATTCAGACTGCTCTGGCAGAAGAAGGCAAAAGTTCAACAGTTGGACCCAAAACACGTTTTATGCCAGAATTTCCAGCATCACGACCGATTTGTGTTGTAAAACTCGAGGAAACATTTTCAAGCAAAGTCCCAAATCCCAAAGTGACAAAGGCTGTACTGTTAGCAGTATGCCAAAAAGGAAATGTTGTATGGCTGTGATGGCTGCAGGCGATATGGTCCGCCTATATACCGTTCCTCATCCTTTTTCTCATTGCAGCTAACGGGAAGGTCAGCGAGGCTGAATTTGCCGTCGTGTGGTCAAGTCTCACAAACTGAACATCATGGAAGTTACAATCTTCATCGTTAATAAACCTTTCTTCCTGTAGATTCTTGTTGATTGTTACAGTTACAGCACCTGCTGAAGTAACTGAATGCAGGCTGTTGCGAACGCCAGGCGTCATCACTAATTGTCAGTGATTCATTGATATACTTTTCACCACTAGTTGGCCTTTAAAGCCCAGTAGAATCTTTTCGGCGGATAATCGAGACTGGTTATTCTCTGGCTTTGACGTGTTGTATACTGAACAAAAAAGGTTAGGGTCATGAATATTGTTTGGGGATATCTTTATGACATTGTGTGCTCAGTCGTCACTACAAAATAATATCCCACCAAATAGGAAGGATCCTTATCTTGTTTTGTTCAGTATATTTACAACATGTTGGCTTCAGACGTGGAGAATGAAATTCAAACAGGTGCTCTACTTGGCGGTACTGGGCTGAATGTACTTGCCGTTCCATACGTTGAGATGATGAAAGCGGAAGTCTGTCATGCTTAGGTGTTGGGATTCCCTTTTACATCAGACGACTACAGTGAGCATCGGGGGTGGGTAGGGGTAGGGTGGGGTGGGGTGGGGGGTTTACAATGTATTATCAGGTGCGTAGTGTGTGAGAGAGATTGATATATATATATATATATATATATATATATATATATATATAGAGAGAGAGAGAGAGAGAGAGAGAGAGAGAGAGAGAGAGGCATGGTTGAAAGGAAGAGCGAGTGCACGTGTGTTGGTGAGAGAGAGAGGGGGAGCGAGTGTATGTTGTATTCTCAGGAAATGTAAGAATTCTGTGACACACTCACACTCCTTGACACACTCACCTTCACTCTCACTCACATTGACATTCATACTCAACCACACACCACATTCACACTCGCTCTCTTTCTCTCTCTCTCTCTCTCTTTCTCACGCACACGCATTCTAACACTCAACCTCACTCTCCCGCACACGATCACACTCACACTCACATTCACACACTCTCTCTCACACTCAACCTCACTCCCCTGCACACGATCACACTCACATTCGCACGCTCTCTCTCACAGTCAACCTCACTCCCCCGCACACGATCACACTCACAGTCACATTCACACGCTCTCTCTCACACTCACACTAAGAAGCATTTTCATTCTCACACGCTTACGCTCGCACTCACACGCTCAAATACACACTCTCATACTCTCACACACTCACACTCACAAGCAACCTCACACTCACACTCACACGCTCAAATCCACACTCTCATACCCCCACACGCTCACACTCACACGCTTAAATACACACCCTCATACCCTCACAAACTCACAAACACCCTCACACACCCACACTCACACGCTCTCACACATTCACACGCACACGCGCTCTAACACCCACCAACACTCACGCTCTAACACACACTCTCATACACTCACACAAGTCACAGTCACAAGCACCCTCACACTCACACTCACAAGCTCACACACATTCACACGCACACGCTCAGGCGCCCTAACACACACACAAACTCACACGCTCTCACACATTCACACGCACGCACTCACACGCTCTAACAAACACTCACACTCACACGGTCTAACACACACTCTCATACACTCATACACAGTCACAAGCACCCTCACACTCACACGCTCTCACACATTCACACGCACACGCTCAGGCGCCCTAACACACATTCAAACTCACACGCTCTCACACATTCACACGCACGCACTCACACGCTCTAACACACACACACACACTCACACGGTCTAACACACGCTCTCACACATTCACACGCACACGGTCCAACACACACTCACACTCGCACGGTCTAACACACACTCTCATACACGCATACACAGTCACAAGCACCCTCACACTCACACGCTCTCACACATTCACACGCCCACGCCCATGCGCTCTAAGACATACTCACAGTCACAAGCATCCTCACACTCACACTCACACTCACAAGCTCGCACACATTCACACGCACACTCTCACACGCTCTAACACACACTCACACTCACACGTTCTAACACACACTCTCATACACTCACACGCACACGCTCACGCACCCGCTCAAACTCACACGCTCTCTGTCACACTCACACGGGGGCGGTCGGGTAGCCTAGTGGTTAAAGCGTTCGCTCGTCACGCCGAAGACCCGGGTTCGATTCCCGACATGGGTACAATGTGTGAAGCCCATTTCTGGTGTCCCCCGCCGTGATATTGCTGGAATATTGCTAAAAGCGGCGTAAAACCATACTCACTCACTCACTCACTCACTCACACTCACACGCCCACAACACACACTCACACTCACAAACACTCACACACTCACACTACCACACTAATATTAACCTGTAGGCAAAGTCTGTCAGTAGCTGGCCCAGTACACTATGAACTGACAGAGAAACCATCTGCCAACTCCACGCTATCAGCCACGAGCTATCTGCCATGTGTGCTGCGCCACATTTTCACATCCGGAAAGTCTGCACAAACATGCACAAAACGTCACCAATGAACTAGAATTAAGTCAACAAGATGTCTGTAAGTACAAACCCACATTACACTTGCTGCTGGTTTCTTGGTTGAAATACTGTACTTGGAAAGCTGTAAACTGCTCGTCTGTCATTTAACCAGTTCAGGTCGCCTGCCTATTGTTCATGCTAATCTCAAGTACTGTATGTCACAACCAGACGCCAGTAATGCTCTGTACACGAACGCCCTGTCTTAACCTTGAGGCCGCAGTTTGTCTGTGCAAGTTGTGACGTCAAATGAAACAAATGAAGCTGGTTCAATAACATGTCGGAAACAGTTGAACAAGTTTCAGGAAATGTTTCATGATTATTCCTGCGAATATATCCAATCGATGACAAACAATTGTGCATTGTCAGACCAAATTTAGTATTGTACTAGTGTATGCTGATTTCATTCCCACCTATATCCACATACCGCCACAGAGACGATAACCCAAGCCGACGTTCACATGGAATGATGGTGTTAGGTATACGAAGAAAATCTTTCTTCCAGTAAAACAATTCTTATATTCTAGATAAGACCTATCCTTTCCTGATATGATGACTGCAACTGACCTTGAGTTTAAGATTGTTTCACTTATATAGCGACATGAATGTGTGTGTGTGCGTGCGTGCGTGCGTGCGTGCGTGCGTGCGTGCGTGCGTGCGTGCGTGTGTGTGTATATACGTGTTTGCGGCTATGTATGCGTGGCCTCTTTTACGAGTCCGAACTTTTCCGTTTCTTTTGTCATAGCCCACTGAGATACCATAAAAGACATATTTCTACATTGGACAATGATTAATCTCCCACAGGGATACTATCTTGTCACATAGAGATGCAATCTTGTTACACAGAGATACCACAGATAAACCATCTTGTCAGACAGTGATACCATTTTGTCACATAGAGATACCATTTTGTCACATAGAGATACCATCTTGTCACTTAGAGATACCATCTTGTCACATAGAGATACCATCTTGTCACATAGAGATACCATCTTGTCACATAGAGATAGCATTTTGTCACACAGTGATACCATCTTGTCACACAGTGATACCATCTTGTCACATAGAGATATCATCTTGTCACACAGAGATGCCATCTTGTCACATAGAGATACCATCTTGTCACACAGACATACCATCTTGTCACACAGACATACCATCTTGTCACATAGAGATACCATCCTGTCACATAGAGATACTATCTTGTCACATAGAGATACAATCTTGTCACATAGAGATACCATCTTGTCACATAGAGATACCATTTTGTCACACAGTGATACCATCTTGTCACACAGTGATACCATCTTGTCACACAGACATACCATCTTGTCACATAGAGATACCATCTTATCACACAGAGATACCATCTTGTCACATAGAGATACCATCTTGTCACATAGAGATATCATCTTGTCACACAGACATACCATCTTGTCACATAGAGATACCATCTTGTCACACAGACATACCATCTTGTCACACAGACATACCATCTTGTCACATAGAGATACCATCTTGTCACATAGAGAAACAATCTTGTCACATAGAGATATCATGTTGTAACATAGAGATACCATCTTGTCACACAGAGATACCATCTTGTCACACGGAGATACAATCTTGTCACACAGAGATATCATCTTGTCACACAGAGAAACCAGCTTGTCACACAGAGATATCATCTTGTCACACAGAGATGCCATCTTGTCACACAGAGAAACCAGCTTGTCACACAGAGAAACCAGCTTGTCACACAGAGATACCATCTTGTCACACAGAGATACAATCTTGTCACACAGAGATACCATCTTGTCACACAGAGATATCATCTTGTCACACAGAGATATCATCTTGTCACATAGAGATGCCATCTTGTCACATAGAGATATCATCTTGTCACATAGAGACACAATCTTGTCACATAGAGATATCATCTTGTAACACAGAGATACCATCTTGTCACACAGAGATACCATCTTGTCACATAGAGATACAATCTTGTCACACAGAGAAACCAGCTTGTCACACAGAGATACAATCGTGTCACACATAGATACCATCTTGTCACACAGAGAAACCAGCTTGTCACACAGGAAACCATCTTGTCACACAGAGATACCATCTTGTCACACAGAGAAACCATCTTGTCACACAGAGATACCATCTTGTCACACAGAGATACCATCTTGTCACACAGAGATATCATCTTGTCACACAGAGAAACCATCTTGTCACACAGAGATACCATCTTGTTACACAGAGATACCATTTTGCCACATAGAGAAACCAGCTTGTCACATAGAGATGCCATCTTGTCACATAGAGAAACCATCTTGTCAGACAGAGACACAATCTTGTCACACAGAGATACAATCTTGTCACATAGAGATGCCATCTTGTCACATAGAGATACCATCTTGTCACACACAGATACCATCTTGTCACACAGAGATACACTCTTGTCACATAGAGATAATATCTTTTCTGGTAATGGCGGTTGTGTCATTAAGAACTGAAAATAATGTTCTTGTAATGTCCCTTTTGTAGATCTTCAGCTGGTCCCTTCTCTGTGTGGTGACTGTCTCGACCTCAGCTTTTATCATGCCGAGACAGAACAAGACGAATCCCAACACCCAGCCCACACATCACCTTGATCCGTGAGTTATACCAAACTCCTTACAAATGTACTCCGATACGATACACCTCCCTGCATCACGATCTGGAGATCTCACAGCGAAACCTGAATCAAGTACGAGTGGATTATTGAGCCAATCAAATATCAGCTTTCTAAAAGAATTGGGCTTCATTTCTTTACCAATTGTTTCGGAAATGGTACACACAAATATTCTTTTTTTCAAACTCCCATTTGATTGAAGATGCCAGATTGCATATCTACAACAATATAATGGCGCAGCTTTAATCTTTGACATTCGGAATTCCCCGATTATGTTCGTTACGGTAGCTGTATTTGCGCTGTATTAGGCAGTTATTATGTTCCTAATTCTTAAAAGGAAGCCAGGTTCCGGTAAATTGAAAGTCATAGCAAGTTTTATTCGGGTCGACCACGCACCACTTTGTTTTATTACAATAATTTCATACAATAATCTGTTGGATTAATAGGGACATTGTTTCCAGTAACAACCTCAAGAATTGTTTTGAAAATGGTCAATACATCGTGCAGATTTGTCTCCTTTGAGGGATGCTGGCTCACTGACATGCATGTGTTGAGAATCTACCCACAGGTCATGCCTGGCACTAGGGGCGAACAAGTAGCTATAATGCTCTATGACCCGGGGATCCACCCCATATTCGTAAATTAACACTGCATTGTCTGTACGTTCTTTACTGTTTATCTATGGCCGAGACACAGTGTTCTTTAATACAGGCTAGTACAGTACAGTACATGTTAATCTGCACCGTAAGTGTTCTTCGTGGTTCAGCAGAACATCGTCACACCCGTCTTTCCTCCACATTGAACTGGCGTGCGCTGATGTAACTGGAATACTGTGTCTTGACTCAATCATTCTGTGTCAAGCGTATTGCACATCCTTGTCCCACGGCTGGAGCAGTCTCAATGTTCTTATAGTACAATATAAGTAATGGCTAGTAATCGCAAACAAACACAATGCAACATTGATTCATAATTCTTTGCAACATACATTGTTCCCCGATAGTTTGAAAACCTGTAGAAAAATAGAGGAAAACTATGTATCGGATTGTTTATAAAATTGTTACATTCATTTTGCAAACAGGGACTGCCTCCGTTCTGCCCCCCCCCCCCCCCCCCCTCCCACCCCCCCTTGTGTCTCACCCAGGTGCGTGTCTCACCAAGCTGCGTGTCTCACCCAGGTATGTGTCTCACCCAGGTATGTGTCTCACCCCGGTACGTGTCTCACCCCGGTACGTGTCTCACCCCGGTACGTGTCTCACCCAGGTATGTGTCTCACCCAGGTATGTGTCTCACCCGGGTATGTGTCTCACCCAGGTATGTGTCTCACCCAGGTATGTGCCTCACCCAGGTACGTGTCTCACCCGGGTATGTCTCTCACCCAGGTATGTGTCTCACCCAGGTACGTGTCTCACCCGAGTATGTGTCTCACCCAGGTATGTGTCTCACCCAGGTATGTGTCTCACCCAGGTACGTGTCTCACCCAGGTATGTGTCTCACCCAGGTACGTGTCTCACCCAGGTATGTGTCTCACCCAGGTACGTGTCTCACCCAGGTATGTGTCTCACCCAGGTATGTGTCTCACCCAGGTACGTGTCTCACCCAAGTACGTGTCTCACCCGGTCATGTGTCTCACCCAGGTATGTGTCTCACCCAGGTGCGTGTCTCACCCGGGCATGTGTCTCACCCAGGTATGTGTCTCACCCAGGTATGTGTCTCACCCAGGTATGTGTCTCACCCGGTCATGTGTCTCACCCAGGTATGTGTCTCACCCAGGTACGTGTCTCACCCGGTCATGTGTCTCACCCAGGTATGTGTCTCACCCAGGTACGTGTCTCACCCGGGTATGTGTCTCACCCAGGTATGTGTCTCACCCAGGTACGTGTCTCACCCAGGTATGTGTCTCACCAAGGTATGTGTCTCACCAAGGTATGTGTCTCACCCAGGTATGTGTCTCACTTCCAGGAACCATATGGATCAGGTTGCCGTGGACAGCAAACACGCCAGAAGGATTTTCGAGGAACTTGCAAGGGGAAATAACTCCATCGATATGGATGACTTAAAGAGATTCTTGAATAGTTCCGACATTAACGGTACCCTGATGGACTTGTAATAATCGACTTTATTGCTACATCCAAACATATTACTTAAGTGGGCACAGGTAACTCAGTAGTCTAATGCACTGTATATCGCTTTGCAGTATTGCCTCCCTTACCCATGCCAGGATTCACTGATCGTAGATTATCAACTTTTTTCCGGAGTGAGTGAGTGAGTGAGTGAGTGAGTGAGTGAGTGAGTGACACCAAGGAGGTGCAGACGTTAGCCACTTTGGTGAAACCAACGATTACGGGTATAGTTCTGACAAACCAAGAATCGCGATCAGATTCGAACCCAATCTCATAGGATTTTGTCACGCCTAATGGATGCAACTCTGCATAGCAACGCTATAGGTGCTACAGACAATAGGCCGCCCGTGCCCCAGACATCTAATTGGTACAATCAATATCCATGGTACAAAGTATCTTGCAAATATACGAGTATTAAAGATCACGTGTGAGTTTCATATCAACCGTCAGGTTACACAAAATACATGTGTATTTCTATCAGGTGACGGTCAGGTGACAAGTGACGAGTTTCTCTTAACGTGGTACCAAAATGACATTGGTTCTCTTGTCAACGCAGTCCCCTTCTTCTTCAAGATCGACGTCAACAAGGACGACAGGATCACCGCTGACGGCGATCTCAAGTATATATTCGATATGTTTGATAGAAACGGTAAGTTCAAACACCAGGGCCTAGTTGCACAAAGCGATCTTAGCGCAAAGATGATCGTAACTCCCATGCTTTAACATAGGCTTACAAGAGTCTTAGCGCTAAGATCGCTTTGTGCAAGTGGGCCCTGGAATTAGAGCCACAGTAACGTGTATCCAAGGGAAATCATCGAATATATATAAGTCGATTTATCCAAAGTTCGAGACAACTGTTATTAACAGGCCATTATACAGATACTGACGGGTCCATTACGTTGCATCCTCTTGATGCTTGAGCTCGAGATGAGGTGAGGTGAATTGGGGTTTAGCGTTTAAGATTATTGCACTTATAAGCAACGTGCGCGGCTGTGTGCGTGTGTGCGTGTGTGCGTGTGTGCGTGTGTGCGTGCGTGCCTGCATGTGAGGCTGTACCCTATCCACTGGACCGAGCAGGCGGTCCGTGAGCTCGAGTTCATGGGGAATTTATTTTTTTTTATGTGTGATTTGATACAGAAAATATATACATCGTAATTGATATGTATCATGTTTCTAAGGAATATTCGACCGCCTCCGTGGTCTTGTGGTAGAGCGTCCGCCCGGAGAGCGGAAGGTCCAGGGTTCGATTCCGGGCCGCGTCATACAAAAAGACGTTAAAAGATGATACTTGTTGTTACCCTGTCTGGCGCTCGGCATTAAGGGGCTAAAACAAGGACTGGTCGGCTCGGAGTCAGTATACTGTGTCTGAGTGGGGTATTCATGTTAAACTGCGGCATGGTATCTCAGTTAGCTAGCACTATAAATCGGCATCAGTCCGGACTAGTACAAGCAGCCACACACACACATACACGTGCATGCACGTCGCTATATAAGTGCAATAATCTTGGACGCGACGTTAAACCCAATGTCACCTCACATCTAAGGAATATTCATTTTCACTCTTAAAAAGTAAATGAAAAGAATAAAGCAGACATAAGACTTCACAGAGGAAGGGTTTATTCTAGTCTGCCGACTGTTGCCCCGATACGCAACATGACGTCGTCAATATAATAATGGAGTAATACCCAGACTAAAACAAATAACAAATGTTCATAGCAACAATTCACCTTCTAGGCTATATAGGGGATTTAAAGGGATTTACAAGACTTGTGTTATGTTCACGTGACTTGTGTCATTTTCACAAGACGTTAAGATGACATGGGTTTTATCCACAGGAAGTTAGGATGACATTGGTTTTAACCGCAGGACGTTAAGATGACATGGGTTATATCCACAGGACGTTAAGATGTCATTGGTTTTATCCGCAGGACGTAAGGATGACATTTGTTTTATCAACGTTACATGCACCATTCTCGATTACTGCTAACTAATTACCATATGCAAGTACAGAGGCACCGCGACTTTGTTTGCGCATACAGTAAACTACGTTTATAACGAACACGCTTATAACGAACTGACCGATATAACGAACATATTTTTAGTCCCGGCCATTTGTTGTATATATGCTGTATATATGCTTAAAACGAACTACGGTTATAACGAGTGGTCCCTTTGAGTTCGTTATGAAGGTTCACTGTAGTTGTACATAAAGTTCATTGAATACATAAGACAAGAAAAATCTCTTTTGACCCGCTCAATATCGTCTCCGACTTGTTACCATGTAGTGTGATATTCTGAACTTCATACCACACTCCAGTGATTTAATTATGAGTGAACCCCACCTTTGCTTGCGTAATGTAAACTGGTTTAAGGACAGCCATGTGCGACTATACACAAGACTAGAGTATACATTACAGGACATGAACACATTCGTGTTTGTATAATTAGCTTTATATTTTAAGCAGTGAGGCGAAAGGATTACAAAACCCATGAACGGCTCATAGGAATGAGACCTCCTCACAGCTACCACAAACTGTTTCCCTCTTGTACGTCTCACAGACATGGATACCTCCTCACAGCAACCACTAACTGTTTCCCTCTTGTACGTCTCACAGACATGGATACCTCCTCACAGTTACCACTAACTGTTTCCCTCTCGTACATCTCACAGACATGGATACCTCCTCACAGTAACCACTAACTGTTTCCCTCTTGTACGTCTCACAGACAAGGATACCTCCTCACAGTTACCACTAACTGTTTCCCTCTTGTACGTCTCACAGACATGGATACCTCCTCACAGTTACCACTAACTGTTTCCCACTTGTACGTCTCACAGACATGGATACCTCCTTACAGTAACCACTGACTGTTTCCCACTTGTACGTCTCACAGACATGGATACCTCCTCACAGTTACCACTAACTGTTTCTCACTTGTACGTCTCACAGACATGGATACCTCCTCACAGTAACCACTGACTGTTTCCCACTTGTACGTCTCACAGACATGGATACCTCCTCACAGTAACCACTAACTGTTTCCCACTTGTACGTCTCACAGACATGGATACCCCCTTACAGTAACCACTGACTGTTTCCCACTTGTACGTCTCACAGACATGGATACCTCCTCACAGTAACCACTGAATGTTTCCCACTTGTACGTCTCACAGACATGGATACCTCCTCACAGCTACCACAAACTGTTTCCCTCGTGTACGTCTCACAGACAAGGATACCTCCTCACAGCTACCATTAACTGTTTCCCTCTTGTACGTCTCACAGACATGGATACCTCCTCACAGTTACCACTAACTGTTTCCCTCTTGTACGTCTCACAGACATGGATACCTCCTCACAGTAACTGTTTCCCTCTTGTACGTCTCACAGACATGGATACCTCCTCACAGTTACCACTAACTGTTTCCCACTTGTACGTCTCACAGACATGGATACCTCCTTACAGTAACCACTGACTGTTTCCCACTTGTACGTCTCACAGACATGGATACCTCCTCACAGTTACCACTAACTGTTTCCCACTTGTACGTCTCACAGACATGGATACCTCCTCACAGTAACCACTGACTGTTTCCCTCTTGTACGTCTCACAGACATGGATACCTCCTCACAGTAACCACTGAATGTTTCCCACTTGTACGTCTCACAGACATGGATACCTCCTCACAGTAACCACTAACTGTTTCCCACTTGTACGTCTCACAGACATGGATACCTCCTCACAGTTACCACTAACTGTTTCCCTCTTGTACGTCTCACAGACATGGATACCTCCTCACAGCTACCACTAACTGTTTCCCACTTGTACGTCTCACAGACATGGATACCTCCTCACAGCTACCACTAACTGTTTCCCACTTGTACGTCTCACAGACATGGATACCTCCTCACAGTTACCACAAACTGTTTCCCACTTGTACGTCTCACAGACATGGATACCTCCTCAAAGCTACCACAAACTGTTTCCCACTTGTACGTCTCACAGACATGGATACCTCCTCACAGCTACCACTAACTGTTTCCCTCTTGTACGTCTCACAGACATGGATACCTCCTCACAGCTACCACTAACTGTTTCCCACTTGTACGTCTCACAGACATGGATACCTCCTCACAGTTACCACTAACTGTTTCCCTGTCGTACCACTCACAGACATGGATACCTCCTTACAGTAACCACTAACTGTTTCCCACTTGTACGTCTCACAGACATGGATACCTCCTCACAGCTACCACTAACTGTTTCCCTCTTGTACGTGGACTAGGGTTTTACCAAAGTGGCCAAAGACCTGCATCACTTCGGTTTTCCTTCAGGGTCAAACTAACATACCGTGATGTCACTGGAATACTGCGCGGCGTTAAAACTCAAACTCACTCACTTAAATTAATCCAACGATAACAATGTGTTATATTATCGTTTGGTTTACATCTTTTTATGACATATTTTCCTGATGGTTTCACAAACAGCTTCACAACAGTGTTTCAACCTAGACGTCTGTAACATGAAAAATGATTTATGATCTGCTATCTGACTTCAAGAAGCAGCTGGACCCAAGATGACCCCTATGACCAGAACTGTCGGCCTCTGGTGTGTTTGTTGTTTAACGCCGCACTCAGCAATATTTCAGCTGTATGACAGCGGGCTGTAAATAATGAAGTCTGGGCCAGACAATTCACTACATGACATCATGAGCATCGGTCTACGCAGTTGGGATATGATGACATATATCAACCAAGTCAGCAAACCTGACCAACCAAATCCCGTTTGTCGCCTTTCACGATAAGCGTGCATAGCTGAAAACAAAGTCTAACCCAGATCTTCACAGGGGGCTGTCGTTAGTTGTCACAGACCGAGGACTTTATTCATGCCTAGTCTAAAGTTAATAAGTAAAAATGAAGATGTAAAATAATGGTTGTATAATATACAAAACATTTATAGCTGTATCGTGTCACTGCATTGTTTGGTCCAGACTCGATTATTTACAGACCAGCGAATAATGCTGGGTGCAGTGTTAAACAAACGAGTGCGAGTGACATGTTTGGTTTGGTTTGTTTGTTGTTTAAAGCCGCACTCAGCAATATTACAGATATATGACGGCGGTCTGTAAATAATCAAGTCTGGACCAGACAATCAAGTAATTGATATCATGAGTATTGATCCACGCAATTAGGATACGATGACATGTATCAACCAAGTCAGCGAGCCTGACCACCCGATCCTGTTAGTCGCCTCTTACGACAAGCATAGTTGCCTTTTACGGCAAACATGGGTTGCTGAAGACCTATTCTACCCCGGATCTTCGAGTGACATGTGCTACCGGTAGAGCAACACGTGTAGTCTACTGGTGTCATCACTGAATTTCATTGATCCATTCATTTAATTTTGCCTTTTACGCCCAATGGAATCTGTGTAGACAGATAATCGAGGCTGATTATTCTCGGGCATTCACGTTTTGTATTATGTCAGTGAGTTATTCCTGGTTATATGTTGTATAATATGTATTATAGCTGTAAGGGATAGAATTATCATTAAACCGCCCACATGTTATAAAAATGAGCGGGTCATTGTAACTTGATAATGCCCTCATATTTCTTGACGACGGGCCATTATCACGCCCGATGTTAGGTGACGTCACGTTCAATAGTGACGTCATCTGGTTTGTTCTATGACATTTCCATATTTGTAAAAGTGGGTCAGTGGCATTCGTGTTGATTGCAGTAAATGTTTCAAAACCGATATTGTTTCTTTTTATTTGAAAACAAATTCCATCCATTTTAGCTTTAATGACGGTACCGCTATTTTTCAGGGCATTATCATTTGCAGAAGCAAAACTCTGACTGCTGCAATAGATAATGCCCAGAAAAATAGCGTTACCCTTATAGGTGAGCTACCGTTTTAAAGAGATGATGTCTGTTGATGATTTAGTTATGTTTCTCCACAGGCGACGGTGTCGTAGACGAGGCAGAGTTTGTCGTCCAGTGGGTAAAGTTGACCTCTCTGTGACGACGCGGATAATACACGAAGCGCACATGTACCAACAATAAACATTTCGTGCATAACTTTTGTTTCTTTGTTTATTGCACTCGGCAATATTTCGGCTTTATGGTGGCGGCCTGTAAATGATCGACCAGACAATCCAGTGATCGAGGCCACACACTCAACCAAATCAGAGCACCTGACCACCCGACCAGTTTGGTCGGCTCTTACCTCCAGCTGGTCGATCGCTTAACTCTATTTGTCATCCCCAACTGTACCCGTTAAGATATCGCTGCCATGCAATTTCATCACAAAGATATCACTGATCTATCTGCCGCTGAAGCTTGTTAGCTGTATCTTTTACACTCAAGTGAGTGAGTGAGTGAGTGAGTGAGTATGGTTTTACGCCGTTTTCCGCAATATTCCAGCAATATCACGGCGGGGGACAACAGAAATGGGCTTCACACATTTTACCCATGTCGGGAATCGAACCCGGGTCTTCGGCGTGTCGAGCGAACGCTTTAACCACAAGGCTACCCGACCGCCCCTTTACACTCAAGATACTGGTTGTTACTGTTTACAAACTGAAAAGGTTGGAAGAATGACTTCGGATTATAAATAGAATTTAACCCTTGATCGTTTCTCTAGATATCAAATATATCACCACTCGTCGATAAAAGTTTAAAACCTATTGATAAAACTGAGACTTTGTAACGTTTATTTACACTCACTCATGACCTTACGCTTTGATGCACACACACATTCGTTCGTGAAAACTCCCCCTTACTCTTGTACATCAGTCACTCCTGCACCCAGGTCACTCTTGCATCCTGGTCACTCATGCACCCCAGTCACTCTTGCACCCCGGTCACTCTTGCACCCCAGTCACTCTTGCACCCCGGTCACTCTTGCACCCCGGTCACTCTTGCACCCCGGTCACTCTTGCACCCCGGTCACTCTTGCACCCCGGTCACTCTTGCACCCCGGTCACTCTTGCACCCCAGTCACTCTTGCACCCCGGTCACTCTTGAACCCTGGTCACTCTTGCACCCCGGTCACTCTTGAACCCTGGTCACTCTTGCACACCGGTCACTCATGCAAACAGGTCACTCATGCACCCATGTCACTCACGCATCCCGGTCACTCATTTACCAAAGTCACTTTTGCACCCCGGTCACTCATGTATCCCGGTCACTCATGTATCCCGGTCACTTATTTACCAAAGTCACTTTTGCACCCCGGTCACTCATGTATCCCCGTCACTCATGCACCCCAGTCACTCTTGCACCCCGGTCACTAATGTATCCCCGTCACTCATGCACCCCAGTCACTCTTGCACCCCAGTCACTCATGCATCCCGGTAACTCATGTATCCCAGTCACTCACGCATCCCGGTCACTCTTGCACCCCGGTCACTCACGCATCCCGGTCACTCATGTATCCCGGTCACTCATGTATCAGAGTCACTCACGCATCCCGGTCACTCTTGCACCCCGGTCACTCACGCATCCCGGTCACTCATGTATCCCGGTCACTCATGCATCCCAGTCACTCTTGCACCCTGGTCAATCGTGCATCCCGGTCACTCATGTATCCAAGTCACTCACGCATCCCAGTCACTCTTGCACCCCGGTCACTCACGCATCCTGGTCACTCATATATCCCGGTCACTCATGTATCCTGGTCACTCATTTACCAAAGTCACTTTTGCATTCCGGTCACTCATATATCCCCGTCACTCATGCACCCCAGTCACTCTTGCACCCCAGTCACTCACGCATCCTGGTCACTCATGCACCCCAGTGACTCATGCATCCCGGTCACTCATGTATTCCGGTCACTCACGCATCCCGGTCACTCATGCATCCCAGTCACCCATGCACCCTGGTCACTCACCCATCCCGGTCACTCTTGCATTTGGGTCACTCACGCATCCCGGTCACTCATGATTCCCGGTCACTCATGCATCCCGGTCACTCATGATTCCCGGTCACTCATGCACCCCAGTCACTCAAGCACCCCGGTTACTCATGCACCCCGGTCACTCATGTCATCCCCGTCACTCATGCACCCCGGTCACTCATGTACCCCGGTCACTCACGCATCCCGGTCAAAAACGCATCCCGGTCACTCTTGCACCCCGGTCACTCACGCATCCCGGTCACTCTTGCACCCCGGTCACTCACGCATCCCGGTCACTCATGCACACAGGTCACTCATGCACCCTGGTCACTCACGCATCCCAGTCACTCATTTACCAAAGTCACTTTTGTGCCCCGGTCACTCATGTATCCAGGTCACTCATTTACCAAAGTCACTTTTGCACCCCGGTCACTCTTGTATCCCGGACACTCATATATCCCGGTCACTCACGCATCCCGGTCACTCACACATCCCAGACACTCATGTACCCCGGTCACTCACGCATCCCGGTCACTCATGCATCCCGGTCACTCACGCATCCCGGTCACTCATGTATCCTGGTCAATCATGCATCCGGGTCACTCATGCATCCCGGTCACTCACGCACCCCGGTCACTCATGTATCCCGGTCACACACACATCCCCGTCACTCTTGCATCCCGGTCACTCATGCATCCCAGTCACTCATACATCCCGGTCACTCTTGTATCCCGGACACTCATGCATCCTGGTCAACACGCATCCCGGTCACTCTTGAATCCCCGTCACTCATACATCCCGGTCACTCATACATCCTGGTCACTCTTGTATCCCAGACACTCATGCATCAAGGTCAACACACATCCCAGTCACTCTTGCATCCCGGTCACTCATGCATCCCAGTCACTCATACATCCCGGTCACTCATGCATCCCGGTCACTCATGCATCCCAGTCACTCATGCATCCCGGTCACTCATGCATCCCAGTCACTCATACATCCCGGTCACTCATGCATCCCGGTCACTCATGCATCCCGGTCACTCAAACATCCCGGACACTCTTGTATCCCGGACACTCATGCATCCCGGTCACTCATACATCCCAGTCACTCATACATCCCGGTCACTCATGCATCCCGGTCACTCATGCATCCCGGTCACTCAAACATCCCGGACACTCTTGTATCCCGGACACTCATGCATCCCGGTCACTCATACTCTCGGTCACTCTTGTATCCCGGACACTCATACATCCCGGTCAACACGCATCCCGGTCACTCACACATCCCGGTCACTCTTGCATCCCGTTCACTCATGCATCCCAGTCACTCATACATCCCGGTCAACACCCATCCCAGTCACTCATGTACCCGGGTCACTCATGCATCCCGGTCACTCATGCATCCCGGTCACTCATGCATCCCGGTCATTCACGCATCCCGGTTTACTCATGTACCCCGGTCATTCTTGCACCCCGGTCACTCATGTTTCCCGGTCACTCACACATCCCCGTCACTCTTGCACCCTGGTCAATCACGCATCCCGGTCACTCATGCATCCCGGTCACTTTTGTATCCCGGTCACTAATGTACCCAGGTCACTCATGTATCCAGGTCACTCATACATCCCCGTCACTCTTGCATCCCCGACACTCTTGCATCCCGGTCACTCTTGCACCCCTGTCAATCATGCATCCCGGTCACTCATGCATCCCGGTCACTCATGTATCCGGGTCACTAATGTAGCCCGGTCACTCATGTATCCCGGTCACTCACACATCCCCGTCACTCTTGCATCCCCATCACTCTTGCATCCCGGTCACTCATGCATCCCTGTCACTCATACATCCCGGTCAACACGCATCCCGGTCACTCACACATCCCCGTCACTCTTGCATCCCGGTCAACACGCATCCCGGTCACTCACACATCCCTGTCACTCTTGCATCCCCGTCACTCATGCATCCCGGTCACTCATACATCCCGGTCACTCTTGTATCCCTGGAACACTCTTGTATCCCGGATACTCATGCATCCTGGTCAACACGCATCCAGGTCACTCTTGAATCCCCGTCACTCATACATCCCGGTCACTCATACATCCCGGTCACTCTTGTATCCCGGACACTCATGCATCCCGGTCAACACCCATTCCGTTCACTCTTGCATCCCCGTCACTCATGCATCCCTGTCACTCATACATCCCGGTCACTCACGCATCCCGGTTATTCACGCATCCCGGTTTACTCATGTACCCTGGTCATTCTTGCACCCCGGTCACTCATGTATCCCGGTCACTAATGTACCCCGGTCACTCATGTATCCCGGTCACTCACACATCCCCGTCACTCTTGCACCCCGGTCAATCACGCATCCCGGTCCATCACGCATCCCGGTCCCTCATGCATCCCGGTCACTCACGCACCCCCGTCACTCATGTATCCCGGTCACTCACACATCCCTGTCACTCTTGCATCCCGGTCACTCATGCATCCCGGTCACCCATACATCCGGGTCAACACGCATCCCGGTCACTCACACATCCCTGTCACTCTTGCATCCCCGTCACTCATGCATCCCGGTCACTCATACACCCCGGTCACTCTTGCATCCCTGGAACACTCTTGTATCCTGGACACTCATGCATCCTGGTCAACACGCATCCCGGTCACTCTTGAATCCCCGTCACTCATACATCCCGGTCATTCATACATCCTGGTCACTCTTGTATCCCGGACACTCGTGCATCCCGGTCAACACGCATCCCGGTCACTCTTGCATCCTGGTCACTCATGTATCCCGGTCACTCAAACATCCCGGTCACTCTTGCATCCCAGACACTCATGCATCCCGGTCAACACACATCCCGGTCACTCACACATCCCCGTCACTCTTGCATCCCGGTCACTCATACATCCCGGTCACTCTTGTATCCCGGATACTCATGCATCCCGGTCAACACACATCCCGGTCACTCACACATCCCCGTCACTCTTGCATCCAGGTCACTCATGCATCCCTGTCACTCATACATCCCGGTCACTCTTGTATCCCGGACACTCATGCATCCCAGTCACTCATGCATCCCGGTCACTCATACATCCCGGTCACTCATACATCCCGGTCACTCTTGTATCCCGGACACTCATGCATCCCAGTCACTCATACATCCCCGTCACTCTTGTATCCCGGACACTCATGCATCCCGGTCACTCACACATCCCCGTCACTCTTGTATCCCGGACACTCATGCATCCCGGTCACTCATACTCTCGGTCACTCTTGTATCCCGGACACTCATACATCCCGGTCAACAAGCATCCCGGTCACTCACACATCCCCGTCACTCTTGCATCCCGGTCACTGATGTATCCCGGTCACTCACACATCCCCGTCACTCTTGTATCCTGGACACTCATGCATCCTGGTCAACACGCATCCCGGTCACTCTTGAATCCCCGTCACTCATACATCCCGGTCATTCATACATCCTGGTCACTCTTGTATCCCGGACACTCATGCATCCCGGTCAACACACACCCCGGTCACTCACACATCCCCATCACTCTTGCATCCCGGTCACTCATACATCCCGGTCACTCATACATCCCGGTCACTCTTGTATCCCGGACACTCACACATCCCGGTCACTCTTGCATCCCGGTCACTCATACATCCCGGTCACTCATACATCCCGGTCACTCATACATCCCGGTCACTCATGCATCCCGGTCACTCATACATCCCGGTCACTCATACATCCCGGTCACTCATACATCCCGGTCACTCATACATCCCGGTCACTCATACATCCCGGTCACTCATGCATCCCGGTCACTCATACATCCCGGTCAACACACATCCCGGTCACTCATACATCCCGGTCACTCATGCATCCCGGTCACTCATACATCCCGGTCACTCATGCATCCCGGTCACTCATGCATCCCGGTCAACACACATCCCGGTCACTCATACATCCCGGTCACTCATGCATCCCGGTCAACACACATCCCGGTCACTCATACATCCTGGTCACTGATGTATCCCGGTCACTCATACATCCCGGTCACTCATGCATCCCGGTCACTCATACATCCCGGTCAACACACATCCCGGTCACTCATACATCCCGGTCACTCATGCATCCCGGTCACTCATACATCCCGGTCACTCATACATCCCGGTCACTCTTGTATCCCGGTCACTCATACATCCCGGTCACTCTTGTATCCCGGTCACTCATACATCCCGGTCACTCTTGTATCCCGGTCACTCATACATCCCGGTCACTCTTGTATCCCGGTCACTCATACATCCCGGTCACTCTTGTATCCCGGTCACTCATACATCCCGGTCACTCTTGTATCCCGGTCACTCATACATCCCGGTCACTCTTGTATCCCGGTCACTCATACATCCCGGTCACTCTTGTATCCCGGTCACTCATACATCCCGGTCACTCTTGTATCCCGGTCACTCATACATCCCGGTCACTCATACATCCCGGTCACTCATGCATCCCGGTCACTCATACATCCCGGTCACTCATACATCCCGGTCACTCATACATCCCGGACACTCACACATCCCGGTCACTCATACATCCCGGTCACTCATACATCCCGGTCACTCATGCATCCCGGTCACTCATACATCCCGGTCACTCTTGTATCCCGGACACTCACACATCCCCGTCACTCTTGCATCCCGGTCACTCATGCATCCCGGTCACTCATACATCCCGGTCACTCATGCATTCCGGTCACTTTTGTATCCCGGACACTCATGCATCCCGGTCACTCTTGTATCCCGGTCACTCATACATCCCGGTCACTCATGCATCCCGGTCACTCATGCATCCCGGTCACTCATGCATCCCCGTCACTCATGCATCCCGGTCACTCATGCATCCCGGACACTCTTGAATCCCCGTCACTGATGCATCCCAGTCACTCATACATTCCGGTCACTCTTGTATCCCGGACACTCTTGTATCCCGGACACTCATACATTCCGGTCACTCTTGTATCCCGGACACTCTTGTATCCCAGTCACTTATGCATCCCTGACACTCTTGTATCCTGGTCACTCATGCATCCCGGACACTCATACATTCCGGTCACTCTTGAATCCCCGTCACTCATGCATCCCGGACACTCATACATTCCGGTCACTCTTGTATCCCGGACACTCTTGTATCCCGGTCACTTATGCATCCCGGTCACTCTTGTATCCCAGACACTCATGCATCCCGGACACTCATGCATCCCGGTCACTTATGCATCCCGGTCACTCTTGTATCCCAGACACTCATGCATCCCGGTCAACACGCATCCCAGTCACTCATGCATCCCGGTCACTCATGTACCCCGGTCCCTCATGCATCCCGGTCAATCACGCATCCCGGTCACTCATGCATCCCGGTCACTCACGCATCCCGGTCACTCTTGCATCCCGGTCACTCATGCATCCTGGTCACTCTTGCGCCCTGGTCACTCTTGCACCCTGGTCACTCATGTACCCCGGTCCCTATGCACCCTGGTCACTCATGTACCCCGGTCACTCATGCATCCCGGTCACTCTTGCATCCCGGTCACTCATGCATCCCGGTCACTCTTGCATCCCGGTCACTCTTGCATCCCGGTCACTCTTGCACCCTGGTCACTCATGCACCCCGGTCACTCATGCACCCCGGTCACTCATGTACCCCGGTCCCTATGCACCCCGGTCACTCATGTACCCCGGTCACACATGCACCCCGGTCACTCACGCATCCCAGTCACTCATGTACCCCGGTCACACATGCACCCCGGTCACTCATGTACCCCGGTCCCTATGCACCCTGGTCATACATGTACCCCGGTCACAAAAGCGCAATACACGATATCCTCACTCATCCTCCATTCATGCACACACTGAATCAGATTGTCCATTGCACATTGCACAGGTTGTCAATTGCATTGTAAAATTAGCGGGTAGTATGGGAAAATAGGTCGTAAAAATAAATTTACCGATTCGACATTCTATTGAAAAAAATCAATGGATACACGCTAATTCACGTACACTCTGCGTGTCAACAGCCGAGTCATGTTACTGCGCTCTATGTGTGAGTTATGTGGGTCCTGGTATCCCACGTGGCTGCGCTTCACGCCGGTTAACAAAGCGTTGGACGTAACGTAATCCTCGGAGTGATGGTCCGTCGAGCAGGATAATGGTGATGTGATCAACGTTCTAGCTAATATCCTGGCAGGGAGTGCTGTCGTCTGAACACTGTGCTGTGGAGAGAGCGGAGGCCGAGAGGTGAGTAGTGGCCAGGAATCGTACAGGAATCAGGGGTCATGTCCCGTACTGCCTTATCCATGCATCGGCGTGAACTGGTGTATATAAAGTTTGATATTCCAAACATGTCACCACTACAGCGTGTCAGGTGGAAACGAATATGTGATGATGGTGCGAGAGAATAGGTCTCGCTACAGCCATCTCTTCATTCTGTACAGTGAGGTGGTAAGGTGAAAGAAACTTATTGCTCGTATATACGCCGTTCTTGTGTAATAGATTATTTCATGCCTCTGCAAAATATTTTCCCTTTGTTAAATTGTCATTGGATATGTATCCTCAGGACAGTTGTCCCGGGATATGTGTCTATGGAAATACCCTGGGGTATATAATCTGGGTGGGTACTTACAGGTGAGGTGAAATGGGGTGAACGTCGCGTCCAAGATTATTGCACTTATATAGTGACGTGCATGTACGTGTGTGTGTTTGTGTGGCTGCTTTTACTAGTCCTGACTGATGCCGATTTATAGGGCTAGCTCACTGAGATACCATACCGCAGTTTATCATGAATACCCCACTCAGACACAGTATACTGACTCCGAGCCGACCAGCCGGGCGCCAGACAGGGTAACAACAAGTACCATCTTTTAACGTCTTTGGTATGACGCGGTCGGGGATCGAACCCCGGACCTTCCGCTCTCCGGGCGGACGCTCTACCACTAGACCACGGAGGCGGTCTGGATACTTACAGGGATAATGTTACTCTTGCATATGTACCGGACGATGCTGGTTAATATAGTGCTAGCTCACTGAGGTACCATGCCGCAGTTTAACATGAATACCCCACTCAGACACAGTATACTGACTCCAGCCGACCAGTCCTTGTTTTAGCCCCTTAATGCCGAGCGCTAGGCAGGGTAACAACAAGTACTATTGGTTAGCGTCTTTTGGTATGACGCGGTCGGGGATCGAACCCCGGACCTTCCGCTCTATGCACCAGACCTCGGATGTGTTGTTTTAAGTGAAGACATCCTATGCCTAGTTTGCACAGAGAAGAACCTGCTTCTGCACCAAATCTTTGAATGAACCGTTGTGTTGATGATCATATTGTATCCCTGTTCGTGGTTTCATTGAGAGTGCAAAACTATGGAATCCTAGAAGAGATATTGTCGTATTGTCGCCCTAACAAAAGTAAGCAAAAAGTGTCAAATTTAACCAAAGCGCGACAATGCGACAACGTGACATTTTGGCCAGTTGTCGTATTGTCGCGTTGTCGCATTGTATCGCCTTGAATCATTTTGTTTTATTTAACCAAAGGGCGACAATGGGACAACGAAACATTTTTCAAGGTCAGAATGTGTCGCGTTGTCGCATTGTCGCCCCATCAAAAATGTGTAAAAAAAAGGCGTTAATATGCGCGACAATGCGACATAATAATAATAATATGTTTCTTCGATTGATGGCGCGCATGCCCTGATATGGTCTTTTCTCAGCACCAATGGTTCTGAAACCAAAGTAGCAATGGCAATATGGGTTGCTTTTCTCAAAATGTAAACAAATCTTTCATAGTTGCTTTAGAAATTAGTTCATACATCGTTCTTGTCTGTGTGGGTTTCTTAAACCAAACGTGCTTCACTGTAAGAAACAAACATTTTGCATTTCTGTTTTAATTTAATTCCGGTCTCCGACATGGGTGTTCGAGAAAAGGTGAGCGTATCCAATCCTACCAGTAGTACTTGTCACAAACACGTGCAAAGGCAAGTCAATTGTTCAACTGACAAAATGCCACGGAAACATGATACAAATTAAGATATGTTATTGCATCGGGTATTGCAGTAAAAGTCAAAGTTGGAAATGCTTTCCAAAAATGTTAATTGATAGCTCAAGCAATTTCATTTTCAGATGTTTCCGTGTCTGTCCGCTATGTGTCGCTCTGTCGTCACCTCCGTCATCATCATCACGATAAGCTGTCCATGGTCGGGGCTCATGATATCTCGCAGGAGGACCGAAGCAGGTATGATGTGTATATTCATGACCCTAGGGGTAAAATATGTGCACATGTTTCAGATATTTGCAAAATGTGCACACATCACCTTTCAATCATTCAAGGCATCAGACTGACTGACTGTGGACCCTCATTAAACTGGAAACTCAGTTTTACAACGCCATGGCATCTCTGACTTCCGCTGTGATTTGGGTCTGCATCCGTTGTAACCTTGACCTTTCTCACAGTTACTCCACAGAGTGCGGTCGGCCGGGTAGCATAGTGGTTAAAGCGTTCGCTCGTCACGCCCAAGACCCGGGTTCGATTCCCGACATAGGTACAATGTGTGAAGCCCATTTCTGGTGTCTCCCGCCTTGATATTGCTTGAATATTGCTAAAAGCGGCGTCAAACCATACTCACTCACTCACTCCACAGAGTGCACTTGTTTGTTTATGCTTATACTCGTTGTTTATACTCGTAGCTCTTCAAGTTACATTTGGGGTATTAAATAGAATATAACACCCGTTCAGTATGTTTACAATACTAAGGCACTCCTCCATCATTGTCATTCATGGAAACAACGTATCAACCAGTTTTCGGCGTTAATGCTATTCAGGGGGGCACTGAGAAAGTTTAAAAAAAAAAAAAAAATTAGGTCATGTCGAGATTGATTCATGGTATGACAAAAACATCCTTGGTTTCTTAACTCATATGAATGGTGGCAAAGACACCATGGCACCACAATCTGAACAGGCATTAATTGTATTCAAATGTCAGGTATTTTATTTTTGATCAGAAGATTCCACAAATTCTAAATTTATTATTTGAAATTATGTGGAACAACTAACTGTTTACCGTTACTGATACATGCACCAGTGCAACCTATTCTTGGAAAGAGCAACCTAATATTTATGTCTACATGCACCAGTGCAACCTATTCTTGGAAAGAGCAACCTAATATTTATGTCTACATGCACCAGTGCAACCTATTCTTGGAAAGAGCAACCTAATATGTATGTCTACATGCACCAGTGCAACCTATTCTTGAAAAGTGCAACCTAATATGTATGTCTACATGCACCAGTGCAACCTATTCTTGAAAAGTGCAACCTAATATTTATGTCTACATGCACCAGTGCAACCTATTCTTGGAAAGAGCAACCTAATATTTATGTCTACATGCACCAGTGCAACCTATTCTTGAAAAGTGCAACCTTATATTTATGTCTACATGCACCAGTGCAACCTATTCTTGAAAAGTGCAACCTAATATTTATGTCTACATGCACCAGTGCAACCTATTCTTGAAAAGTGCAACCTAATATTTATGTCTACATGCACCAGTGCAATCTATTCTTGAAAAGTGCAACCTAATATTTATGTCTACATGCACCAGTGCAATCTATTCTTGAAAAGTGCAACCTAATATTTATGTCTACATGCACCAGTGCAACCTATTCTTGAAAAGTGCAACCTAATATTTATGTCTACATGCACCAGTGCAATCTATTCTTGAAAAGTGCAACCTAATATTTATGTCTACATGCACCAGTGCAACCTATTCTTGAAAAGTGCAACCTAATATTTATGTCTACATGCACCAGTGCAACCTATTCTTGAAAAGTGCAACCTAATATTTATGTCTACATGCACCAGTGCAACCTATTCTTGAAAAGTGCAACCTAATATTTATGTCTACATGCACCAGTGCAATCTATTCTTGAAAAGTGCAACCTAATATTTATGTCTACATGCACCAGTGCAATCTATTCTTGAAAAGTGCAACCTAATATTTATGTCTACATGCACCAGTGCAATCTATTCTTGAAAAGTGCAACCTAATATTTATGTCTACATGCACCAGTGCAACCTATTCTTGAAAAGTGCAACCTAATATTTATGTCTACATGCACCAGTGCAATCTATTCTTGAAAAGTGCAACCTAATATTTATGTCTACATGCACCAGTGCAATCTATTCTTGAAAAGTGCAACCTAATATTTATGTCTACATGCACCAGTGCAACCTATTCTTGAAAAGTGCAACCTAATATTTATGTCTACATGCACCAGTGCAATCTATTCTTGAAAAGTGCAACCTAATATTTATGTCTACATGCACCAGTGCAATCTATTCTTGAAAAGTGCAACCTAATATTTATGTCTACATGCACCAGTGCAACCTATTCTTGAAAAGTGCAACCTAATATTTATGTCTACATGCACCAGTGCAATCTATTCTTGAAAAGTGCAACCTAATATTTATGTCTACATGCACCAGTGCAACCTATTCTTGAAAAGTGCAACCTAATATTTATGTCTACATGCACCAGTGCAACCTATTCTTGAAAAGTGCAACCTAATATTTATGTCTACATGCACCAGTGCAACCTATTCTTGAAAAGTGCAACCTAATATTTATGTCTACATGCACCAGTGCAATCTATTCTTGAAAAGTGCAACCTAATATTTATGTCTACATGCACCAGTGCAACCTATTCTTGAAAAGTGCAACCTAATATTTATGTCTACATGCACCAAGTGCACGTTAATTTTTTTTTCAAATTTGGGTCTGATTAACCCTCACTTTTCGAAACAACAGCGATCTCAGAACACATTCGATACTTTACAATATAACATCATTATTCTCTGTGCTATGTGTAATTTGTAATGCTTTCTTTGGCGTGACGTCATCAAACTTCAAGATTATGTGCACATATTCCTATTACAGAACTACATCATCAATTTAAGTAAAATCACGACACAGTCATCTGAGATCTGAGACTGTAGGTATTTAGACCAGTTAATGGATCTATGTTTCAACTTTTTTATTGGACCAGGATGGATCCTGTTTTTTTATGAGTGAGTGAGTGAGTGAGTGAGTTGGGTTTAACGCCGCTTTTAACAGTATTCCAGTTATATCACGGCGTGTCAGCTTAATGTGGGAGGAAAGCCCGAAGTGATGCAGGTCTAAGACGTTTACCACTTCGGTGAAACCCACGAGCACGGGTATGGTGCTGACAAATCTAGAAACATACTTGGGGCGAACCGGGATTCGAACCCACAATCATAGGTTTCTGGCGTGCCAAAGGGACGCAACTCTGCACAGCGAATCGCGGCGCCTTAGCCGACTGGGCCACCCGAGCCCCCTGTTTTTTTATGATGCAGCTGGGGTACGATGACATGCATCAACCAAGTCAGCCAATCTCACCGCCCAGTCCCGTTAGTCGCCTGTTCCGAGTCATAGTCACCTTTTACGGCAAGCATGGGTTGCTGAAGACCTCTTCTAACCCGCTATATCAACATGCACCTCTTAAGTGAGCCCTGAAATACTGAGTTTTGATTGACAGAAGTTCGTAATACGGGACAATTAAATAATATACGTCATACAGCAGGCGAGAGGGTGTGTGTGTGTGTGTGTGTGTGTGTGTGTGTGTGTGTGTGTGTGTGTGTGTGTGTGTGTGTGTGTGTGTGTGTGTGTGTGTGTGTGTGTGTGTGGTCGCCCCCCTTCCCTCCCCCCCCTCCCCTTCATAAACAAATGTAGGAACAAAGTTTGAAAGGTTACCTATATTTAAAGGTCGTCATCGATCACAGTTTGCTAACGCGGCTTTATAACAAGGCAAGACTATCGTGCTATAATTATATAAATTTAGTTTTCTATTCTGTGTGAGTATATGTTTTTATTCAGTCTTCATAACTTTCTGTGTCAGAGACCGTGGAATATATGTAGTGGATACAGCGTCTGTCTAACGAGAGCAGAACGCATGAAGTTCGATCCCTAGCAGCGTCATAAAATATGGCACTTGTTGTTACCCTGCCTGGTGCTGGGCATTAAGGGGAATCAAGGTCTGGTCGGCCCGGAGTCAGTATACTGTGTAAGAGTAGCGTATTCATGCTAAACTGCAGCATGGTAACTCAGTAGGCTGGCACTACAAAGCATCATGCACGTCGCTCTGTAGGTGTCAAAAGCTTGAACGCGACGTTCATAGCTATTTCACTTAATCTCACTTTGTGTATTACATTTTTAAGTGTGTGTAGAAGTGTCCGTCTTGTTTCCAGTAATAATAGCCAATGCGACTGCATACAACATTGGCAAACCTGCTGTCTTCAAGTGTCAACTCAAAACCAACGACAACACTGTCTACGACCTCCGTTTCGAGTCTGATCCTACATCAGTGGCGGAGCGTGGTACGACGTCGGTGGAGGACAACGCCACTATAACGCTGTCGGTGCCGTCACTATTTCTAAGAGACGCGGGGACGTTGTATTGCATCACCAATAAAACCACCCTAGCTAGAAAACTGATTGTTGTTGGTGGTAAGTATGCTACAATTGATCTATGGTATGCATAACAGGGAGGAATACCATACTTACCTTACTATACCTGCTTACACGTCATACGAGAAGGGGCGGTCGGGTAGCCTAGTGGTTAAAGCGTTCGCTCGTCACGCCGAAGACCCGGGTTCGATTCCCGACATGGGTACAATGTGTGAAGCCCATTTCTGGTGTCCCCCGCCGTGATATTGCTGGAATATTGCTAAAAGCGGCGTAAAACCATACTCAGTCAGTAAGTCAGTCATACGAGAAAGTCTATATAAAAGGGGAAACGGGTGGCCCACTCGTCTAATTGCCGAGTTGCGTCCCTTGGGTGTGCCAGAAACCTTTCATCCTGGTTTCGAATCCCGGGTCGCCTTGATGAGGTTTCTAGGTCTGTCAGCGGCATCCTTAACAAACATAAGCCGTCACCCAAAGTAGTGAGTGAGTGAGTGAGTTTGGTTTAACGCCGCTTTTGACAGTATTCCAGTCATATCACGGCGTGTCAGCTTAATGTGGAAAGAAAGCCCGAAGTGATGCAGGTCACAGACGTTTACCACTTCGGTGAAACCCACGAGCACGGGTATGGTGCTGACAAACCTAGAAACATAATCGGGGCGAACCGGGATTCGAACCCACAATCATAGGTTTCTGGCGTGCCTAAGGGACGCAACTCTGCACAGCGAATCGCGGCGCCTTAGACGACTGGGCCACCCGTGTCCCCTCACCCAAAGTAAATCGTAGCAGGCCATAAAGAGTTTAGTTCTAAACCACATAGCATCATAACTTCAAACAACTCATTGTGAAGCAACCTATATGACGTCACAGTATCAGTACGTGAGTATTGTTTTATGCCGCTTATATCAACGTTCCAGTAATATCACCAGGAATGATATCAGATTTCGCACATTGTAACACATTGTCGAGAAACACCAACTATGTAGGACCCAAAATTCGAACTAGCCCTTATCTCACCTGCCGCTTCTGTCATCTGTTTGTCTGATTGAGCTTTGTACTCCTCATCCATTGGATTTAATAGTCGTTAGTAAATTAAACATTGCTGTAAAATTATTTTAAATTAAACAAAATAAATCGACCTCTTATTGTGAAGACAACAACACGACGTTTTACAGTAATAGTCGGTATTATTATGGTTTCTACGGTAATGTGTCGCACTGTGATGTGAAGAAAGCGTATTCATGTTAAGTAGTTACAAGCTATAAATAAAGACAGCGTTGAATGGAACAGCGTTAAAATACATCACATTGAGGTGCTGTTGTATTTCTCCCCGCAAATGAATTTTTAACACCTGCCGTTTGTCGGGATGACTTATTCCTCTGATAGAAAATATCAAATGTGCAACACGGTCCATTAAAACGTAATCTAGGGGTTTATAAGCACACGTGTGACGGAGCAACTGAGGCGTTTCAAATTGTAAGGAAGTACTGCATTTTGAACTTAAAGAGAATCTCACCTGAATGTCTCGTTATCATAATATCAACACGAGTCGTTAAGTTTTTACTTTTAACTGTTGAGTGTTGGTTAATATATTTGATATCAAAAGACCGAGGTTGATATTCTCTTGATCATCCAAAATAAATATTCCAACTTTAGGTTGTAAACAAAACACCCAGTGTCTTGGGTTGATCGTGAGATAGTGGGAAATGAATTCTTTTAATTGGATGGTTTTAATTAGCCAAAAGTTGCACATTCATCAATTTCAAAACAATATTAAGATAACCAAATGGCAACATATCAAAGCAAACAGCACATTCAGCAACGACCTGGACACCCATATCTCTATCAAATGTTGAGTAGTATACACCATGGTATATAAGGCTGGCGGGGCAATAGGCGGAAGCAAACACCAGTCGTTTCTAACATCCCCGGTGAATGGACATGGAAATCCCGGTCTATTTTCCAGGAGACTGACAATCATTGATTCTCCAGGAACATGCATTCCGCTTCGAGACTTGTATTCTATAGTAATAATCACCCTCATTTCTCTTCATTGAATGTAGCTATCGGGTGGGTAAACTTCGAGATAGAGGAGGGGGCTATATTCAAGATTTCACACATCTCTGATGTGAGTTAACTTCGAGAAAGCGAGGAATATGTGAAATGTCCTTGACGTCTTCATTGATAACATCTGTGTAAATTTTGGGTAAGACATTTAGGCAAGAAGTAGGCATCCCCATGGGCACCAATTGTACCCTTCTTCCTGATTTGTTTCTTTCTGCATATGAATCGGAATTTCTGCTCGGATTGGTAAAGTCAAAACAAGGTAATTTGGCCAAGAAGTTTAACATTAGCGTCAGGTATATCGATAATTTTATATTGCTCAAAAGCCATCAAATAGCCAGTTCCCTTCCACTGATTTATATATTTCATTTCAAGGACGTGACTCTAAGGAGGTTGCACGAACTGTAGATGTAAATCCACATAGTAAACTTGCCCATGGGCCTAACCTTTCTACACTAATAAAACACTGCAAGGGAAACTGATTGTATTAATTACTTGCTGTGTTCACAGCACCTCCAGTTGCGGCGTACAACATCAGCTGCGTCTCCTACAACCAGGTTAGCCTTGAGTGTAACGCACACGTGCACGAGACACCAGGGCCGCTTCAGACGCGATGGACGATAGAGTACAAAAACAGGTAGGCCACGCATCGCGATCTCGTAGCTGAACATTTACAAACAGACGGTCGTCAATACTTCACGGTTTGTATTCCCGAAGTTCCTCCTTCGCCCGCGAATACTTAGGGCCGTTAGTTTAAACGGGCTGTTTCCAGTGAGCCCTAAATTACATTCATTTGGCAAGATTTCTCATGCAACATGTGCCACTGGCTCGCGTCATCTACTCCACGCACTGCTTTAGTATCACGCAGTGGTAGGGTTCATTGCATGGAGAAGAGATCATGTGAATATCATCAGTTATAAACAGTAACTCTATTTCATTACCTCACTCAAATCGACATACGTCACTAATACATCGCATTAAGTTTGTATATATTCACGGCACTATTACATAGCATTAAGGCTGTGTATATTCATGGCACTATTACATAGCATTAAGGCTGTGTATATTCATGGCACTATTACATAGCATTAAGGCTGTGTATATTCATGGCACTATTACATAGCATTAAGGCTGTGTATATTCATGGCACTATTACATAGCATTAAGGCTGTGTATATTCATGGCACTATTACATACATGTAGCATTAAGGCTGTGTATATTCATGGCACTATTACATAGCATTAAGGCTGTGTATATTCATGGCACTATTACATAGCATTAAGGCTGTGTATATTCATGGCACTATTACATAGCATTAAGGCTGTGTATATTCACAGTACTATTACATACATGTAGCATTAAGGCTGTGTATATTCATGGCACTATTACATAGCATTAAGGCTGTGTATATTCACAGTACTATTACATACATGTAGCATTAAGGCTGTGTATATTCATGGCACTATTACATAGCATTAAGGCTGTGTATATTCATGGCACTATTACATAGCATTAAGGCTGTGTATATTCATGGCACTATTACATAGCATTAAGGCTGTGTATATTCACAGTACTATTACATACATGTAGCATTAAGGCTGTGTATATTCATGGCACTATTACATAGCATTAAGGCTGTGTATATTCACAGTACTATTACATACATGTAGCATTAAGGCTGTGTATATTCATAACACTATTACATAGCATTAAGGCTGTGTATATTCATGGCACTATTACATAGCATTAAGGCTGTGTATATTCACAGTACTATTACATACATGTAGCATTAAGGCTGTGTATATTCATGGCACTATTACATAGCATTAAGGCTGTGTATATTCATGGCACTATTACATAGCATTAAGGCTGTGTATATTCATGGCACTATTACATAGCATTAAGGCTGTGTATATTCACAGTACTATTACATACATGTAGCATTAAGGCTGTGTATATTCATGGCACTATTACATAGCATTAAGGCTGTGTATATTCATGGTACTATTACATACATGTAGCATTAAGGCTGTGTATATTCATGGCACTATTACATAGCATTAAGGCTGTGTATATTCATGGCACTATTACATAGCATTAAGGCTGTGTATATTCATGGCACTATTACATAGCATTAAGGCTGTGTATATTCACAGTACTATTACATACATGTAGCATTAAGGCTGTGTATATTCATGGCACTATTACATAGCATTAAGGCTGTGTATATTCACAGTACTATTACATACATGTAGCATTAAGGCTGTGTATATTCATGGCACTATTACATAGCATTAAGGCTGTGTATATTCATGGCACTATTACATAGCATTAAGGCTGTGTATATTCATGGCACTATTACATAGCATTAAGGCTGTGTATATTCACAGTACTATTACATACATGTAGCATTAAGGCTGTGTATATTCATGGCACTATTACATAGCATTAAGGCTGTGTATATTCACAGTACTATTACATACATGTAGCATTAAGGCTGTGTATATTCATGGCACTATTACATAGCATTAAGGCTGTGTATATTCATGGCACTATTACATAGCATTAAGGCTGTGTATATTCATGGCACTATTACATAGCATTAAGGCTGTGTATATTCACAGTACTATTACATACATGTAGCATTAAGGCTGTGTATATTCATGGCACTATTACATAGCATTAAGGCTGTGTATATTCACAGTACTATTACATAGCATTAAGGCTGTGTATATTCATGGCACTATTACATAGCATTAAGGCTGTGTATATTCACAGTACTATTACATAGCATTAAGGCTGTGTATATTCATGGCACTATTACATAGCATTAAGGCTGTGTATATTCACAGTACTATTACATACATGTAGCATTAAGGCTGTGTATATTCATGGCACTATTACATAGCATTAAGGCTGTGTATATTCACAGTACTATTACATAGCATTAAGGCTGTGTATATTCATGGCACTATTACATAGCATTAAGGCTGTGTATATTCACAGTACTATTACATAGCATTAAGGCTGTGTATATTCATGGCACTATTGCATACATGTAGCATTAAGGCTGTGTATATTCATGGCACTATTACATAGCATTAAGGCTGGGTATATTCATGGCACTATTACATAGCATTAAGGCTGTGTATATTCATGGCACTATTACATACATGTAGCATTAAGGCTGTGTATATTCATGGCACTATTACATAGCATTAAGGCTGGGTATATTCATGTCACTATTACATAGCATTAAGGCTGTGTATATTCACAGTACTATTACATACATGTAGCATTAAGGCTGTGTATATTCATGGCACTATTACATAGCATTAAGGCTGTGTATATTCATGGCACTATTACATAGCATTAAGGCTGGGTATATTCATGGCACTATTACATAGCATTAAGGCTGTGTATATTCACAGTACTATTACATACATGTAGCATTAAGGCTGTGTATATTCATGGCACTATTACATAGCATTAAGGCTGTGTATATTCATGGCACTATTACATAGCATTAAGGCTGTGTATATTCACAGTACTATTACATACATGTAGCATTAAGGCTGTGTATATTCATGGCACTATTACATAGCATTAAGGCTGTGTATATTCATGTCACTATTACATAGCATTAAGGCTGTGTATATTCATGTCACTATTACATAGCATTAAGGCTCAGTATATTCATGGCACTATTACATAGCATTAAGGCTGTGTATATTCATGGCACTATTACATAGCATTAAGGCTCAGTATATTCATGGCACTATTACATAGCATTAAGGCTGTGTATATTCATGTCACTATTACATAGCATTAAGGCTGTGTATATTCATGGCACTATTACATAGCATTAAGGCTCAGTATATTCATGGCACTATTACATAGCATTAAGGCTGTGTATATTCATGGCACTATTACATAGCATTAAGGCTGTGTATATTCACAGTACTATTACATAGCATTAAGGCTGTGTATATTCATAACACTTTTACATACATGTAGCACGAAGGCTGTGTATATTCATGGCACTATTACATAGCATTAAGGCTGTGTATATTCACAGTACTATTACATAGCATTAAGGCTGTGTATATTCATAACACTATTACTGAGCATTAAGGCTGTATATATTCATGGCACTATTACATAGCATTAAGGCTGTATATATTCACGGCACTATTACATAGCATTAAGGCTGTGTATATTCACGGCACTATTACATCATTTTAAGGCTGTGTATATTCACGGCACTATTACATCGCACTAAGGCTGTGTATATTCATGGCACTATTACATAGCATTAAGGCTGTGTATATTCATGGCACTATTACATAGCATTAAGGCTGTGTATATTCACAGTAATATTACATAGCATTAAGGCTGTGTATATTCATAACACTATTACTGAGCATTAAGGCTGTATATATTCATGGCACTATTACATAGCATTAAGGCTGTATATATTCACGGCACTATTACATAGCATTAAGGCTGTGTATATTCACGGCACTATTACATCATTTTAAGGCTGTGTATATTCACGGCACTATTACATCGCACTAAGGCTGTGTATATTCACGGCACTATTACATCATATTAAGGCTGTGTATATTCATGGCACTATTACATAGCATTAAGGCTGTATATATTCACGGCACTATTACATAGCATTAAGGCTGTGTATATTCACGGCACTATTACATCGCATTAAGGCTGTGTATATTCACGGCACTATTACATCGCACTAAGGCTGTGTATATTCACGGCACTATTACATCATATTAAGGCTGTGTATATTCATGGCACTATTACATCGCACTAAGGCTGTGTATATTCACAGTACTATTACATAGCATTAAGGCTGTGTATATTCCCAGCACTATACATACATGTAGCATTAAGGCTGTGTATATTCACGGCACTATTGCATAGCATTAGGGCTGTGTATATTCATGGCACTATTACATCGCACTAAGGCTGTGTATATTCACGGCACTATTTCATCGCAATAAGGCTGTGTATATTCATGGCTCTATTACATCGCATTTAGGCTGTGTATATTCATGGCACTATTACATAGCATTAAGGCTGTGTATATTCATGGCACTATTACATCGCACTAAGGCTGTGTATATTCACGGCACTATTACATCATATTAAGGCTGTGTATATTCATGGCACTATTACATAGCATTAAGGCTGTATATATTCACGGCACTATTACATAGCATTATGGCAGTATATATTCACGGCACTATTACATCATATTAAGGCTGTGTATATTCACGGCACTATTACATCATATTAAGGCTGTATATATTCACGGCACTATTACATAGCATTAAGGCTGTATATATTCACGGCACTATTACATAGCATTAAGGCTGTATATATTCACGGCACTATTACATAGCATTAAGGCTGTGTATATTCATGGCACTATTACATCGCACTAAGGCTGTGTATATTCATGGCACTATTACATCATATTAAGGCTGTGTATATTCACGGCACTATTACATCATATTAAGGCTGTGTATATTCACGGCACTTTTACATCGCACTAAGGCTGTATTTATTCACGGCACTTTTACATCATATTAAGGCTGTGTATATTCATGGCACTATTACATCGCAATAAGGCTGTGTATATTCATGGCACTATTACATCGCAATAAGGCTGTGTATATTCACGGCACTGTTACATCGCAATAAGGCTGTGTATGTTCACGGTTTGTTGAGGAAGACAGTGAATACAAACCCTGAAAGCCCAACATGATGAATACAGCTGTCATATGTGTTTTATCAGGCGGTTTCGCTTCAAAAACCAAAACCAAGAACACAAATAAAACCTTTGACATCAGTGCTTCAAACTGCAAATGGACAGGTACAATATATACCACATGTATGATAAAATCTTGTTACAAGGAAACCCAGATTATTATTATTACGCTACACATGTCCGTAAATATTTCCACGATATTTTCCTTGCAGGATCAATTATATTATTATATAAGACATAGGCCCCCTATGCATTTAATTTTGATAAAATATAGAAAAAAATAAAATTAAAATTTATTTTGATGGATGACATCCTTTTCATACATTGCCCGTGTGACATAAACATTAGAGTTTGGGATATGTCATAACAGCTGAGCCAATGTTATACACATAAACAACCCATTGTTAGACCAATAATGTAGCAGATTATTTTCCTGTGAGATAACCGCCTTCGTGATCCCTCGACTCACACAAAGGCCAAACTGCTGTAATGTAGTCATCAACCGTCGTTCACATTTCCACTGAAGTGTCTTGTGACCTCAGAACCACGGGGATTTGCTTATCAATCACAGCTGATCCAAGTTCAAGGTTAAATTTTCGAGGTGAATAAATCTTTTCATAACAAATTGTTTAATGCAATACCAATACTGATATAAAGAATTTCTTATGTTGTACTATGTCAGATCTACGTCGTTGCCATTGCATCTTAGGACTGTTAGATGAACGTCGTTGACATTGCATCTTAGGACTGTTAGATGCACGTCGTTGCCATTGCATCTTAGGACTGTTAGATGCACGTCGTTGCCATTGCATCTTAGGACTGTTAGATGTACGTCGTTGCCATTGCATCTTAGGACTGTTAGATGTACGTCGTTGCCATTGCATCTTAGGACTGTTAGATGCACGTCGTTGCCATTGCATCTTAGGACTGTAAGATGTACGTCGTTGACATTGCATCTTAGGACTGTTAGATGTACATCGTTGACATTGCATCTTAGGACTGTTAGATGTACATCGTTGACATTGCATCTTAGGACTGTTAGATGAACGTCGTTGACATTGCATCTTAGGACTGTTAGATGTACATCGTTGACATTGCATCTTAGGACTGTTAGATGTACGTCGTTGACATTGCATCTTAGGACTGTTAAATGAACGTCGTTGACATTGCATCTTAGGACTGTTAGATGTACGTCGTTGACATTGGATCTTAGGACTGTTAGATGAACGTCGTTGCCATTGCATCTTAGGACTGTTAGATGAACGTCGTTGCCATTGCATCTTAGGACTGTTAGATTTACGTCGTTGACATTGCATCTTAGGACTGTTAGATGAACGTCGTTGACATTGCATCTTAGGACTGTTAGATGAACGTCGTTGCCATTGCATCTTAGGACTGTTAGATTTACGTCGTTGACATTGCATCTTAGGACTGTTAGATGAACGTCGTTGACATTGCATCTTAGGACTGTTAGATGAACGTCGTTGACATTGCATCTTAGGACTGTTAGATGTACATCGTTGACATTGCATCTTAGGACTGTTAGATGAACGTTGTTGCCATTGCATCTTAGGACTGTTAGATGTACGTCGTTGACATTGTATCTTAGGACTGTTAGATGAACGTCGTTGACATTGTATCTTAGGACTGTTAGTTGAACGTTGTTGCCATTGCATCTTAGGACTGTTAAAAACTACTGCACAATAATGTGGTCCCGGACAAAATGAGTGTGGTCGTTTGGTTGCACAATTATTTTGCTCATGCACATTTTCCTAAACATTGATGAGGTCGGTCTGACTTTATTTTACAAAAAATGTTTTTTTTCCGAGTTTTTTCTCATTTTCACACGAAGAAAACACAACTAGACACAAATTGAACTCCTTCATTCATGTTGCATTTAGAGCTATGGGTTACCTTGCGTGCATCATTTTGCATCATTTTGTATCCTCTAGTTGTAGATACAATTGTTGAAACATGCCTACGAACAATAACTTAGAAATACCTTTTTTGGTTGTTTCAATCAGAGGTGGTTGTTGGGATTTGATACCTAAATTTGTTTGATCAATCCCGTCAAATATTTCTCAAATTCATGGTAGAATCAAGTGTAACACCATAATTTCACAAGAACATTTCAATAATTGTGTTTGTATTTGACAGCGGTCGGGGCGGTGTGTACGCTATTTGTAGCAGTTCTAAAGAGTGTATTCTCCGCATCAACAACGACAGAAACACCAACGTCTTCTTCCCTGCTCTGCGTCACACATTCCGCGTAAATGGCACCAACCGCTTGGGGCGCGCGACAAGGACGTTTGAAGTAGAACCGATACTAGTTGGTAGGTTCATAAATCTGTATATTCCCATTCACCATGACGGTGCTACAATATATTATAATTATGTGGGTAGGTTAATAAGGTTTTACGCAACTTTCAGCAATATTCCAGCAATATCAGGACAAGGATATACCAGAAATGAGCTTTATACATGATACCCATAAGGGGAATCGAACCCGGGCCTTCGGCTTGACGAGCGAACGCTTTAACCGCAAGGTTACCCCAGCGCTCCTTATCCCACTTAAAGCATCTTGTATTTAATTGGTTGTCTCTTTGTTGTTTAACGCCACACTCAGCAATATTCCAGCCATATGAAGGCGGTCTCTAAATAATCGAGTCTGGACCCGACAATCCAGTGATTGACATCATGAGCATCTATCTACCCATGTGGTAGGGGATGACATGCATCAGTAAGTCGCCTCTTACGACAAGCATGGCTTCTATGAGTTGTAACTCGGATCTTAACAGTGTGCATTCACGGCTACACGGATATAATGTTAGAAACACAATGATGAGCAATTAAAAAGTGTTTATTTCGTGACAGACTGGTTGCAGCACAAAGGGAACCCCTGAGATTACGGATGTCTTTAACTGAATCCATCATAATCAGGTCCCCCCGCGCTGGTTCTCGGGGAAAAGAGTCCCATTGTCCCAACTTCCCGGTGAACGTAATCCTATAGAGTATGTCATGTTAACTTCGCCAAGTGTGTGTATGTGTGTGTATGAATTGTATATGTGTGTGCGTGTGTGTGTATGTATGCATGTATGTGTGTGTGTCTGAGTTTGTGTGTGTGTCTGTGTGCTTGTGTGTGTGTCTGTCTTTGTGTGTGTCTGTCTGAGTTTGTGTGTGTGTATGTCTGTGTCTGAGTTTGTGTGTGTCTGTGTGTAACCTTCCTCTCACGACATTTGAACACCGTTACAATATCATGTAGCATTTTAAAGAAATACTTAAAATGCACCTCCACATTTTCCATACTTTATTAATTTCAGAAATAGTAACGAGTTTAAATATTTTCTTAAACCGGACAAAGACAAAAGCGCACATTCGATCCTCTGGCCGAGTAGAACCAGAATCCTGATAACATGTGCAAGATGTTCATGTGATATGGGCACGTGTGGCCCAGTACTCTTAGGCTGCGCAATTCGTTGTGGAGAGTTGTGTCCCTTTGGCTGGCCGGACACCTATGGTCGTGTGTTCGAATCCCGGTTCGCCCCAATTATAATTCTAGGTTTGTCAGCACCATACCCGTGCTCGTGGGTCTGAGACCTGCTTCACTTCGGGCTTGCCTCCAACATTAAGCTGACACGCCGTGATAAAACTGTAATACTGTTAAAAGCAGCGTTAAGCCCAACTCACTCACTTTACGAGGTGAATGTGGATTATACACCACGTAACCGACATATATATTTGGCATTCCACTCTGTCTTGTCTATACACAACGATGGCTAGCTGCTAATTACCCTGTTTCAGGAATGTGTACTTTCAAGCTGGCGGCTGGCCATTCAGATCGATTCTTTAAAACGTAATTCTATCCGACCTTCCTGGTTTTAATTTCAGTGAAGCCGGATCAAGCAGAGAATGTGTCAGCTTTGATACTCAACAGCACGTGTCTCAATGTGACATGGACTGACGCCAGCTTCTCCAGTGTCGATGTGCAGTACAACGTCACAGCTGGCTTACAGCAGGTGGGCTGCAATGTCATCTCTTATCCTTCGATATCGGGCATTGGGGCATTGTGAATTTGGGTTTTTTAATGAACTGCGCTACGTATCCAGGATCTGTAGTCACGCAAATGCTTTCCTCGTATACATGTCAACTAAGTGGTAGAATAGAATAGAATAGAATAGAATAGAATAGAATAGAATTTTTATTGTACTGAACACCCTCATAGGGCAGGGTACAGACTATCTACATATGAACATGTATATAATTATAGATATGACAGGTATATGTATATGATGTACATTATGTATAGAGGCATTATTTCATTTACATCATATAAACATTTATGTATATTAGGTTATTGCTGGCAGCGTACACTTAGTTGAATTGAATATAATAGAATTTTCTTATGGCCTCAGCTTGAACATGTGGTATATAGTCCGGGCAACAAGACTTGACCATTCTTTTGGTGGATTCATAAAGTGTTTTAAGAGGTTGGTTTTATCGGTCTGGGAAGGGTCGCCTATTTCTACCAGTGCCATCAGATTTCTCCTAAGGTCTGTATATAGTGGGTAGATGAGCGATAGTAGCAGTTTGGAATTCACTATCATATCTTGTACGGACAATTTACTCCTTTTGAAGTCAATCATGTTCAGCTGTCATATGAGTAAAAGATGGGTATGATATTTGTCATGGGGCTTATCTAACGACTACACCACCCACTCCAGCGTAACACCCTGTAAGAAGCCGACTCAAAAGAAGACGTAGTAATTGTTAATAGCATCAGAGCGGGCATAAATACACACACGTGAAGTAAAAAATATAGGAATAGACATGTAGATTTAATTAAGGCGCAATGGATTTATTACCACGATGCAATAACAAACAAGCTGAACCAATATACACATGTATATTTAAGTGAGCAATTAACGGTTTGTTTGTTTGTTTGTTGTTTAATGGCACTCAGCAATATTACAGCTATATGACGGCGGTCTGTAAATAATCGAGTCTGGATCTGCAGCTGACAACCCAGTGATTGACATCATGAGCATTGATCCACACAATTGGGATACGATGACATGCTTCAACCAAGTCAGTGAGCCTGACCACCTGATCACGTTAGTCGCCTCTTACGACAAGCATAGTCGCCTTTTACGGCAAGCATGGGTTGCTGAAGACCTATTCTACCCTGGATCTTCCCGGGTCCATTAACTGTTTAACTTTTGGCCTCGCACAGTGTTAGTACTTGTAACAGGCGAATATACACAGGCTAGCAGCAGGTCTTTTCAGGACAAATACACAGTTGACCCTACCAGTCAGGACTAAGCTCTGGGACGTCAAAAAGTCACCAAAAACACCCGATAATGTTCCTTTCGCGGACGTGTACAGTTCTAATGGGTTTTCGGCAGCCATTTTTTCATGGGTTGATATGTAGGTTATCGATGTATTCATACGCACGTTTGTGTGTGAAAAGGCTTAGTTTAGAGGTATCAATCGGAAATTTGATACCTCATTGTAACAAACGACAGTTAGGAACGATCTATCGTCAATGTCATGGATGATTGGAATATTTTTCCTGGGAAGATATATGGCACGATGGTGTCAACCGTTTCTCATGCCGCGGGCTTATCCAAAAGACACACAAACCACGGTGTCCGTGCCACAGGAGCCGCAGTGTTGTCCGAGGTTAGCGATGGTGCCCTATGAACTTTGTCTGTCTCTAGCCTCAGGAATGATCAATCCTTGATTGGTTTCATAACCACGCGTACACCTGTTGCATTGGGCATTTAGCAGCATGTGGAGTCAGACAAAAAGACCGCTGCCAGTCTTTCTCCGTCATGCTCGTTTCACGGAGATGTCATATCGCATCTCAAACTGTCGATTCACGTCGGTTGCGGGATCACGTAGTCATAGACTTTATGGTCTGTGACGTCGTGTATTCAATTCGTTAAACACTCCATTTAATGGCTTGCCGTTGCTGAAGTCTTAGTGGTGGAAATATAAGTGACAGAAAACACCCATTTAATGGCTTGCCGTTGCTGAAGTCTTAGTGGTGGAAATATAAGTGACAGAAAACACCCATTTAATGGCTTGCCGTTGCTGAAGTCTTAGTGGTGGAAATATAAGTGACAGAAAACACCCATTTAATGGCTTGCAGTTGCTGAAGTCTTAGTGGTGGAAATATAAGTGACAGAAAACACCCATTTAATGGCTTGCCGTTGCTGAAGTCTTAGTGGTGGAAATATAAGTGACAGAAAACACCCATTTAATGGCTTGCAGTTGCTGAAGTCTTAGTGGTGGAAATATAAGTGACAGAAAACACCCATTTAATGGCTTGCAGTTGCTGAAGTCTTAGTGGTGGAAATATAAGTGACAGAAAACACCTCAATTCACAAGAACCAGCGACTCAGAATGTCGGCTATGTTTACATGGGTTCGCTAGGCCCCCACAATACATTTGTAAAATGGTGATTAGACTGACGAAATCTATATAAGTTACAATTTAATCAAACTTATTGCTGCATTAGAATTTTTAGAGTAGCACACTGAACCGATAATAAGACCTATTTAACCCTGAACTAACTATTTTATGGGTGTTTTGTTATTTTTAGGACGCATGTTGTCTCAGTGTCTTAATGTAAGAGGGGCGGTCGTGTAGCCTAGTGGTTAAAGCGTTCGCTCGTCACGCCGAAGACCCGGGTTCGATTCCATACATGGGTACAATGTGTGAAGCCCATTTCTGGTGTCCCCCGCCGTGATATTGCTGGAATATTGCTAAAAGCGTCGTAAAACCATATTCACTCACTCACTTAATGTAAGATTGGGGGCAGTTGCGGGGTATAACTCGTCAGTTAGCCCTGTTAGAGGATTTTCAATTTACGACGTCGCTTATTACACATTTGATTTTCAACGTATCTTCGATACAATAAAATGTTAGTCTTTAGTTCGACATCCTAGAAATGTAACGAAGTTTTCTCTACCGCCATAGGTAGTGTGAAAGCTATGGTTTCTCCCTGAACTATAGTAACGCAATCGCCCGCATGCTTTAACTATAATAGTCCTGGGAAAACTATACTTTTTTACACGACACATAGGGGAAGAGCAAACTATTTTTCTTAACCCTCTGGATGCCGAGGTTTTCTTTCTGACGCACATTATCCTAAGATCGGAAAAGTGAAGGATGCGCTCACGCGGCACTGGATCTACCTCTGGCTATAAAATTACGCAGAGATAGAGAATATTAAATTTCCCATTTGATGGTGTAACTTTAACTGCAAATATTAAACCTGCGTTGAAAAACAGTAAATTTCTCCATTTCTTATCGTACACGAATAAAAGTACTGTGCGAGGATTATTTTCCAAAACATTTTAAACGATTCTAGGGTTATCGGCGACGTTTTGGAATGATCATTGGTGATTTCATAAAAGACAGATACTCGTGATCACTAATATGCTATTTTTGAAATTTATTTCTCTGTGTAAATATCCGAAATTTAGATTTCAAAACATGCTGTCAATAACGCCGTGAGTGGTGATTTAGTAATGTGTAAAAAATAGCGACATTTACGATGTACCTAATTTTCAGAGGTCATTTTCAATACTTTTGCTTGGCCTAAAATACCAGTGGATGATATCACAGAAAAGGGAATGTCCCACATTATTCAAACATGTGAAGTGTATCTGTGTGCGTGATGTATTTTGAAATTTATTCGACTTCAAAGTGGGGGTTGAATAGGGGGGACATCCAGGGGGTAAAACACAGGTGAGATAGGTACTACTTTCAGTGTTAACAAATATGTCGTCGCCATTTGTACTTGTATAAATTGTATTTATTTCTAATTTAATTCTAATTGTTAAATGTACAATAGACGTTCGGTTGTTGTTTCGTGTGAGTTCAGTATGAAAATACACATATAGGACAATGTAGGGTAGATCAATCACATTATAACATCTGTGGTGCACCTGTTTATTGGCTTGCCCTGTTTATCCAGGTGCTTGTTCCGGGACGTATAGACCGACAGACATTCTGGGTCGTCGTATCCGACGTGCCCCCCTTCAGCAGTGTGACGGTGTCGGTGACGTCACGGCCGCTACTCGGAGGGTACACCAGTGACCCGACATCGACAACAGTGTTCATGCCTGAAGACAGTGAGTGCTCATGTTGTGTTGTCTCCCAGCACTGCTGATTCCCGCTATTTTCTTGCTGCTCGTTTGAAGGTTCTGCTCTCTGCTTGTGTGTACTGTGTTGTATGTGCTCGGGTGTCTGTGTTCCATGACCGCCTCCGTGGTCTAGTGGTAGAGCGTCCGCCCGGGGTTCGATCCCCGGCCGCGTCATACCAAAAGACGTTAAAAGATGGTACTTCTTGTTACCCTGCCTGTCGCTCGGCATTAAGGGGCTAAAACAAGGACTGGACGGCTCGGAGTCAGTATGCTGTGTCTGAGTGGGGTATTCATGTTAAACTGCGGCATGGTATCTCAGTGAGCTAGCACTATAAATCGGCATCAGTCCGGACTAGTACAAGCAGCCACGCGTGCATGCACGTCGCTATATAAGTGCAATAATCTTGGACGTGACGTTAAACCCCATTTCACCTCATCTCACCTCTGTGTTCCATGCATGAATCTGTGCACGTACCTTAAGGTATTACGTACTTGTTCCATATTTAACATGTACCTGGATGGAACAAGCTTGCACTGAACCTGCTGATGTATTTACTTCTTGCTGTTTATCTGCTTGAGCGATCCTTGGCTGTGTGTGTCAGTGCTAGGATGACCCATGCGGGCTAAGGCTATGTATCTGCAATTGGTGCGTGCTATTCAATACTTTATATCTGTGGATGCCTGTTTATGAGATCATTGCTTGCGGTATACCTGTTCAGGAGATCATTGCTTGCGGTATACCTGTTCAGGAGATCATTGCTTGCTGTATTCCTTTTTAGGAGATCATTGCTTGCTGTATTCCTATTAAGGAGATCATTGCTTCCTGTATTCCTGTTTAGGAGATCATCGCTTGCTGTATTCCTAATAAGGAGATCATTGCTTGCTGTATACCTGTTTAGGAGATCATTGCTTGCTGTATACCTGTTCAGGAGATCATTGCTTGCTGTATTCCTATTTAGGAGATCATTGCTTGCTGTATACATGTTTAGGAGATCATTGCTCGCTGTATTCCTATTACGGAGATTATTGCTTGCTGTATACCTGTTTAGGAGATCATTGCTTGCTGTATTCCTATTTAGATCATTGCTTGCTGTATACACGTTTAGGAGATCATTGCTCGCTGTATTCCTATTAAGGAGATCATTGCTTGCTGTATACCTGTTTATGAGATCATTGCTTGCTGTATTCCTATTAAGGGAGATAATTGCTTTCTGTATACCTGTTTAGGAGATCATTGCTTTCTGTATACCTGTTTAGGAGATCATTGCTCGCTGTCTTCCTATTAAGGAGATCATTGCTCGCTGTATACCTGTTTATGAGATCATTGCTTGCGGTATACCTGTTTATGAGATCATTGCGAGCTGTATTCCTATTAAGGAGATCATTGCTTGCGGTATACCTGTTTAGGAGATCATTGCTTGCGATATACCTGTTTAGGAGATCATTGCTTTCTGTATACCAGTTCAGCAGATTATTGCTCGCTGTATACCTGTTTAGGAGATCATTGCTCGCTGTATACCTGTTCAGCAGATCATTGCTCGCTGTATACCTGTTTAGGAGATCGTTGCTTGCTGTATACCTGTTTGGTTGATCATTGCTTGCTGTATACCTGTTCAGGAGATCATTGCTTGCTGTATTCCTATTTAGGAGATCATTGCTTGCTGTATACCTGTTTATGAGATCATTGATTGTGGTATACCTGTTTATGAGATCATTGATTGTGGTATGCCTGTTTAGGAGATCATTGATTTCTGTATACCTGTTTAGGAGATCATTGCTTGTGGTATACCTGTTTAGGAGATCATTGATTGTGGTATACCTGTTTATGAGATCATTGATTGTGGTATACCTGTTTAGGAGATCATTGATTTCTGTATACCTGTTTAGGAGATCATTGCTTTCTGTATACCTGTTAAGGAGATCATTGCTCGCTATATGCCTGTTTAGAAGATCGTTGCTTCCTGTATACCTGTTTAGGAGATCATTGCTTGCGGTATACCTGTCTAGGAGATCATTGCTCGCTGTATACCTATTGAGGAGATCATTGCTTGCTGTATACCTGTTTAGGAGATCGTTGCTCGCTGTATACCTGTTGAGGAGATCATTGCTTGCGATATACCTGTTTAGGCGATCATTGCTTGCGGTATACCTGTTTAGGAGATCGTTGCTTGCTGTATACCTGTTTAGGAGATCATTGCTTGCTGTATACCTGTTTAGGACATCGTTGCTTGCTGTATACCTGTTTGGGTGATCATTGCTAGCTGTATTCCTATTAAGGAGATCATTGCTTGCTGTATACCTGTTTAGGAGATCATTGCCTGCTGTATACCTGTTTGGGTGATCATTGCTAGCTGTATTCCTATTAAGGAGATCATTGCTTGCTGTATACCTGTTTATGAGATCATTGATTGTGGTATACCTGTTTAGGAGATCATTGCTTGCTGTATACCTGTTTAGGAGATCATTGCTTGCTGTATACCTGTTTGGGTGATCATTGCTAGCTGTATTCCTATTAAGGAGATCATTGCTTGCTGTATACCTGTTTAGGAGATCATTGCTTGCTGTATACCTGTTTAGGTGATCATTGCTAGCTGTATTCCTATTAAGGAGATCATTGCTTGCTGTATACCTGTTTAGAGATCATTGCTTGTTGTATGCCTGTTCAGGAGATCATTGCTTGTTGTATACCTGTTTAGGAGATCGTTGCTTGTTGTATACCTGTTTAGGAGATCATTGCTTGCTGTATACCTGTCTAGGAGATCATTGCTCGCTGTATAACTGTTTAGGAGATCGTTGCTTGTTGTATACCTGTTTAGGAGATCATTGCTTGCTGTATACCTGTCTAGGAGATAATTGCTCGCTGTATACCTGTTTAGGAGATCGTTGTTCGCTGTATGCCTGTTTAGGAGATCGTTGCTCGCTGTATACCTTTTTAAGAGATCATTGCTCGTTGATACCTGTTTAGGAGATCATTGCTTGCTGTTTTCCTGTTTAGGTGATCATTGCTTGCTGTATACCTGTTTGGGTGATCATTGCTTGCTGTATGGCTGTTTAAGAGATCATTGCTTGCTGTATACCTGTTTAGGTGACCATTGCTTGCTGTATACCTGTTTGGGTGATCATTGCTTGCTGTATACCTGTTTAGTAGATCATTGCTTGTTGTATACCTGTTTGGGTGACCATTGCTTGCTGTATACCTGTTTGGGTGATCATTGCTTGCTTTATACCTGTTTAGGTGATCATTGCTTGCTGTATACCTGTTTAGGTGACCATTGCTTGTTGTATACCTGTTAAGGAGATCTTTGCTTGTTGTATACCTGTTTAGGAGATCATTGCTTGTTGGAGACCTGTTGAGGAGATCATTGCTTGCTGTATACCTGTTTAGGAGATCATTGCTTGTTGTATACCTGTTCAGGTGATCATTGATTGCTCTATACCTGTTTAGGTGATCATTGCTTGCTGTATACCTGTTTGGGTGATCATTGCTTGCTGTATGCCTGTTTAAGAGATCATTGCTAGCTGTATACCTGTTTAGGAGATCATTGCTTGCTGTATACCTGTTGAGGAGATCATTGCTTGCTGTATACCTGTTGAGGAGATCATTGATTGCTGTATACCTGTTGAGGAGATCATTGCTTGCTGTATTCATGTTTAGGAGATCATTGATTGCTGTATACCTCTTTAGGAGATCATTGCTTGAGTTATGGTTCTTTCCTTCTTGAGGTCGTGGTTTTAAATAATCGTTGTTTTTAATAAAGATTAATTAATAAAGATTGTATTATCTCAAACACCTTTATCATGAACCCTTGCCGTTCACACGACACGAACTGTGTTCTTGTTTCCTTTGACAAATTGTTTATTGATTGGTTGTTTTTATTCAAAACGATCGTTGTTGAACTGGTTTGATTACAGATAATCACTTGTTGAGGTAGCGTTTTCCCCGTCACTACATAGAGTGAAGTGTGAAACGACAGTCACACAACCATGCACAATAGTGTCAGATAACAAGATGATTTATTCATTTTCTGACATGACATGCATTAATCATCGTTTTCGTCAGTGCATCGATTGACAACACAGCACAAACGTACCCATTAGTTATTGAATCGTTGGATGACATATTAATCAATGCCGTAGATTAATGCTCATCCCGATTACACGAATATCAATGTCGCATCCTTTAATTGAGAAGTTGACTCTTTCTGGGGCCTTTTATCTTCAGGACCATCACCGCCCGTAATACAAGCTGGGTCCTTCAACTCAGTACCAGCAGGTGCGCGGAGGAAGGTCGGAGTGTACTGGCAGGTAGGGTTCATGTGTATGCAGCGAGAAGAATACTTTACAAAAGGGTTTTTGTTCAACAAGCAGAGAAAATAATACTTTACAAAAGCATTTTAGTTTAGTAAGGAGAGAAAAAAAAATAGAAAGGACTTTTAGTTTAAAAAAACATGTTTGAGGTTTACAAAATCAGCAAGCATCGTTTCAAGTTCGATACATACACAAGTACCGTTACTGTTTTGCGATTAACGGGATCAGGTGCACGTGGTCAGGCTCGCTGATTTGGTTGATCGTATCCCATTGCGTGGATCGATGTTCATGATATAGGTTACTGGATTCTCTGGTCCAGATTCGATTATTTACAGACCGCTGTCATATAGCTTGAATATTGCTTAGTGTGGCGTTGAACAACAAACTAACAAACAAACAAACAAACTGACTGTTTTGTTTAATACGATTGTTTAACATTGAACCCAAGTGGGTGGTGTTTGTGATCTAAATCGTTACACACATCGAAATTTGCTATTATAGGACTGTAGATAGATTACACAGGTTGAGCTGTTGCCATTTATCGTCTTAGAATCCAACTATCTGTACAAGGAGAAAGGGCGGTCGGGTAGCCTAGTGGTTAAAGCGTTCGCTCGTCACGCCGAAGACTCGGGTTCGATTCCCGACATGGGTACAATGTGTGAAGCCCATTTCTGGTGTCCCCCGCCGTGATATTGCTGGAATATTGCGAAAAGCGGCGTAAAACCATACTCACTCACTCACTACAAGGAGAGAGGTACTTGGCAGTGTATTAATGTTCGCCAGTACAGTCCATTAATCCCTGATGTGTACACGGTGTCATCAGGACAATTATTGTCTGGTTGAAAAGTTGTTCACATAGCTTTCAAGAGCATATTAATTATTTACTTAAGCTTTAAGTATTCCTTTGTTCGGAGTGGGGATTTAGTGACAAGTGTAGGTATATAAAGGGAAGTAACCGATGGCCACAATTATTTTCCCTCTTTGCTGTCTACAGTGACATGACATCCCGCAATAATTAATATAGGTCATAGGCTGTTCTCCTATTGTCAGTACCATGTACCAGAGACCATATACCATTTTGTTTCTGCTGAAATCAAGACCATGTACCAGAGACCATATACCATTTGGTTTCTGCTGAAATCAGTACCATGTACCAGAGACCATATACCATTTGGTTTCTGCTTGAGTCAGTACCATGTACCAGAGACTATATATCATTTGGTTTCTGCTTGAGTCAGTACCATGTACCAGAGACCATATACCATTGGTTTCTGCTGAAATCAAGACCATGTACCAGAGACCATATACCATTTGGTTTCTGCTGAAATCAGTACCATGTACCAGAGACCATATACCGATTGGTTTCTGCTGAAATCAGGACCATGTACCAGAGACCATATACCATTGGTTTCTGCTGAAATCAGGACCATGTACCAGAGACCATATACCGATTGGTTTCTGCAGAAGTCAGCACCATGTACCAGAGACCATATACCAATGGTTTCTGCTGAAATCAGTACCATGTACCAGAGACCATATACCGATTGGTTTCTGCAGAAGTCAGCACCATGTACCAGAGACCATATACCGATTGGTTTCTGCTTGAGTCAGTACCATGTACCAGAGACCATATACCGATTGGTTTCTGCTTGAGTCAGTACCATGTACCAGAGACCATATACCGATTGGTTTCTGCTAGAGTCAGTACCATGTACCAGAGACCATATACCGATTGGTTTCTGCAGAAGTCAGCACCATGTACCAGAGACCATATACCATTGGTTTCTGCTGAAATCAGTACCATGTACCAGAGACCATATACCATTGGTTTCTGCTGAAATCAAGACCATGTACCAGAGACCATATACCATTTAGTTTCTGCTGAAATCAGGACCATGTACCAGAGACCATATACCGATTGGTTTCTGCTGAAATCAGGACCATGTACCAGAGACCATATACCATTGGTTTCTGCTGAAATCAGGACCATGTACAAGAGACCATATACCGATTGGTTTCTGCAGAAGTCAGCACCATGTACCAGAGACCATATACCATTGGTTTCTGCTGAAATCAGTACCATGTACCAGAGACCATATACCGATTGGTTTCTGCAGAAGTCAGCACCATGTACCAGAGACCATATACCGATTGGTTTCTGCTGAAATCAGGACCATGTACCAGAGACAATATACCGATTGGTTTCTGCTGAAATCAGGACCATGTACCAGAGACCATATACCATTTGGTTTCTGCTTGAGTCAGTACCATGTACCAGTGACCATATACCGATTGGTTTCTGCTGGAGTCAGTACCATGTACCAGTGACCATATACAATTTGGTTTCTGCTGGAGTCAGTACCATGTACCAGAGACCATATATCATTTGGTTTCTGCTGAAATCAGTACCATGTACCATGTACCAGAGACCATATACCATTTGGTTTCTGCTTGAGTCAGTACCATGTACCAGAGACCATATATCATTTGGTTTCTGCTGAAATCATTACCATGTACCAGAGACCATATACCATTTGGTTTCTGATGGAGTCAGTACCATGAACCAGAGACCATATACAATTTGGTTTCTGCTGAAATCATTACCATGTACCAGAGACCATATACCATTTCGTTTCTGCTGGAGTCAGTACCATGTACCAGAGACCATATACCATTTGGTTTCTGCTGGAGTCAGTACCATGTACCAGAAACCATATACCATTTGGTTTCTGCTTGAGTCAGTACCATGTACCAGAGACCATATACCATTTGGTTTCTGCTGGAGTCAGTACCATGTATCAGAGACCATATTATACCGATTGGTTTCTGCCGGAGTCAGTACCATGTACCAGAGACCATAACATATTTTATTTATTTTATATATTTTTATTACACACCCAGGTCCCCCCTTCTCATGTCATGTTGTACACACAGGCCATCCCTCGTGACCGGCAGCATGGAATCATCAGAGGTTTTCGCGTGCTGGTCCGTCAGATTCAACCCAGGTCGAACAGGACAATAGTGGCTGAAGTGAGTGTTCCCAACACAAGTGTGTCGGCCCTCGTCGATGCCAATCTCAGCATGTCTGTGAACTATCTGATGTCAGTGCAGGCCTGGACGGATGTGGGCTTATCCGACGTCGTAGACACAGCCCAGATCTATATACCTGCTGTATCTAAGAGTGAGTCAGTTTTATGTTCGTATACTGAATGGACTGAACATGTTTTTGTACTTTATGGTATATCCAATGCTGAATGAGTGGGTGAGTAAGTTTGTTTTAACTCCCTAATGAGCTGCATTGCAGTTGTATCACGGCGTGTCAGCTGGAAGTGAGAGGAAAGCCCGAAGTGATGAAGGTCCACGAGCATTGATATGGTGCTGGCATACATACACAGATGATTAGGGCGAACCGGGATTCGAAGCCACGAACACAGGATTCTGGTACGCTTAAGGGAAGCAACTCTATACAACCCTGCTCCCTGTCGCCGATGATAATAGTTCAAGTTTTATCAGAGCAATGTCGACCCTGTGTACGATGTCTTGTACCAACGATGTGTTGACGCCGTGTACGGTGTTGGTATGGTGTACAGACGCTGTGTGGATGTCGTGCATGATGTAGTCGTCTTGTACAAACGATGTGTGGATGTCGTGCACGATGTTGTCTTGTACAAACGTTGTGTGGATATCGCGTAGATGTAGTCGTCTTGTACAAACATTGTGTTGATGTTGTGCACGATGTTGTCTTGTACAAACGTTGTGTTAACGTGCACGATGTAGTCGTCTTGTACAATAATTGTGTTGATGTTGTGCACGATGTTGTCTTGTACACACGTTGTGCGGATGTCGTGCACGATGTAGTCGTCTTGCACAAACATTGTGTTGATGTTGTGGACGATGGTGTCTAGTACAAACGCTGTGTGGATGTCGTGTACGATGTAGTCGTCTTGTAGACACAATAGGGTGGTTATACATAACGCACCTTCGTGAACAGCACCTGACCGTTGTGTGACACATTTCAGTACATAACACAGCACGATGGGTAGAATCCGTCCTCGACAGTGCTGGTATCTGCGACATCTACTGGGATGCCGTCGTCGACGGGGCGACATCTACGGTACGACTACACTGGTGCTACGGCCAAATGACCAGTCCAGGCTACGTATCTTGTGAGGTCAGTAACTGTCTTATATATATTGGCCGGAAGTATTGAAAAATCACAAAGGTCGATAAGATGGATAAACCACCCTCATTCCCAATCATTGCGAGATTGAGCATAACCTTTCACAAAGTATGTTTGTTCAAAGCGGACCACAGGTCGGGGGATGGGGAGTTGGGTGGGGTGGGGGTGGAGGTGGAGGTGGGGGTGGGGGGGACTGGAGGTGAGGATGTGAGGGGAGGGGAGTGGAGGTGAGGGCAGGGAAGGGAAACGGGAGAGCGGGGAGGTTGTCTGGCTGGGCCAGGCCCAGTACTATTGCTAGTCGAAAGATCCGGTCACTGTGAGGGTCAGGCAGTTGCAATGTGTGACCTAGCTGAATGTGTCAGGTAGACTAAGTTTCATATTCTGACTCTGAATCTCAACATGGCATGGGATGGAGAAAGAAACGAATACAGATGATGAATGGTTAGTGGGTTAGGGGATTGGGTTTGAGAAAACGATAGGGGTAGACATTGGGGTTAGATGAGTAAGATAGACTGAGACTGGTTGGGGTTCAAGAAAATGCAAGAGTAGACGATAAGGTAGAAGCTTGTGGTAAACGTTTGGGGTGTGTGTGTATGTGTGTGTGTGTATGTGTGTGTGTGTGTGTGTGTGTGTATGTGTGTGTGTGTGTGTGTGTGTGTGTGTGTGTGTGTGTGTGTGTGTGTGTGTGTGTGTGTGTGTGTGTGTGTGTGTGTGTGTGTGTGTGTGTGTGTGTGTGTGTGTGTGAGACAGAGGATGGAGTAGATGTGTAAGTTGAGACTTATACATTGCATTATTTTTTGTTTGTTTTGCTTGACAAAGATAAGCTCATCTCAAATTTGATCCAACGCTTCATGACAGAGTACGTCGTATTGTAAATTGACTCAACCCGCTGCGACGATAGAGCACAAAAACATTTGTTTACGTGATCGTATATCTCGGTAACCGGAATATTTACAATGAAGGCAACGGCTGGCTTCAGTAGACCAAAACTAACAGAGGAGGCGGGGCTTGGGTGGGAGTAAAGAGCGAGGAGACAAGATTGTAAGATTGTTGCGTCGTGATAGAGGTGGAGCTGGCTGGAGGATGGAGAGGGGGTGGAGCGGAATGTATGAGCGTTGGATCCGGGATGGGGTGGGGTTTGGGATTCGGTAAGGGTGATGAGGTTGATGAGGGTGGGTGTATTTGGGGAATGAATACAGGACGGGGCCGAGTTAATGTGATAAGAGAGAACAGGCACGAAGCCCAAGCGTGGGTAGACGGCGTCCAAATAGAGGAGGGGTTGGGGTGGGGTGGGATGGGGTGGTGGTGGAGAGGGCTGGGGCTGGGTAGGATCTGTGATCAACCTCAATCCGTAGAAGATGTACTGTCATACGTTTCTACAGGGATGTGGAATGCTACAGACAAGGGTACTGAAGTATAGCAGTCTAAACTAAGACGATCGCGCCGAACACGTTTCCTTTAACACATATTTTCATTTGTTCGATAAAGTTTACTGACACACAATAAGCAACGCACCATAAACTCTAACTCGAAGGTCAGCAATCAATTTTAGCAGCAAATACTTCTTATTCAAAATTACGAATATACGTTTTCAAAGTGTTTAAGTACATTAAGATTGTTTTGTTCAAGTGAATAGACGTTTATCACGTACGCCAACAATGACATACGACAACGTAAGTTTACACATCACGTGACATACGTGTGAGACCTTCACCTTGGGTTGTATGTAGAAATATCCTTATTTGGTCATTGCGCTATCGTAAAGGCATTGTGGCCGGTAACCTAGAACAACAGAGGCCGATTTTGCCACATCAGAACTATAGACTGAGCTATGGCACCGTCACCTGACCCTGGACCTGAGTAAAGGACCTGAACGTTGTTTTACTCCTCAGTGGCATTATTCCAGGTCTTTCAGGGCAGCCTGTACAGAATTGGGTCTGGATTGAAACTCACAGTGCCACACAATCGGGTGCCACGACACGCAAGGCAAGCCACAAAGCCTGGTCGCCCGACACACATTCCAGTGGTTTTCTTGACAACCTGGGGTCCCGGGTGGCCCAGTCGTCTAAGGCGCCGCTTTTCGCTGGGCAGAGTTGCGTCCCTTGGGCACGCCTGAAACCTATGATTGTGGGTTCGAATCCCGGTTCGCCCCAATTATGTTTCTAGGTTTGTCAGCACCATACCCGTGCTCGTTGTTTCACCAAAGTGGTAAACCTCTAGGACCTGCATCACTTCGGGCTTTCCTCCCACATTAAGCTGACACGCCGTGATATAACTGGAATAATGTTAAAAGCGGCTTTGAACCCAACTCACTCACTCACTCACTCTTGACAACCTGGGGTCCATCCATATGTCTTATCTTATCCGTACTTAGCTCTCCAACTTCTAAATGCCTCTCAAAGAAGCTGGGGTTTGGAAACCACAAGTATTTCCCACAGGATAACAAACCCGGATGTAAATCATGACCCTTTCCAGAAGAAATCAGACTCACTGGATTACGTTTAGAAGAAGCGAAAATCACCAAATCCGTCACACGTAATAATGATTTATGTCCGTGAAGATCTGGTATCAATCTATTTCATGGTGTACGTGTTGCAGACAAGTATCCAATCAAGGGTTGATGATGATGCTGCAGGAGACGGCGTGGAGGTGGCGGTCGAGAAAAAATCCTTCACCGCCTGCAGTACTTGCGTCTTGCATTTTGGGGTTTCCATGGAAACGGACGGAATAAATAGTGGAATTGTATGGAATCGTTGCAGGTTCCAAAAATTCAAAGGTACTTTTATGCCATTATATGTACATAGTGTCTTTTGTTTGACTGACGTCTCATTGGATGTTCATGTTATTTCAGTTTGGTTATTGTAGGTAATAATGTTTTTGATAATGTGGGATCTCCGTGGTCTAGCGGATAGAGCGCCTGCCCGGATGGAGGAAGGTCGGACGTTCGATCCCCTGACCGCGTCATGCCAAAAGACGTCAAAAGAAGGAACTTGTTGTTACCAAACATTAAGGGGCTAAAACAAGGACTGGTCGGCTCGGAGTGAGGATATTGTGCCTGAGTTGGGTATCCAAGTCAAACTGCGGCATGGTATCTCGCTAGGCTGGCACTAAAATACATGCTTAAGTCCGTACTAGTCAAACTGCGGCATGGTATCTCAGTGGGCTGGCACTAAAATACATGCTTAAGTCCGTACTAGTCAAACTGCGGCATGGTATCTCGCTGGGCTGGCACTAAAATACATGCTTAAGTCCGGACTAGTTAAACTGCGGCATGGTATCTCGGTGGTATTCACTATAACGCCTGCATTAGCCCGGACTAGTACACACACACACACACACACCACACCACACCACACCACACCACACCACACCACACCACACACACACCACACCACACCACACCACACCACACCACACCACACCACACCACCACACCACACCACACCATAACCACACCACACCACACCACACCACACCACACCACACCACACCACATCTGGTGGCATAATATGTATTGTCTTCAGGTAGTCTTCATCTTGTGTCGCCTTGTACATTTTTAATTATTTAACGTGATGTCATTTTATGACGTAAATTAAACGATTGTATCTTCGTGATACATGTTTTATACAGTATTTGCAACACACAGATTGGCCCCTGATAAGTTACATTTGATCCTTGATTTGAGTCAAATGAGCAGCAGAAATGAAAAACAATTGACAAAATAATTTCAGGGTAACTACATGCATGAGCTGTGAAAGACATCGCTATTAAACACTGGGAGTGCTCTCTCCTCTTTCTCTGAAACGATACATCAATCACGTACCCGTGTTCTAGTTTCCCTGTATTGTTCACAGCTCCGTTCGTCAATGACGTCGTCGTGAGCACAGTGACGCGGACATCGGTGTTGGTGACGTGGGGCGTGCCGTGCGTGGCGACGAACTATGGCAGGCCAGAGTTGATTAATATTGCAATTACATCTGGGAATAGTGAGCCGGGACGTTGTGAGAACACTCGTCGTGAGTATCTCAGGCAATGTATATCTATGTGTGAGTGTGTGTATATGCATGTGCGTGCGTGTGTGTGTATATATGTGTGTGTATGTGAGTGTGTGTGAGAGTGAGTGTGTGTGTGAGTGAGTGTGTATGTGAGTGTTTGTTAGTGTGTGTGTGTGTGTTTGTGTGTATGTGAGTGTGTGAGTGTGAGTGTGTATATGAGTGTGTGTGTGATTGTGTGTATGTGAGTGTGCGTGTGAGAGTGTGTGTGTGTGAGTGTGTGAGAGAGAATGTGTGTGTGAATGTGCGTGTGAGTGAGTGAGTGTGTATATGAGAGTGTGTGTGTGATTGTGTGTATGTGAGTGTGCGTGTGAGAGTGTGTACGTGTGAGTGTGTGAGAGAGAATGTGTGTGTGAATGTGCGTGTGAGTGAGTGTGTATGTGAGTGTGTGTGAGAGAGTGAGTGGGTGTGTATGTGAGTGTATGTGAGTGTGTGTGAGAGAGTGAGTGGGTGTGTATGTGAGTGTATGTGAGTGTGCGTGTGAGAGTGTCTGTGTATGAGAGTGTGAGCCAGTGGATGAGCGAGAGTGTAAGCGTGTCTGTGTGCACGGCAGTGAAAGCGATGGGAGATCCGGGAGGGTGTGTGTGTTCTGGGTCTGCCACTCACTTTTTAAAATATTAAACAGAAATTCCTCTCCCATAAATGTTACCTACGAGGGCTGGCTGAAAAGTTCTAAGCCTAACTGTGAAAGACCCCGTACCAAGTCGATGGTTTTCATTTATTTCTCCACATAGTCCCCTTTCAGGTTTACACACTTTTGCCAGCGATGCTGCAAGGCCTGGATGCCGGTCAAGATGAAATTTTCTTCAGCCACCCTAAAAAAGTCATTCACAGCGGAAATGACGCCATCATTACTAGGAAAATGGCGACCGGCTAGTTCCTTTTTCATTTTGGGAAACAGGTGGAAGTCTGACGGGGCCAAATCGGGTGAATAAGGGGGATGGTCAATGAGTTCTAAGCCACAATCATGGATCGCTGACATGGCAACCACCGATTTGTGAACAGGAGCATTGTCTTGGTGGAACAGGACTCCTTTAGTGAGCATTCCCCGTCGCTTAGGTTTAATAGCTTCACGCAACTGTCTCAGTATCTCAGCATAATATCTCCTATTGATAGTCTTGCCTTTTTCAAGATAGTCAATCAGCAGAATAGCCTTGGAATCGCAAAAGACTGAAGCCATCACCTTTCCAGCAGAAGGAACCGACTTGGCTTTTTGGGGGGCTGGTGAACTCTGATGCTTCCATTGTTTAGACTGAATTTTGGTTTCTGGTTGAAAGTGATGAATCCAGGTCTCATCCATGGTTACAAATCGGGCCAAAAAATCATCGGGATCTGCTTCAAAACGGCATAAATTGTCACGGGACGTCAGGAATCTGACACGTTTCTGATCCGCTGTCAAGAGCTTTGGCACCAATCTTGCAGAAACTTTTGTCATTCCCAACTCGTTCGTGATAATGTGCTCAACCCTTCCATGAGAGATGCCCACAACACTGGCAATATGTCGTGTGGTCAATCGTCGATCAGCCATCACCATGTCATGCACCAGGGTAATGTTTTCCGGAATGGTTGCTGTTGAAGGCCTTCCTGGACGCGGGTCATCGTCAAGGCTCTCTCTGCCACGTTTGAATTCCGCAGCCCACTTCTTTACCGTGGAAAAAGAAGGGGCATCATCCACTAAAGTGGAGACCATGTCAGCATGGATCTGTGTTGGAGTTAGCCCTTTCAGTTGCAGGTACTTGATGACTGCCCTATAGCCAGTTTTGTCCATTTCTGGTGATTTCAATAGGTAGGTTCACAAGATGGTCTGGTACAAAGACAATAATAACACTGCAGTTGCAATTCTTATGTCTATGGTTCATTAAATGATTGTACTTGTTGGTGGCAAAAGTTTGTTTCAATCCAATTGAGATATCCCACTTGGGCTTAGAACTTTTCAGCCAGCCCCCGAACCATGAAAACATGATGATTTGGTTGTTAAAGTAAATTATTAAAGGTAAACATACCGTGTTTGTGATTTTATTTTGGGTAGACTACGCACATTTGTGTGTGTGAGAGTGTGATTGAGATTGTGTTGTGTGTGAGAGTTGCCGTACATGTACATGAGAGAGTTTTAGTGTATTAGTGTGTTAGTGTGTTAATGTGTGTGTGTGTATGAGGAGCGCTACCTTGATGAAATATCTCTTAAAAACTTAATTTTACTAAATGCTTTAAAATAGCTAATGTGTGAATTGTATATTAATCCGAAAAATACATATTTATTCATAATAATATCGCGAATAAGAATTTTCGAGTAAATAACAAAAGCACATAACTCTTTCCAAGTGTTTATCGACGTCATCTTTACGTCATGAGTTAAATAAACGAACTGTTGTTGCTTAGATACCTTAGGAGTCAGATAGTTAGAAGGGACATAAACTAATTTATCCAAATTAAATTTAAATTGGTCAATTTTGATAATAAGCATGCATCTTTCATCTCGAATCCTGTTGGAGAAAATTTGACAAGCAACACCACCTGTGTACGTGATCGGTTGACGTATATTCGATATTTGCCATTGCAGATGTGACCGTGACGGCAAAGCGCTACAGCGACTCCGTCACCCTGAAGGTGGGAGAATCCACCATGTACACTGTGTGCGTCAGAGCTGTAGGGGGAGGCGTCAAAGGACCCTGGGTCACAAGGAATGTCACCATCCCGGGATCGATAGGTATTTTGACAACAATGACAATAATAATAATAATAATAATAATAATAATAATAATAATAAAAAAAGTTAGCATACTGCCGCTCTTCTCAGTGGGGTAGAAGGTATAGCATCCAGCAAACCGGCATTAATCCGGGCTTGCACACACACACACACACACACACACACACACACACACACACACACACACACACACACACACACACACACACACACACACACACACACACACACACACACACACACACACACACACACACACACACACACTCTCACACACACACACACACACTCTCTCTCTCTCTCTCTCACACACACACACACACACACACTCTCTCTCTCTCTCTCTCTCTCTCACACACACGCACACACACACACACATATGCACGTCGCTATATAGGTGCAATAATCTGGAACAACGTTAGAACCCATGTCACCTCGCCACATCTGTGTATAATTATATATACTACTCAACGTTTGATAGGGATACTCAGACTAATCATTTCTTATAAATATACACTTGACATGTGAGAATAAGGTTTGTTTATCATTGAAAGATGAAAACATCCCTATCAAAAGTGGAGTAGTGCATGTGTGTGCGTGCGTTCGTGCATGCGTGCGTGCGTGCGTGCGTGCGTGCGTGCGTGCGTGCGTGCGTGCGAGCATGTCAGGTGTGATGCAAAACATACGCAATAGTCTCGAAGCTGAAACGCACGGTGACAAAACATACTAATCTCCATGAATAACTGATGCTGATTTGTTGTGCAGCTCTCGTTCCTCCTGAAGTAATTGTTGGAGTCTCAGTCAGTTCTTCCACAGTGGCAGCCGCCATCTTAATAGCGTAAGTCTCAACCTTGTTAACCTATCGGAGAATGTCCTTCATTGACGGGGCACGGGTGGCCCTTTCGTCTAAGGCACCGCTATTCGCTGTGCAGAGTTGCGTGCATTGGGCACTCCAGAAACCTATGATCGTGGCTTTGAATCCCAGTTCGCCCTGATTGTTTCTAGGTTTGTCAGCACCATACCCGTTCACCGAAGTGGTAAACGTCTGAGACCTGCATCACTTCGGGCTTTCCTCCCGCATTAAGCTGACACGCCGTGATATAACTGGAATACTGTTAAAAGCGGCGTTAAACAAAACTCACTCACTCACTCACTGTCATACGCTAAAAGTAGTTGTACGAACTGCTTCATTCAATTCTGTATTTACTAGCCCAATGGCCTTTACAATCAATAACATCCACGTTTTGTCCAGTCACCTAAGGCGCCGCAATTAGCACTGTGTCAAATAGGTGTTCAAAAAAACATATGAGTGTGTGTTCGAATCCCTGTTAAAAGTTGCGTTAAACCCTACTCACTCAGCGTCCCAGGGCCCATTTGCACAAAGCGATCTAAGCGCTAAGACTACCGTAAGCCTATGTTAAAGTATGGGAGTTACGATCATCTTAGCGGTAAGATCGCTTTGTGCAAGTGGGTCCTGGTCTCCAACAACCTTAAACCTATGCCCTTCCGAAGTTCATCAGGTACATGTGGTGTTCCGTACTTCGTACTGAAAGTACTCAATACTAAGTACTGTTTCCTCCCTTATGCTGCTGTTGTGGATGGGAGCAAGACATGATATGTTTAATGTATGCTTTCAGTTCCATATACTGCTGCAGAAGGAAGAAATGGTTCGCCAAGATTCAAATCCAACTACCAACATTTATCAACAACATGGTATGTATTTATTGGCAGAACATGTAATTCATAAAAAACTTCCTTAGTACGGGGCTACGTGGGACCAGGGCTTGGTTTAGTCTTTGAATGAGTTGGGTTCAACGCCAACAGCATTCCAGTTATATATGTGTCAGCTGAATGTGGGAGGTAAGCCCGAAGTGATGCAGTCTCAGACGTTTACCCCTTTGGTGAAACCAACGAGCACGAGTACAGTGCTGAGAAAACTAGACACATAATCGGGACAAACCGGGACTCGAACCCACGATCATAGATTTCTAGCGTGCCCAAGGGACGCAACTCTGCACAGCGAATTGCGGCGCCTTTTACGAGTGTGACACAAATATTTCTGAAAAGAAATACATCGATCAATAATTGGTGTTGAGCATGGGTGTTATTACTGCTGGAGTACTTTCTATGTTTATATCATCATTTTATAACCCGATGCGGTATCAATCTCACTTACAAGATGTGTATTGTATGCCCAGGGCCACCCAGAACAGGGTCGTTTTCTACCTCCGATGAATGCCTTGCCGAAGACGTCCACAGCTACCACAATAAAGGTAATACTTTGTGTTTCCTATATATATTAGACCGCCTCCGTGGTCTAGTGGTAGAGCGTCCGCCCGGAGAGCGGAAGGTCCGGGGTTCGATCCCCGACCGCGTCATACCAAAAGACGTGAAAAGATGGTACTTGTTGTTACCCTGTCTGGCGCTCGGCGTTAAGGGGCTAAATCAAGGAGTATATTGTGTCTGAGTGGGGTTCATGTTAAACTGCGGCATAGTATCTCAGTGAGCTATCACTTTAAATCAGCATCAGTCGGGACTAGTACAAGCAGCCACACAAACACACACAGGTACATGCACGTTCACTATATAAGTGCAATAATCTTGGACGCGACGTTAAACCCCATTTCATCTCACCTCACCCCCTATATATATTACCATGGGTGAGTGAGTGTGGTTTTGATGCCGTTTTAGCAATATTCCAGCAAAGTCATAGCGGGGGATACCAGAAAGGAAACATTGTACCCATGTGAGAATTCGAACCCGGGTTTTCGGCGTGACGAGCAAACGCTTTAACCACCAGGCTACCCCTCCGCCTTGTATCAGTATGACCAGTTTATGTATTGTACTAACTGATATAATAACATCACTACCTTTTTCCACAGGCGCGGCATTGTGATGAAGCTAAGACAATCGGGTCCAACACTGAGTTGGGAACGACACACGAGACAGTGGGTACAGGCCTCTTGACCTACGTCATCGCAGGGGATGATATCTCGCGGGACAACAGTATCAACATTTGCGTGGACTTCTCAAGTTCATCATCAGTAGATGGGATGTGTGCCAATGTCCGCAACACCTCGCTCGTTGATGAGAAACCAGAAAACGATTCCATGAGCAAGAAACATGAGCTAAGAGCAAGCAACTTCTCCCTACGAGGCTCTGATTTTGACAGTGAAGACCGGTGTGCAAATCTGTCGTTGTCAGATGTATGGTTTAAGGGGAGTTGTGGAAGTGTCGAGGATGCCGGAGTTTCGGATGGGGAGTTTCCAGAGTATAAAATATGTGTTGGGGAGGAGAAGGCGCACGGCGCAGACGGAGATGGAGTGTCAGGTCATCACTCGATCCTTTCCTCCTGGCACCGTGAAATATGGTGACAGAAAGCATCATGGGATGTCAGACTATCAGCTTTGCTCATGCGCGAGTGACAAGTTGCACTGTGTTTATGGAGACCGTATATTTACCAGTCAACTATGCACACATGACGGTTGAGATATAATCGGGGTCTGGTACAATGAAAGCCTCAGCTATGTCTTTAGCAGTTGTTCTGTTATATTCAGGCTTGCTATTGGCTGATGGTGACCAGTGATCGATAGTGTGGGCATGCTTCTAAATCATCCAGCTCACAGCTCATCTGCCTTGGTGGTCACACATACAGGTATTAACCACCCTCCATTGTGACCTTGAAATATCCTCATCTTCAGTCGAGTCACCTTCATGTCTGAAGCACTGATGTTCTTCTGGTCTTGACGTCCCAGGCCGAACTTCAGAGGAAGATGGACGAGTGCAAGGCAGTGTGTCGAGGTGGTCCGGAAGGTGGTTTGTGGCGTGTGAAGGTGGTGTAAGGTGGTTACCTGTCGAGGTGGTGTGTCACGGTGGTTGATCGTGGTAACTTATAGCGGTGTCGCTGCCAGGTGGTGTTTGAGGTAGTTTTTCGAGGCGGTTTGTCGAAGTGGCTTTATGACGTTGTGTTTCAAATTGGAGTGTCGAGTAGCTTGTCGAGATTACTTATTGAGGTGATGTGTCGAGGTTATGTGTCGAAGTGGTGCGGCCAGGCGGTGTTTCTGATTGGAGAGTCGAGCCCTACTTTCGAGGTCGTGTGTCCAGGCTGTGTTTCTAAGTGGAATGTCGAGGTGGCTTGTCAAGATTACCCATTGATGTAGTGTGTCGAGGTAGTGGCTTACGGAGGCGGGATGGGGTCGGTTGGGTGTGTTATCTGACACTGCGACACGGCTCCTAGGTCCATGAAAGGACGTTGCATTCCCTGTACAGCTTCCAGAATTCGGACCATGATGGCAAAGAACATCTCGTCACAGGACAAGAAGGACACTGTATATAATAATTACCTTTTACACGATCAAGAATCCCTATAGATTCATCTAGCATGTCAGTGACTGTCGGTCACATATATAAAACACATGGCTAACAGTTATATTACAGTGTCATTTGAAATCATATCAGAGTCAAACCGAACAATATTGACAACAGTTTTGATGATATCTGTTTTGGTGTCATGTAGATATACGTGTACAATGAATAGCATCTCTGTACATCATCTGTGTTGCTCATGGGATGAGGCAAGACAGAAGCATCTTGTAGATCTACACATTTACATTGGAGCTGCTTGTCGTAAGAAGCGACTTACGTAATCGGGTGGTCAGGCTCGCTGACTTGGTTGATGCATGTCATCGTATCCAAATTGCGTGTATCGATGTCATTGATGTCAATCACTGGATAGTTCTGGTCCCGACTCGATTACTTACAGACCGACGTCATATAGCTGGAATATTGCTGAGTGCGGCGTTAAACAACAAACAAAACAAAACATTGGAGCTGTACATGTGTTTAAGTATTGATCAAAGATTGTCTCATTGTCTCTATCAAGATTGTCATGTTGTGGAAGACCGCCTCCGTGGTCTAGTGGTAGAGAGTCCGCCCGGAGAGCGGAAGGTTCGATCCCCGACCGCGTCATACCAAAAGACGTTAAAAGATGGTACTTGTTGTTACCCTGTCTGGCGCTCGGCATTAAGGGGCTAAAACAAGGACTGGTCGGCTCGGAGTCAGTATACTGTGTCTGAGTGGGGTATTCATGTTAAACTGCAGCATGGTATCTCAGTGTGCTATCACTATAAATCGGCATCATTCCGGACTAGTACAAGCAGCCACACACACACACACGTGCATGCACGTCGCTATATAAGTGCAATAATCTTGGACGCGGCGTTAAACCCAATTTCACCTCACCTCATGTTGTGGAACTTTCTTCGAAATGTAAATTATAAGGACAATCAATGCTGAATGTGAAAGGTCTTTCTTCAGACCTTCCGTCATATCATAGAACTGTGTTGTATCGTTTTAGATGAAATAGTTTTAAATTGGCGTCATTCCACCGACACTGATAGGATGTGTATCTATTGTGATGCTGACAACATGTACCAGGTGGAGGATGAATTCCATGCTAATGATAGTGGGAATCGTGCAATTGACTCTGGTTTTAGCAGATATTTCTTATGAATGTGGAAAGGGTATTGTCGCTTTTATGTAGTAATGGAACGTTAACAGTATCAAACTGTACAAGAATGTTGACCATGTTATGTAATAAATTAGAGACACCAGGGCCCACTTGCACAAAGCGATCTTAGCTCTACAACTATTGTAAGCCTATGTTAAAGTATGGGAGTCACGATCATCTTAGCGCTAAGATCGCTTTGTGCAAGTGGGCCCTGGTGTTATCACTGGGTTTCAGAGGTCCATTCAAAAAGTTTTTACAGCTGTCTGGCCCTTTTCTTTTTTCGCCAAATTGGATCTGTTTTGGCGGATAATCAAGACTGGTTATTCTCATGCATTGACGTCTTATATTCAAATAACGCTTGTGCTGATATTGATATTGATATAGCGCTGTGCCTTGATGTTTCCTTTGTCAGGTACATAAGATAAGGCTTTCCCCAATATCTCTGTAAACTATATATGTAAACTGTAAATGTGAACTGTAAATGCCATGTTTATTCAAGCAGTCATTACTACTATCATGATTCAAAACAAAGAAAACAAAATCCATGATAGCTGCTTCAATACTAAGCATGATGCATACTAAATTACTGTGATATATGTTGTAGGCCAGATGCCTAAAAATACTGAATAAATTCAGTCTGTATGTCTGTTTGATTTTCGGCTCGGAATCTGCAACCGCTTGCAGATCTTCAGAAATATTTCAAAACTGGTGGGTCATGTGACCGATCACGTGCACAAACGATGTAGCCAGCGTCGATATATATACGCCCTGGTCTTGCTTAGAACTGGAACGTCAATTCAGAGGTAAAATGTCCGAGCACCGACGCATCGCTATACTTTCCCTGTCTTGACAACTTGTCTGTAGAAGGCGACCGAGTCTTTGGGTGTCCTGGGCCTGGCGGGGTCGGAGAAGTCGATGCTGTAGATGCCGAATCTCTCCTTGTAGCCCTGGTGCCACTCGAAGTTGTCAATCAGCGACCACAGGTAGTACCCCCGGACACGGCATTTGTCCTCGTTGATGGCTGGGGATAGAGACACAGGGGACAGGATCAACATAACACCTCGTTGATGGCTGGGGATAGAGACACAGGGGACAGGATCAACATAACACCTCGTTGATGGCTGGGGATAGAGATACAGGGGACAGGATCAACATAACACCTTGTTGATGGCTGGGGATAGAGACAGAGGGGACAGGATCAACATAACACCTTGTTGATGGCTAGGGATAGAGACAGAGGGGACAGGATCAACATAACACCTCGTTGATGGCTGGGGATAGAGATACAGGGGACAGGATCAACATAACACCTCGTTGATGGCTGGGGATAGAGACACAGGGGACAGGATCAACATAACACCTTGTTGATGTTTGGGGATAGAGATACAGGGGACAGGATCAACATAACACCTCGTTGGTGGCTAGGGATAGAGACAGAGGGGACAGGATCAACATAACACCTCGTTGATGGCTAGGGATAGAGACAGAGGGGACAGGATCAACATAACACCTTGTTGATGGCTGGGGATAGAGACACAGGGGACAGGATGAACATAACGCCTCGTTGATTGCTGGGGATAGAGACACAGGGGACAGGATCAACATAACGCCTCGTTGATGGCTGGGGATAGAGATACAGGGGACAGGATCAACATAACACCTCGTTGGTGGCGAGGGATAGAGATACAGGGGACAGGATCAACATAACACCTCGTTGGTGGCGAGGGATAGAGATACAGGGGACAGGATCAACATAACGCCTCGTTGATGGCTAGGGATAGAGATACAGGGGACAGGATCAACATAACACCTCGTTGATGGCTGGGGATAGAGATACAGGGGACAGGATCAACATAACACCTCGTTGATGGCTAGGGATAGAGATACAGGGGACAGGATCAACATAACGCCTCGTTGATGGCTAGGGATAGAGACAGAGGGGACAGGATCAACATAACGCCTCGTTGATGGCTGGGGATAGAGACACAGGGGACAGGATCAACATAACGCCTCGTTGATGGCTAGGAATAGAGACAGAGGGGACAGGATGAACATAACACCTCGTTGATGGCTAGGGATAGAGACAGAGGGGACAGGATCAACATAACACCTCGTTGATGGCTGGGGATAGAGACACAGGGGACAGGATCAACATAACACCTCGTTGATGGCTAGGAATAGAGACAGAGGGGACAGGATGAACATAACACCTCGTTGATGGCTAGGGATAGAGACAGAGGGGACAGGATCAACATAACACATTGTTGATGGCTAGGGATAGAGACACAGGGGACTTAGCACTGACATCAGGATCAACATAACACCTCGAGCGACAATGATGTTTTTTTGTTTTTTGTTTGTTTTTTTAACGCCGCACTCAGCAATATTCCAGCTATTTGACAGCGGTCTGTAAATAATCGAATCTGGACCAGACAATCCAATGATTGATATCATAAGCATCGATCCACGAAATTGGGATACAATGACGTGCATCAACCAAGTCTGACCACCCGATCCCGTTAGTCGCCTCTTACGACAAGCATAGTTGCCTTTTACGGCAAGCATTGGTTGAAGACCTATTATACCCCGGATTTTCACGGGTCTGTCATGTATGAATTTGGGATATTCATACAACCGACGAAAAATGAAATAAATCAACGTGCACCTTTTGATACTTCTGTCAGATGTTCCCGGAGATACTTGATCCTGTCTGGATCTTGGAGCACACCTGGCTCCGTGGTGAAGCCGTTCTCGGTGATGTAGATGTCGGGGTCACCGAACTCCTCCTTGATGGCCCCAAGCAGCTTCCGTAGCCCCCAGGGGACCGAGTACAGCCAGTTGGATACCGCCCTGGGGTGCAAGTGTTAAATGTTACTACTGAGGTGAGGTGAGGTGAGGCGAGGCAAGGCGAGGTGAGACGAGGTGAGTGAGGTGAGGTGAGGTGAGTTGAGGTGAGGCGAGGCGAGGTGAGACGAGGTGAGGTGAGGCGAGGCGAGGTGAGACGAGGTGAGGTGAGGTGAGGTCAGATGAGGTGAGGTGAGGTGAGGCAAGGCGAGGCGAGGTGAGATGAGGTGAGGTGGGGTGAGGCGGGCGAGGTGTTTCATGTTACTAATGCGAGGTGGGTTGGGTTGGGATGAGTGAGGACTGGTTCATTGGGTTGAAATGGGGTTTAACGTCGCATTCAAGATCATTGCACTGATGTGCGGGCATGTATATATCTGTAATTGAGCTCTTTGTACAAGTTGGGAATGATGCCGGTTTTATAATGCTAGCTCACTGAGATACATTGTCCCTATTATGACTTGTACCATACCTTTCTGTGTTTTTGCCGTTGCATGTGTTTGTGACGGGTGCCACCGGTGGGGCAGGCCATGCTCATTTTTTTGGTTGCGAAGTGATTCATAAACACATGCTCTTGGCACAGTCAGAATCGTACAATGGACTCTGCTTTAAGCAGAGATTTCTGCTGAATATGGTGGTGGTTTTGACGCCTTTATTGTCACACAATAGTCAGCAATGTGACAGCTATATTACCAATATGTCAATCTCAAGTCCACACAAGACTCACCGTGGCCATGATGGGTCTGTTAGACCTTCAAAGCTCTTGTCTCCCAGAAAGCCAGGCTGGTCCTCCATTGGCTTATAGGCGACAAGTCGGGTCGTGTAGTAGTTCAGACCGAAGAAGTCGCTGCTTCCTGTGGATATAGTGAGAAAGTGAGTGAGTTGGGTTTAACGCCGCTTTGACAGTATTCCAGCTATTTCACGGAGTGTCAGCTCAATGTGGGAGAAAAGCCCGAAGTGATGCAGGTCTCAGACATTTTCTACTTTGGTGAAACTCACCAGCACGGATATGGTGCTGACAAACCTAGAAACATGAGCAGGGCGAACCGGGATTCGAACCCACGATCAGAGGTTTCTGGCGTTTCCAAGGCACGCCTCGTAGCTGAGTGGTTTAGATCGCTACCTTTTTGTGCTGGCGAGTTGGTGCTTCACAGTGACAGTGTGGGTTCGAATCCCGGATGGGACTCAACAGTACCCTGTAAACAAAGCATTACACGGTCCAACTCATTTCAATCTCATTAAAATCAGATCTTAGTTCTCGCTGCCGCTAAACAAAGATCTGAGGACATCCCATTACGGGTCACGTCAGACCGACCTTGCGCGAACTTTGACCGACCAATAGAATGACCAATGAGAAGGCAGCTTTCTCGTGCTTTACGGCACTATTTTCAAATATGCGACAACGCTTCGAAACATATTTTGACAATTTCTCGATTACAAATTTGAAACCTGAACAAAAGAACATTCTTGAATCGCTAATAGATGGTCTAGATTGTGTGGATTCAGTCGTTAAGCCCGTAACTATCTTCCGGAACACCCCGTGTTAAAGTTTTCGAGGATGCATGATTAGAAATCACATTCCAACTGTCACTTTCATGATCTGGTAAGCGACGCTCTGATTGGTCGTATGAAAGGTCGTTCTGACATGACCTCTACTGGGATGTCCTCAGATCTTTGTTTAGCGGTAGCGGGAACTAAGGTCTGATTTTAATGAGATTGAACTCATTTTTACTTTTGAGACAGAGAAGGAAATATATTTGCAATGATTCCTGTGCTTCGACATCCGTTCCACGAAGCATCCGAGAAAAGATTGCTTTCCTCTCAAGCTCAAAGTTAAATGAAATATATATATAACACCTTTCTCGTGGTGCCACTGTGGGGAATGCTACCTTTAAGATAAGCCTTTTCTTCTTCTGTGAACTGGGGGAGACGAGACTTGCCCGGCTCACACCGACTGTTGATTCGCTCCTTTAACTCTTCTGGATAGTCGCCGTTGACGAAGATGGGGTTGGTGAAGAGTCCGATTTTGATCTGGAAGTAGCGCAGTCGGGCCGCCACGTCAGCCGGGTTAGATGGGTCTTTAGGTTGCGACCAGTCACAGTTCAAGGTGATGCCGATCCGGCCTGTTGGTGCGTGGAAGAGAGAGTGGGTTAATGTATATTCTTTCTATTCTGGCTCCACTTCAGAAGCCCGTCCGTTATCCAGCCTTGACATTGCAAACCAATGGTTGATAACATGAGCAACGACCCATGCCGTACAACAGTGATATTATTGTCAGACAAATGACATCAGATATAATTGTTATCTTAACACCGATATCATTGTGGTCCAAGTTAGACATATAACACCTACTATCATTGTGGTCTAAGTTAGACATATAACACCTGTATCATTGTGGTCTAAGTTAGACATATAACACCGACATCATCGTGGTCTAAGTTAGACATATCACAGCTATATCATTGTGGTCTAAGTAAGACATATAACAGCTATATCATTGTGGACTAAGTTAGACATATCACAGCTATATCATTGTGGTCTACGTTTGACATATAACACCTATATCATTGTGGTCTAAGTTAGACATATGACACCGATATCATCGGTACTTCTCGTCGTACAGTCGGTACCTTTCTGTGTAGCTCTATACTTCTCGTCGTACAGTCGGTACCTTTCTGTGTAGCTCTATACTTCTCGTCGTACAGTCGGTACCTTTCTGTGTAGCTATATAGTTCTTGTCATACAGTCGGTACTTTCTGTGTAGCTCTATACTTCTCGTCGTACAGTCGGTACTTTCTGTGTAGCTATATACTTCTCGTCGTACAGTCGGTACTTTCTGTGTAGCTCTAGCCTTCTCGTCGTACAGTCAGTACTTTCTGTGTAGCTCTATACTTCTCGTCATACAGTCGGTACTTTCTGTGTAGCTCTATACTTCTCGTCGTACAGTCGGTACTTTCTGTGTAGCTATATACTTCTCGTCGTACAGTCGGTACTTTCTGTGTAGCTCTAGCCTTCTCGTCGTACAGTCAGTACTTTCTGTGTAGCTCTATACTTCTCGTCATACAGTCGGTACTTTCTGTGTAGCTCTATACTTCTCGTCATACAGTCGGTACTTTCCTCGATCTCTATCCTTCTCGTCATACAGTCGGTACCTATCTGTGTAGCTATATACTTCTCGTCGTACAGTCGGTACTTTCTGTGTAGCTCTATCCTTCTCGTCATACAGTCGGTACCTTTCTGTGTAGCTCTATACTTCTCGTCATACAGTCGGTACTTTCTGTGTAGCTCTATACTTCTCGTCATACAGTCGGTACTTTCTGTGTAGCTATATACTTCTCGTCGTACAGTCGGTTCTTTCTGTGTAGCTTTATACTTCTTGTCGTACAGTCGGTACTTTCTGTGTAGCTCTATACTTCTCGTCGTACAGTCGGTACTTTCTGTGTAGCTCTATACTTCTCGTCATACAGTCGGTACCTTTCTGTGTAGCTTTATACTTCTCGTCGTACAGTCGGTACTTTCTGTGTAGCTCTATACTTCTCGTCATACAGTCGGTACCTTTCTGTGTAGCTCTATATTTCTCGTCGTACAGTCGGTACTTTCTGTGTAGCTTTATACTTCTCGTCATACAGTCGGTACCTTTCTGTGTAGCTCTATACTTCTCGTCATACAGTCGGTACCTTTCTGTGTAGCTCTATACTTCTCGTCGTAGAGTCGGTACTTTCTGTGTAGCTCTATACTTCTCGTCGTACAGTCGGTACCTTTCTGTGTAGCTCTATATTTCTCGTCGTACAGTCGGTACCTTTCTGTGTAGCTTTATACTTCTCGTCATACAGTCGGTACCTTTCTGTGTAGCTCTATACTTCTCGTCGTACAGTCGGTTCTTTCTGTGTAGCTCTATAGTTCTCGTCATACAGTCGGTACTTTCTGTGTAGCTCTATACTTCTCGTCGTACAGTCGGTACTTTCTGTGTAGCTCTATACTTCTCGTCATACAGTCAGTACCTTTCTGTGTAGCTCTATCCTTCTCGTCGTACAGTCGGTACTTTCTGTGTAGCTCTATACTTCTCGTCGTAAAGTCGGTACCTTTCTGTGTAGCTCTATATTTCTCGTCGTACAGTCGGTACTTTCCTCGATCTCTATCCTTCTCGTCATACAGTCGGTACTTTCTGTGTAGCTCTATACTTCTCGTCGTACAGTCGGTACCTTTCTGTGTAGCTCTATACTTCTCGTCATACAGTCGGTACCTTTCTGTGTAGCTCTATATTTCTCGTCGTACAGTCGGTACTTTCTGTGTAGCTTTATACTTCTCGTCGTACAGTCGGTACCTTTCTGTGTAGCTCTATACTTCTCGTCGTACAGTCGGTTCTTTCTGTGTAGCTCTATAGTTCTCGTCATACAGTCGGTACTTTCTGTGTAGCTCTATACTTCTCGTCGTACAGTCGGTACTTTCTGTGTAGCACTATACTTCTCGTCATACAGTCGGTACCTTTCTGTGTAGCTCTATTCTTCTCGTCGTACAGTCGGTACCTTTCTGTGTAGCTCTATATTTCTCGTCATACAGTCGGTACTTTTCTCGATCTCTATCCTTCTCGTCATACAGTCGGTTCTTTCTGTGTAGCTCTATCCTTCTCGTCATACAGTCGGTACTTTCTGTGTAGCTCTATACTTCTCGTCGTACAGTCGGTACCTTTCTGTGTAGCTCTATACTTCTCGTCGTACAGTCGGTACCTTTCTGTGTAGCTCTATACTTCTCGTCGTACAGTCGGTACTTTCTGTGTAGCTCTATACTTCTCGTCGTACAGTCGGTTCTTTCTGTGTAGCTCTATACTTCTCGTCGTACAGTCGGTACTTTCTGTGTAGCTCTATACTTCTCGTCATACAGTCAGTACTTTCTGTGTAGCTCTATACTTCTCGTCATACAGTCGGTACCTTTCTGTGTAGCTCTATACTTCTCGTCATACAGTCGGTACTTTCCTCGATCTCTATCCTTCTCGTCATACAGTCGGTACTTTCTGTGTAGCTCTATACTTCTCGTCGTACAGTCGGTAGCTTTCTGTGTAGCTCTATCCTTCTCGTCATACAGTCGGCACCTTTCTGTGTAGCTCTATACTTCTCGTCATACAGTCGCTACCTTTCTTTGTAGCTCTATCCTTGTCGTCATACAGTCAGTACTTTCTGTGTAGCTCTATACTTCTCGTCATACAGTCAGTACTTTCTGTGTAGCTCTATCCTTCTCGTCGTACAGTCGGTACCTTTCTGTGTAGCTCTATACTTCTCGTCGTACAGTCAGTACTTTCTGTGTAGCTCTATACTTCTCGTCGTACAGTCGGTTCTTTCTGTGTAGCTCTATACTTCTCGTTGTACAGTCGGTACCTTTCTGTGTAGCTATATACTTCTCGTCATACAGTCGGTACCTTTCTGTGTAGCTCTATACTTCTCGTTGTACAGTCGGTACCTTTCTGTGTAGCTCTATACTTCTCGTCGTACAGTCGGTACCTTTCTGTGTAGCTATATACTTCTCGTCATACAGTCGGTACCTTTCTGTGTAGCTCTATACTTCTCGTCGTACAGTCGGTTCTTTCTGTGTAGCTCTATACTTCTCGTTGTACAGTCGGTACCTTTCTGTGTAGTTCTATACTTCTCGTCATACAGTCGGTACTTTCCTCGATCTCTATCCTTCTCGTCATACAGTCGGTACTTTCTGTGTAGCTCTATACTTCTCGTCGTACAGTCGGTACTTTCTGTGTAGCTCTATACTTCTCGTCATACAGTCAGTTCCTTTCTGTGTAGCTCTATACTTCTCGTCATACAGTCGGTACTTTCTGTGTAGCTCTATACTTCTCGTCATACAGTCGGTACCTTTCTGTGTAGCTCTATACTTCTCGTCGTACAGTCGGTACCTATCTGTGTAGCTCTATACTTCTCGTCGTACAGTCGGTACTTTCTGTGTAGCTCTATACTTCTCGTCATACAGTCGGTACCTTTCTGTGTAGCTATATACTTCTCGTCGTACAGTCGGTACTTTCTGTGTAGCTCTATACTTCTCGTCATACAGTCGGTACCTATCTGTGTAGCTATATACTTCTCGTCGTACAGTCGGTACTTTCTGTGTAGCTCTATACTTCTCGTCATACAGTCGGTACCTTTCTGTGTAGCTCTATACTTCTCGTCATACAGTCGGTACTTTCTGTGTAGCTCTATACTTCTCGTCATACAGTCGGTACCTATCTGTGTAGCTATATACTTCTCGTCGTATAGTCGGTACTTTCTGTGTAGCTCTATACTTCTCGTCATACAGTCGGTACTTTCTGTGTAGCTCTATACTTCTCGTCATACAGTCGGTACCTTTCTGTGTAGCTCTATAGTTCTCGTCATACAGTCGGTACTTTCTGTGTAGCTCTATACTTCTCGTCATACAGTCGGTACTTTCTGTGTAGCTCTATACTTCTCGTCATACAGTCAGTACCTTTCTGTGTAGTTCTATACTTCTCGTCATACAGTCGGTACTTTCTGCGTAGCTCTATACTTCTCGTCATACAGTCGGTACCTTTCTGTGTAGCTCTATACTTCTCGTCGTACAGTCGGTACCTTTCTGTGTAGCACTATACTTCTCGTCATACAGTCGGTACCTATCTGTGTAGCTATATACTTCTCGTCGTACAGTCGGTACTTTCTGTGTAGCTCTATACTTCTCGTCATACAGTCGGTACTTTCTGTGTAGCTCTATACTTCTCGTCATACAGTCGGTACCTTTCTGTGTAGCTCTATACTTCTCGTCATACAGTCGGTACTTTCTGTGTAGCTCTATACTTCTCGTCGTACAGTCAGTACCTTTCTGTGTAGTTCTATACTTCTCGTCATACAGTCGGTACTTTCTGCGTAGCTCTATACTTCTCGTCGTACAGTCGGTACTTTCTGTGTAGCTCTATACTTCTCGTCATACAGTCGGTACCTTTCTGTGTAGCTATATACTTCTCGTCGTACAGTCGGTACTTTCTGTGTAGCTCTATACTTCTCGTCATACAGTCGGTACCTATCTGTGTAGCTATATACTTCTCGTCGTACAGTCGGTACTTTCTGTGTAGCTCTATACTTCTCGTCATACAGTCGGTACCTTTCTGTGT